TATGTGCTGATTAAAGTTGAAACATAAATTAATAAATATAAAAATATAGAATCAAATATTTAATTAACAATTTGATATACGTTATCATAAGTTAGCACACGCATGGCATCATTTTGAGTGATTTAATGCCTTTAATTGATTAAATGAAGAGTCAAAATACGCTCCTAGTCTAGCTCTATTTTTGCTTTATCGAGTGGAAAAATACATCAAGAATAAAAGTGAGATAAGCTTGAATAATCAGCAATAATCATTGTTATTAAATGTAGAGAAAAAATATGTAAACATGATCAGCGACATGCTTACATCGTGATGAATAAGAGGATGCATACGACTGATACAGATTCTCACAAACAAATGAAATTCATGTACGTATATTTATGTAAAAGCAATAAAAACTGAATCAACGTGCATTCGGTAGCTTTTCATCTTCCTTATCATTTAGAATTGCTATAAAAAAAAGTAAGTCAGTGCTCAAAAAACATTTCTCATCTGATGTCAATGCCATTATGGAAATAAAAAATTCATGCTTCATGACTTTTCAACCAATATTTTTCTTCCACCTTTAAAAAGTTCTCAGCATTTTCGAAAAAAAAAACTTTCTGAGTTATCTTATCGGCAGTATTTTTCCATATTTAATGTTGTTCCTTTTCTATGTCACCGTTTCTGCTATTGTATACATACATATTAAACTCTTATCAGCAAAATAAAATATATATATTTTTACAATATTTTAGAGTGTGGAAAATTGTTTTGCGATTAGACCGGGAAGCACATTTGGTAGAATGGGGCTATTTTATGGCTCACCCAGACTACCGCCATTCCAAAAAAGACCGTTATTTTTTGAAAAATGGACAAAAAGAAGTTGGTATGATTCAAAAAAAAAATGACCGTTTGAATTCAAAAACAAAATTACAGTTAAAATCGTGGAAAACCAAATCAGATTATTTATTTAAACGTTGATGCAAACAGCTCCTTTCGATTTAAAAAACGTTTCTGATGGGACAATTTCAATCTAAAATTTAAAAAATTCTTTAAAAAGTCTTCAAATATCAAAATGCAGTGATTAAAACTAGTTGAAATTTCTTTCACTGCTGCTTTAAAGGATGATTTAATTTGGGATGCGGAGTGGTTTCTATCAACTGAATCACATTGTCTATAAATAAATTCAATTTTGTAGCAAAATGAAAGAAATATTAGAGAAGGTTTTAAAGACATTCGAAATAATGCTTTTCCATCCTTTAGTTTGTTTTCACAATTAAAGACTGCGCACTTGCTCGTTTTTGTATTTATTAATTACTTTTTTAAGTGATTTTATTGTTTAATATGTCTCAAGGAATTTATTTGTTTACATTATGCATAACGGAAAAAAAATATATGAACTATTTCGAAAACTTCGAAATTAATTTCGAAGTAATTTCGAGATTTTCGAAAATGGAATGGCGGTAGTCTGGGCTCACCATGCTTCAAATTTTGAAAAATAAAAACAAATTTTCCACTTGAGATTTTATTTTGCAAAATTTAAGCTCAATTTGCATTGAAGTTTTGTCATAGATGCTCAAAAAGTTTTAAAAACATGGCAAAAAGCAGGAATTAATATTAAAATTTGTGATTTTAATTCCTAAAGTGAATAATTTAAAAAAAAAATAATTCTATGGTTACATTTTTTCATAAATTGAAAAACTAGAACCAAAACAAACTAGTAATTTCAATAGTAAGCATTGTGAAATTCTAAACCGGCAATTCTTACAAAAGCTCAACTCAATCCATCATTTTTACAGTGACTAACTCCATTACTTTCCAAAACTAGCTCAATAAAATGAAAGTTCTCAAAATTTTAATTGCGAAAATTTTCCATTGCCAGAATTGTGCAATAAAACAGCAAAAAAGTACAAAGTATGCATATAAATTTCTAAAGTCACGTTTGTGACATGTGAACCTTTACTGGTAGAAATGCTATCTCTCTATATTTATATATTGTCGTTCGGGTACTTTTAATTTTATTATTTTGTGTATTCAGTGGGGGAATTAAATTTATTACTCTGAAAATTTGTTTCTAATTACATTTGATAGAGCGAATTCACATACAAAACGTATACGACTATAGACTTTAATTTACATTAATTACCGCATACACATGTGAGAGATTTAAGATTGAAAATCTGACCCTGAGTTACTTTGGGTCAAATTATATAACTTTGTATCATTTATTACAGATCATTACTATTTTTACATTCTTCTTTGCTCTCTGTTCTATATTCTACACCGCTATTTTCCCTTTTAAAATAACCTGCCACAATAATCGCACTCAATAAAAGCTGAATGGTGTTATGAAGGAAATGTAAACCAGAAAATCCGCAGAAGAAACATAAATTTTTATTATGACACATTCAGGTTTTCTTCAAATCGAAAATCTTTTTATTTTTGAAACTTTAAAATATTAAGTGAGTAGGTGAAATATTGATGTATGGATGTGATTGCGCTTTTTAAATGGAATTTTTTTTATTCGAGAGAAATTTTTTTTGAGAATTATTCAAATCCGGTTAATGGGAGATTGTCAGGTTGAAGGGTTTATCAGACATTGTCGCGCAGCATCTGTGAAGTTTACTATCTGTGATAAGAGGAAATGGAAATGATTTTTGGGAATTTGCAATCAGAATTGAAAGGATTTGTTTTGCTCGTCTATTTGTTTTACCATTGAGTACTTTAAAGGATGTTGTTGATGGCAGCAATGTATCAGGAACTGATAATTTACAAACAACAGGTAGAAAGTAAGCTAGGAACCAAGTTCGAGGTCTTAAAAATATATTTTTGTCTAATCAAGTTCTCAAATTCAAAGATAGTGACTTATTTTTAGAAGATACGCGAACTTCGCACATAAAAGAACTCAATACATCCAAAAATTTCTAGTCTCAGACACTACATCAATGTCAGAATACAAATAATCGAAAATCATCCAATTGCAATACATTGAAATTTTAGAATGTAATACACATGGACAATTTTAAACATATGAGGGATATAATAACCAGTGTGAAACTAGATCTGCATATTTTTAATCAACGTTAAACAGCAGTAATGTATGTCAGAATTATTAAATTGAACTGCATTTCCTCCACTTCAATTGAAGTTAATGTGTTCTTAATATCGAAATGAATCTGAATTTGTTCTAGAAGATAGTTTCTTGCGTGAGCCGCAAATTGACTCTTACTTGCAGTATTTAAGCTTTAATTTGTTTTATTTTTGCTGCGCTAATCTGATACTAGAAATGAGCATCAAAGATAGACTTAATTAAAGATTTTGAATTTTCTACAAATGTTTAACTGATTTTATTCGCTTAAATCTGCATTGTTAACCTCAATCTAGACATGAAATCAATTGAGATACGTGATAAGAGCCAACTGTAAGGTTGCGCACAACCTGTTCATGACTTTTAGTTCGAATAGATATGAAATAATTCTAATCACCAAAACAAACGTCAATATTAAGCTTTTATAACTCAATACACCCCACGAAAACCGTAAATGTAGCAATTTTATCAGCCTTATCTCTTCAACAAAATATCAATACCATCTGTTCCTTCCTCCTTTCCCTCATTAACACCGACTATACGTAAGAATCCCTACAACCATGACCTAAATTGAATCTGAATGTCAATTTTAAAGGAACCCCAATATCGAATCACGAAGCCAAACTAAAATGAATTTCTTTCAAGAACACAAGGAACTCTCAAAGATTGTTTCCCCTTAAAAAATATTTGGAAATAAAAAACTTTTATCGTTTCAATTTTCTTACTCACCGAAAATTCTAGGAAAAAATTCCACAAAAAGTTTTTCTTATTTTCTTTGTTATTTTATGTTTTATATTTTTTTGAAAAATCTTTCAACCTTAAGGGACAGTTGAAACTTCCAAGTTCTCGTACAAATCGTTTAAATCATTCTTCTTTTAACTTTTGTCGCTTATTATAGCATTACATGTGATTTTTCGTGGTTTTCGCGTGTCACAAACAATTTCTCCTTGTTTTCTTTCCGTTACTGCATACGATTAATATTATTTTGGATATAAATTTGCTTACAACACGTGACACTTTTAACTTCTTGCTAGATTAAATTTAATTTTTTATTTTTTTCACAAAACTTAAATGTCTACTATGATCGAATTAAGCACTAAAATGTCTCTTACTAGTTTTAATCAAATTAAACGTAAATTCAATTTTTACTAATCCATTAAGCCATTCTCTCGTAGTCACTTGACTTCTGATTTTATTAAACTATTTTTCACATATTCTGAATAAAACGTGACAAAGTTTTGATTACAAAAACCGCACATGAAATAACTCATTTGGATTATTAATCCATGTTACTTCTTGACTGCTGTTAATTAGTCACTAGTTCTTTTTTTGCATTATAAGTTTCGAGTATCGTGTCTATGTATTGCAGACAGATATACCGTACATGAAGAAAAATGAATAAAACTTTTTGAAGAATTACAAAAAAGAATAAACGGCTACGGATAAAAACAGAAAATAATATGTTATACGTCTGATATTCAAGACTACCGACTAACGACTGTATAGTGCACAAGAAAATAATTTGAAAGCATGAAACGACAAAACATGCGCATTGATTACAGATGTGCTTAAAGCTTTTATACGATTCAACTTTTTGTTTTCTTTGCTTTACATTCGTCTCGGAGATTGTGAATATCTGGGATTGGAGCTTCGTTCAAAAACATTCAACATTCGATTTGTGCTCCCCAATGCCTTACTTGACGAACTTTTGAACATTGACTTGCACAACGTGATTTCTTATTTTTTGCCCTTTAATGTTTGGTCTATAAGCATCGGAAATAAGATGTCTTTTCCTGGAAGGTTAATTTCCAATTTTCAAATAACGGTTGAAAAAATTCAAATTTTACTTTGACTGGAAATCAAAAAATTCAAATTTTTGAATCTCGTTAAAATTCAAATTTTTGAAAGCAATTAGAAATTATTTTTTGGCATTGCCATTTTTATGTTAGCGTTAACATTTTTAATTACATGGATTATTTTCAGATTTGTGTTTTTCGTGATCTTTATGTTGTTTGACAAGTGCCTCGAAATTTTTCTCCTCATTATCATCATCCATACGTGTTACAAACGGATCTTCAGTTCCTTCTTCGTCTTCTGAACTTTCATTTGCTGGATGTTTTAAATAAATGTCGGAAAACTCAGAACCGGATGGGACGTCGATAATCATTGGATTGATGTTAACTATGCTACTTGTTGCTTTACCTGCTTCCTTGAGTTTTTCGGCCTCCTTTTCAGCTAGTTCCTTTTTTCTTTGTTCTCGAAGCTTCTCGTACTCTACTTTATAATCTTTTAGATATTCTTCCTTGCCATCCATCACAAGCTCAAAAAATCTCTCAAATCCAACACCAGTTTTAGCAGATACACCGCATGCCTTAAGATCATTATAGAATTCATCAAGTGTAAGTGACATACTGCGTGTTAAGTTACTGACATAAGACGTTTCCTTCTCTAGAGATTCTTGGAATGACTCAAAATCTCTCATCCAATCGATTGCGAATTCATGGCTTTGTACATCAATTTTATTAAGAGCTACAATGAATGGAAGTCTTGCTTTGTAAAGGATTGAGCAAGCATAAAGCATATTAGACATGAAAGTTGTTGGACTTATTGATCGTACTATATCCATGACATAAACTACTATTGTTGGAAATCGAGTTGCTAAAGCTTCTGTGATAATCACACCACTTGCTGACCATGTAAAGACTTCAATTTGTCCAGGAGTGTCAATTACACAGATTTTATGTCCATCAGTTCCAGCTTTTTCAATTAACTGCACTACTTTATCGAATTTCGTTGAAAATAAGTTTAATGCTGTTACGATTCTATGGAATTAAGGCATGACATTGTTTATTAATTGAATTAAGTAAGCTTTACTGTATCTTACCCTCCATTTGGACCTAATTTGTACTGTTTCATGACTTGTTTGTAATTTACAGTGTCTCTGATGTCAATGTTTACAGGATATGGTGTTTCTTTACATGCTGGATCTAGATTTACAATATATGGATTGTATTCCTCTCGATGGAAGCTTGACAGCTTCTTAACAAATGTGGTCTGTAAGTTTTATCGGAAATTTATTATGAAATTAATTAAAATTACAAGAAATAAGAATGTTACCTTTCCACTTCCAGCCATTCCTAGTACTATAAGACATATTGGACCGTCCTTAATCTCGAAATCATCTGGTTTACTCATATTTTCTAGTATTTTTAATGATTTTTGATTTTTGTGCCGCACACTTACTAATTTGCAATGTTATTGTTTACAAATTGACATAGTTGAATTTCCCTCGACTAATTTCAAATTTATTTCAATCGTTATGACACAAAAAATAACGGTCAAATTTCAAATTTGAAAAACTTTATTTCATTTTGTTCAAAAATTAAGTCTAAACAGCATTTTTTACAAAATATATCATAATTAAATCATAAGTGTAATTCGTTTGACTAAACATTAAGTAAAGTGTTTATAAGCAATATATCAAGGTAAATATAATCAAGTTCAGTTAATTAAAGTACTAAATTCGTGAAAAAGAAGAAAATTTAAAAAAGTTGATTTTCAAAGAAAATTTTCACTTAATTTTATGCTGTAAATACGTTTTATTTATAAACTATCCTACACAAATTACATTTTACCGTGATATTTGTAATGAAAAAATTGTGAATTTGCCAAAAATAAAGTCGCAAAAAATATATTTTCATACTGTGAAAGCGTCAAAGAAGCATAACTTGAAGCATAGCGACGGTTTCTGTGTATCTGTGTTTGTGATCCGGACAATAAGATTTATAGAACGTTTTATGAGCAGTGAGAGCTACATACAAACATCATATAATTTACAAATTTCATAATATATTTTCTTATCTATTAAGAGCTATAAGTTTTGAACACGGCGAGAGATCTTCAAAGTTGTGGAGATTTTCTTCATTGCGCGTTTACTACAAGTCTGTAAATGCAAAAATATTAATGAAAATTCATGTAGCTTTATAGTAAGCAACAAGTGGAACAGACAACATTCCAGTCAGGTATAGAAATCATAAAAGAAATGAAAGAGAAACAAGAAGACAAACTAGAAAAACACAAAAAAAAAGAATTAAATCGCTTTTAAATTAGTCTTTAGTCTTTTTTATGCTGTAAGTGACGGCAGTCAACAATTAGGGGCTCTTTGTCGAGATTTTTGCTGGATCTGTCTTACTGGATGTTGTCATAAAATGCTCATTTTGCCTCCACAAAAACTTCTACCTGCTCAACATATGTAAGAGTAATAATATTAGCTATGTCAGAGTTGCCTGAACTCTTTCCCGCCCATTATTTTTATAAATAAACCGAAAAATAAGCAAAAAGAAGAAGCCCCACAAAGACATAAAATTAGCATAGCGGGAGAATCAAATTATTTGTTATGCTTCTTATTTTCCTTATACACTTCTACACGTGATTTACAAAACGAAAAAGAGTCTTGACCGAGATTCTTACGAGATCAGATGTTTTATATTTTATTTATTCATTAAATTAAAGTAAGTTTTCGGCTATTTGAGGGAGTCGCTTGCATAGTTTGAACAACTTGACGCTTCATTTCATTTGCATTGTTTCGAATCGAGATATTTATTGTCGTCTATTGTTTCACATTAATATTGCATACACATTAGCAATGCATACATTCAAGGGAAACTATTCGAGCCCATCAGCATACATTGATAGAATTTTCACTACAAAACAAAATTATATCGATGGAAATTACGACGTTTCGCGACATAATCTCTTCGCACAGAGACAAATGATCATCGCTTGATAATTTTCAGCGAAATTTTCAAACGTGTAAGCAACATAAGGGCTACTTTGGCTACTCTTTAAGTCTTATGTCAATAATGTCTAAGAATGAGTACACTAGAACTATACAAATGTTATGACACTTCAGGAACATTTGTATGGTTTTGAAACACATAAAATGTAATTTGTAGGGTTTTTAAATTCAAATTTTACAAAACGGTTATTTAAGAATTAAGTTAAAAAAAATATTCAACTACAAGTACCTATAAATGCGCCAAAATCATTTCTTCATCACATTAACAACAGCTTCACTACTCCATAGTTTATTTTCGTTTCGAAGGAAGAAGAAAATTACTCAAAACTCAAGATAAACTGTTTCTTAATCATTCCCACACCGTTTTTCTTTTTGCTTGTAGATGTCGCAGATTCCTCATTCGCAATTGGCACTGAAAAAGCGAGTTACACCTGTCGTGTTAGATAATGAGCCAACCAATAAGGCAGGCCGAAAGAGTCGTAATGGACACAAAACTGAGAATGTAGATAAATCAAATGGACAAGATAAATGCGATAAGGATATACTTATTTTAGACGATGAGTATGTATCGATTCCTATTGGACGTGAGGAAGTTGATGAGGAACAAGTTTTGTCACAAATTGAAGAGATTTCTCCATCAGTTAAGAATAAGCGTGGACGTAGAGCAAGAGGATCGACAAATTCACGAGAATCGTCCGAATTTGCAGCACCAAAAATTGAAGAAATTCCTAAAACTAATGAACCAACACCCAAAAAAGAAGAAGCTCAACCTGAATTAAATGCTCAAATTGAGGAACAAGTTGTTCCAGAAGAAATGCCAGAATCATCACCAAAAGAGACAAAAATTGTAAAATTAAATTTTGACTCATTACCCTTATCCTCAAAGCGTCGTTCCGATCGCTTGCAAAATGCCAGTACGATTGTGAATCTATCGACTGTATCGACAATGGATCAAAGCACAAAAGTATCAAATGACACAGAAATGACAATTGAAACGCCAACAACAGAGCGTAAAGTTAGTGGACGTCGATCAACACGTCTAATTGATGACATTAAATTCACATATCGTTCACCTGATCCAGATGAATCAGTCGCTAATGCAACAGTTGGATCAGAATTTGGGGAAAATTTACTGGAAACTCCACAAACAGATCGTAAACGTCGTATTGATTCAATGGAACATCTCGATAGTCCAAAACGTAGTCGATTGGATATTAGTGCATTATTTAACAACTTCTATTCGCCTGTCACAATGCTTAGAAGCAGATTCTCGCGCGCAAACCTTGCAAGTACCCCAAAAGTTGGCGATATTTTGAACGAGACAGCAAGTTCGATTGATTTAAGTGACAGCGAATTAAAGGATGTTGATTTGAATGAAAAATCAGAGGAAAAGAAGGAAGAGAAGGTTGGAGGAAGTGGAACCTTAAAGTTCATTGTAAAACCAGCCGCTAAAAAATCAGTATGTTCAATTATGTAGGCCCGAATCATAAGCGCAAAAAGTATGTAATTTGATTAGTTTTTAAAAACACATTATTTTCTTAATTTCATTAATTATTACTTTTCCGTTTCTCGGGACACAAACTCACACTTCTCACTTACACAACAACTACAAACTATAAAGATATTTCTAAATAATTAAGTTCAAAAGATTCAAGAAAGACCATGTTTAACATAATATATGTATGTTTCTTTTCTTTTTCTATAAGATTCACATTGTAATAAAAAATATATTCTAAATGAACAAAAAGACAAAAATTTGACCAATAATAAAAGAGATTTAGAAAAATTCATAAGATGATGACTTTTTATTATCAATTGATGTTAATTTTAATGCTAGAGCTTAAAAGATTTTATTTTGGTAAAGCTTCTTTCTTGCTGTGTTACATTGTGAAGCAATTTAGTAGCTAATGTGATGAGTTTTGATGCTATAAATGAGTTTCTATTATACAAGGCTTAAAAGTTGTGAGCATAAAAAATTATGTTTGCATAACGGTTTTGTAAGTTTTGAATTTCTGCATCTACAATTTTAGACGTTTTTGTTGATTTTGAATTTCTGCATCTACAACTTTAGACGTTTTTGTTGATTTTGAATTTCTGCGTCTATTTAATCGGTTTTTGTTGATTTTGAATTTCTGCATCTATTTAATCGGTTTTTGTTGATTTTGAATTTCTGCATCTATTTTAGCGGTTTTTGTAGATTTTGAATTTTTTGCATAAGTTTCAAATTCCAAAAAACAGTTAAATTCCATGACGAACCCAAAAGTTATCTTATCAAGTCGTCGATCATTCATTTATAGTGAAAATAACTGTATTTTTCTTTTATAACATAGCTAGTTCCATTTTCAAATATGTTTCAGTATGAAAAGTCTCACAAATATATGTAAAGGCAAGGAAATCACATGTGCATCAAAATAAGAGAGGTTTCGTAGTGAACAAGTTATAATGTAGGAACAGTTTTTTGAAACATGAATTCTTTTAGTTATATTTTAACTATCGTTTAAGACGGTACGAAAAGAAGACGACAGGCAGTAAAAAAAAGAGAGAAGGAAGAAGTGAGTGTTACACAATTCATTCAGATAAGCGTGAAAAAGTAATTTTTTTATAAAAAGAGAAATATAAACATTTTGCAAAAAAAAGGAAAGAAAGAAAAATATAGTTAAATTAAGTATTAAATAACTTGTAAGTTAGTGCCAAGAGAAATAAAATTGTACAGTTATCATATCGACATAAAATACATCATACAGTTGCAAATCAAAGTTAATTAATTATCAACTGAAAGGAAAACACCGAAAAAAGAAGAGACGAATAAATATATATAAAAAGAAAGTAAGGCACTGGAAGTGTTGATTCAGTTAAAGAGAAAGTTAAATAATACAGAAAATCTGTGCGTGTAACAAAAATTCATTCAAAAAATCACTTTGTGTGCTTCCAGTTGACTCAATCCAATATTATACTATTCATTATATCAGCATGTCTTGGCCATCGGATGTCGGTATTTTGGGCATTGAATTAGTGTTTCCATCATTATACATTGATCAGACGGAATTAGAACAGTTTGATGGGGTTTCTGCTGGAAAATATACAGTTGGTCTTGGACAATCCAAAATGGGATTCTGTACAGATCGTGAGGACATTAATTCATTATGTCTGACTGTTGTCAGTAACTTACTTAAGCGCTACAATGTAAATCCAAAAGATATTGGACGTTTGGAAGTTGGAACTGAGACAATAATTGATAAATCAAAGTCCGTTAAGTCAGTGCTGATGCAATTGTTTGATGAATATGGTGCGACTGACCTTGAAGGAATTGATACAACTAATGCATGTTACGGCGGGACCGCTGCATTATTTAATGCTATCAATTGGATTGAATCATCAAGCTATGATGGACGTTTAGCTTTAGTTGTTTGTGGTGACATTGCTGTTTATGCAAAAGGTTCTGCAAGACCGACTGGAGGTGCTGGAGCGATTGCTATGCTTATAGGCCCAAATGCACCATTAGTTTTTGATCGTAAAGTAAGAGCAACTTATATGAAACATGCTTATGACTTTTATAAGCCAGACTTGACATCAGAATTCCCAGTCGTCGATGGAAAATTGTCAATTCAGTGCTATTTGAGTGCACTTGATAGCTGCTATCGACTTTATTGTGAAAAGTATCAAAAACAAAATCCAGGAGCTAAAGTTCTTGGCCTAAATCAATTTGATGCTCTCGTATTTCACACACCGTACTGTAAGCTTGTACAGAAATCTTTAGGGCGTGTAAGTCTGAACGATTTTGTTTTAACTACGGATCCGGAACAGAGGAAAGAATTGTATCCAGCAATTTATGAAAAATACGAATCCATTAAGCTTGAGGAAACGTATTTTGATCGAGATGTCGAAAAATTATTTATGGATTACTCAAAGGACATATTTAATAAGAAGACCAAACCATCACTGTTGCTTGCCAATCAAGTTGGAAATATGTACACACCATCAGTTTACTCAGGTTTAGTATCATATCTTATAAGTGCTGATGAGGATGTCAATAAGCTTCTAGGTAAACACATTGGTGTCTTTTCGTATGGCTCAGGATTAGCATCTACAATGTACTCAATTAGTGTAACAAATGATTGTACAAAACTTCAACCATTACTTGATAAGCTTAATTATGTTAAACCGTTGCTCGAACAAAGAATAAAAATTTCACCGCAAGAATTTACAGAATTAATGGAAGTACGTGTTCATAATTCACATCGTACGAATTTCGAGCCAAGCGGTGCAATTGATAGACTATTCCCCGGTACTTACTATTTAAAATATGTTGATGATATGCATCGACGAACTTATGAGAAACGAGAATGAAAACATCATTAAATCAATTACCTAATTTTTTGAGGATTAACTCTCTTTTTTGTTAGTATTTTTTTGGTATTTTTATGGTTTTGGTTTCAAACAAGCAGCAAGCTACAAAGATGATGAAGAAGAAACTGTTCTTTCCTTTCTTTCTTTTATTATTCTGCTAATAATAGTAGATATCTCATTACTGGGTCAGTTATTATTTATGTAGATGTTATTATTGTTATGTTACAGACAAGGCAAGTGGCAAATTAATGACAGTTTAGTAATTATTAATGATTTTTTTTTATTATGCTTAAATACTTAATTTGTAGTTGAACTAATAGGCATTTGCATGATTCTTGAGACTAGGGTTTCTGTGGGAAATCTCTGGAGCTTTTTAACAGAATTTTAGACTAACACTTGACAAACGAACTTAATTTTTTGAAGTATTACACATCACTTCTTGATCATACAACTTCAGATTCCAGTTGCAGAAACCCTAGACACTCAATTCTTCCCAATAAACATGATACAATAAGCTTCGATTGTATTATCTTTTTCGTTTAGAAAAACAAAATTTTAAGTTCCCCCGAACTGCCTGCAAATACTTCAAATGAGCGCAAAAAACTAAATTCTAAGCATCATAAAATTGAAAATAAATTATTAAATTATGTAAAGAAGATATAAAGTCGTAAAAACGTGCAGACGTGGCACTTTTCATAGAATTGGTTGTATTGTTAATAATAAAAAAAACCGTACTAAAGTTTATTTAATAAAGCGAATGCAATTCACAAAAGATGACGATAAAAGGGGTGGTTCATGAGTGATGTCTATCCAAGTGACAAAAGAAAGCAAGAGCAGCCATTTGGATACTATTTAAATTCCAAACTCTTCAAAGTTTCGTTAAGTTGTAAGACATCATTGATGAACAAACCCAAATAATAACAGCCAAAAATCTCAAAAAATGATAGTAACAGACATATCTCCATCTCTATGATTTTTGTACTCATTTAATTTTGGAGAAGCATTCCTGAATGGAAATTATGATTAATTAATGAAAGCACATTTTATACTCATGAGATGTAACAATAAAAATATCGAAATTAATTAGTGCATTAAGTTAAAGTAAATTGTAAGCTTCAAATTAAGCTTGTGCTCCAAAATGTTTCTTCTCGTGCCTTAAAAAAACAATTAAAACTTCTATTTATGACAAATAATTAAATTTTATAAAAAAAAAATGATGCAATAAGAAAGTCGAATAAATTACAAATTTCATAATCTAAACAAAAAATTTCACCTCTGACGTAGCTTTAATCATTTTCAGTTGCGAAATAACTTTCCTCAAAGGCATTAGACGAGTAATAGCAAGGTCATGTCTTATGGAAGAAGATTTTTTTTCCCTCGAATTTACATTCAATTGTGTTGTTTACACTACTGATGATTTATTTAATATAGGTGCGGGATTATAAAGAAGTAAGATCGATCGAGTGAAAATACATGTGTGCAGCATCAATTCATTCAGATTCTTGGACAAATTTACATAAATAACTCTTATTTTTTAGCGCGTGATGATGAGATTAAATTTATGAGGATCTTTAACACATTTCTAAGTAGTTTACATTACAAAAGACTGTTTATTTTCGATACTTTTTTTTGAGGAAACAAATCGGATGATTTTATGACCTCTTTGGACTTTACTGAGAGAAAATAATCATTTTTTGAGATCAAACTCTTTAAAAATAGGTTTTGAATTGATTTTGTTTTTAGATTTTTGAAACATTTTTCCTAATTTAAAAGATTTGCGCCAAAAATTAACATTTCTTGATCGATATCGACTCAACTTCAAGTTTTGCTGCATAAATCAAGAATTGCGCGAAAAATAATCAATTGTTCATAAATTGTCAATAAAAGAGTCAAAAGTCATCTCAGGTAAATCAATATCAATTTCATAACTATACCAATTCTATTACAGCACATATTCCAGGAAGAACGCTCAATAAATTTAAATGAAAAGACTCAATTTAAATTTTCTATCAATAAGTGCAAAAGTTCATTAATTATTTATCAGACGTCATCAATTTCTGATTTCTATACGATAGACTCAAATTTCTGCGACAAAAATCTAGCTGTGCCAACTCAAGTTACAATTTATTACCAATCATAGCTGTTTCTGCGAGCTGAAATTTTGTGAATCATCGACATTTTTTGTGCTTGAACAATTTGCAGAGTAGCACTCAATGTCAAGAGACTTTCTATTACAAAAATTGAGATATTTAATTATAATTGAAATGTTAATGGAACCATCGTCCATCAAATAAGTTTTAATTAAAAAGTACCACTCATAATTAAGGTTGTTCAATTAAAAATCATTGCTATGTGAAATTTGCCACTAGACATCAAACATTCCAGAAGAAATCAAAAATCAAGCTACGCAAAAAATCAATTCAATTTCCCAAATTCTCGTGAATAACCCAATTTATTCGAGAAATCTTCCAGTGACACATCTAACAAGCTACAAGAACTTTTTTTCTTATTTCTCCATTCGTGCGTCTCAAAACATGTCCAATAAAAATATTTTTGTTATTGTCAAATTTTTCCACACCAATAACTGGTTCCTACATTAGATTCCAATAGAAATCGTATTTTAGTAACTGTAAATCAGTGAAGCTTCGCGAAGAAGAAGTCAAGTTAATTCAATCGTCTTCCGAAAAATCAAAAAGAGAATGGAATAGAAAAAAATTTACATAAAAATTGTGAAGTCACAAAATGAGGAAACGTTAATGAAATTCTATTTAGCAGCAATCACTTGACATTTAGTTTTTTTTTTTTTGTCCAACTATCGAATAATAAGTAGTGAAAGGAAGACAATTGATCAAATCATCGACTAAGGAAGACCACAAATAATCTGCACGTGATACTACATGCCACAAAAACCGGTCATTACCCAACCTCATTGACTATTTCAAGTTTCATTTGCGTTTGAAAATAAAAAGAATCACGTGTTGATTCCTTCCTCAAATTTGAGATATAAAATCTTATTAACCATTCACACTTGAGGAAAGTAAACCAGTTGAGGCATACGCAACTCTTCTTATCGAATACACGTTTACATTCTCGATTGCCTCATCATGAGCTCCAAACTCGTCTGGACTTATCCCATTTATTATCTTCGCAGAAACTTGTGAAATTTTGAGTTTGACATTTTTTGAATTCCTTGGTTTGAGGGATCGTTTGTTAATGATGTCTAGCATTCCTAAAGATTAGGTGGTAAAAACTTGTTTTTATTAAAATATGTGCTTTTGAGGTTAGATATCAATTTATATCGAGAAACTAGCTTCTAGTCATTTGCATCCTGCGGTTCGAGGTAATTTGATTTTAAACTGTGAATCACAAATTTCACTAGACAGTTGCTGCAACCCAGAAAATGACACCAATTTGTGGTTATTTGCTTCAAGCAGCTCTAGAAATCCAGCTTATTCCAGAAACTTATTTATTATACCAAATTCCAATAATCAACAAACTTTTAAGTAAGACTTTAGGAGTTGGCAACAATCTTAAAGATAAAAATATTCTTTAAGTGCACTGATAAAAGTATTAATCTCCATAATCTCCCCAATAAATCCACTGATAAACAAACTTAATGTCTGTAAAATGTAAATTTTGGATAAAAATTTTTTTATACGGATCCAAAGTAATTATCAAATGACACCTTTTTATTTGCCAACTATAGCTTTAAACAATAAAACTCCACAGTTATCAAGTTTGTTGACTCAGTCAAAAAAATACTTTATTCGGATAATATTCACACCTGCGAAAGTTGTTATTCATCCCATTGAATTCTTTAGAAATTTATTTTGCAAGAAGAGGATCTGAATCATTACAAATCAGCCACCTGATTAAATAATCAGCGATATTTATTGACTTAATACTTGAAGGACAGAGTTCAATTAAAATCTAAACAATTTATCATTCGTTAAGCCACGAAAAAAATTGCTTTTATTAAGCATTGACCTCTTCTTAATCAGTCATTCCAATAGAGTAGATGACCATGACTTTTTCAAGGTTGCAACTTTTTACCGGAAAAAAATGAAGAAGAAAGAAACTTTTGGGGAGATTAGTTTGAGGTGTTGCAGATGTTTAAGGGGTAATAAATAAAGCTAGTCATTTGAGTAAGCTTATTATAAGCTCGAACGTGTGATCAGATGGTTTAAAAAAGTATGTTAGGAATTTAAAAGAGTTAAGTATGTTGGAGAGATTGATAAAAAGTTGGTAGAAAGTCTTAAACATTATTGAAAATCTCGAGAATTACATGATCATAAAAACTTATTGTTTCGAGTGTCTAAACTCTACAATTCGAGTATAGTAAAGTTGGACAACTCTTTAACCATTCAAATTAATGGTAAGTAACTGATCAACTGACATTTGAATATCAGATTCACATTTTCTTTATGTCGTAAACCAAGGGTGCGGTACTGATTAAATGATCAAAATGTAATTCATCAGTTCCACACCCTTGTCCATTTACCATAAATTTGGCACAAAAAATAGCCTTGAGTTAAAAACTTCACACAATCTGCTGGAAGTTACAAAATGAGAGATTCCAAAAATTTTCCTTACTTGGGATCATTGACTAATGATGTCCAAAACAGTAAAACTTTTTCAAAACTCTTTTTTGTTTGATGGCGTCATAAGTGAATAAACCCCCGACAATTCAGTCAAAAAATAAGAATTACAGCATATGATTGGATGTGAAAAATGCAGAGAAATTGCGATCATGCTGAGATTATATTAGCTGTAGACTAGATAATTTTTTGCAATAATTTAAATCTTTTATGTTTGAAGTCTTTTGATTAAGCCATAAAGATTTGAGGACCTAAATTGATCATATTTGACAGATAGCTTTAAACATTTAATTAATTTGACTCTACAACAGCTTAACCACCTAATGTCATTAGTGTCTCATCTAAATTCCATTCTTTATACCGAGAAGCAGAAAACTATTAAAAGCAACAGCAGTAGTTGATTCCAATATTTGAATGAAATGTGTGTACGTGAAATTACATGTTTCTTTTAATTCTCTAGTGCGCTAAAATGTTGAATAGAAAAAGAGTCATAATAGTATCATATTAAGTAATTGATATCATGTCCATCAACATTTTCGTATTTCATTACTTCCACCGAAAAGAAGGCAAGAAGAAAGCCAAATAAATTTTGAGTGTTTCTATTAATATAAGTAATTGCGAATAGGAATTGAGAAATATCGCAGTATTAAATCTGACACATTTCTTTTCATTCCTTTCCTCTCTTCTTCTTCTATTTTCACTTATATCCAACTTCAATGAATGGATTTAAGATTCAATTCAAGAACGAAAATGTTGTGAATATAAGCAAACAACATAACAGTTTAACAGAAGATAAAATGCTTATTGTAAGGCGCATTTTCATTTAATTTCATTATTTTTATATGCCAAGCTTGGAAGTCTGTGAACATTTTGCACTGCCATTGAATCTATGGCTCTAAAACATAACAGTAACACAAACAACAAGAATTTCCTCAGATTATGTGCCACAAATAAATTCCACATTTCTTTTATGAGATTTACAGGCTGACATGAGGGGATTAACAAAGTAATTAATACATAAGTCTGGTGCCTTTGAAACACAAATTCAGATGCGCTAAAATTGATAAATTTCTAATAATCATGAATTGAAGATCAATTGGCCAATTATGAGCTATGATATGCTTTTCAGTCTAGTCAAGACGAGAGAATAATAGCTGATTATTGTTGGTTATTGTTGAATGCCTTTAATTGCTTTATCTCTTGATACTCGATCATTAAATCAAATTTTTGTTTTGTTTATTGAATGATTAGAGCTTTCCTATTATTCTCAGCAAAAATGGATGTCTATCCAAAGTGCCAAAGAATTTATGTCAAATTTCTTTCTACTTATGGCATTAAAGAAAGCCTCGGATGGATTTAAGATTTGAGGAATTATCCAAAATCATGTGAACATTTTTGACACAAATTTGATGTTTTCTTCCATTTAATAAAACTCAGCATCACCGTTGAGTGTCCATAGACACAATATATGAGCATTTCCGTCATGATCACTTACTCGCTTCTAACATTTGTTTTTGTCTGACTACCTCTCATTAAACTCTGTAGTTGACAACTTGTGAAAGTGAACTTGATGATGAAAAATGGAAGTTCTTATGGACTGAAAATTTCTACTTCCTCTCAGAAAATTATCAGCAGCTAATTTATAAATTCAAATTTGAGTAATTGAAAAAATCGACAACATTGTAAGCAGAAGAGGAAAGACAGCATTTTTCTAATGATGTTGATGCTGTTGATGACGCTTAATGAATGAAAGTAAATCCAGAACTGGGTTAATGCAGCAGCCTTCAAATAAATATCTGTAAATTGCAACGCTAATTTGTGACATCATCATTATAATTTTGTGTTTTCTTTTCACTACTGACTTACATTCCCCAAACCACAATCATCATCAACATTCATTCCAGCCAGTCTTATGAATTTGATGAAATTAATTCTGCACAACTGCATTTGCCGTATGCAATAAAAAAATATTAAAGAAGAGACTGCGCAGCAATAAATGTTATAAGCTGTTGTTAATGATATAAATGCCTGGATTTTGTGCAACATACAAGAATCTTGTTCATACGATAGCAAGCAGTGATGTCATATATCGCGCAAAAATAAACTATGTGAAAGACAAAGCTGAAAATGAGATGAAAAAACCGTTTTGTGGCAGTGATCCATTAATAATAAGAACTGCGACTTGAACAATTTTCTCCACGTATGTGCTTATCCAATACTATAAGACAGTATCTTTTGAAGCTTTACATTTCAAGTATCATCGTTGTCTTAAGAACAGATGAAACTTGACACCAATTGACTATCCATTGAATATGTGCGAGAATTGTCTCAAAAGTTGATTTATTTGCCAATAGATCACATAACGTTATTTACATCTTGAGTAGCACTAAGTCATAAATTATCAATTGCATGTTGAGATCTTAATCAGTCATTCTATGTTCATCTTTAATTTCTTACAATAATGATTTAGATGACTAAAGTACTTGTGTAAACATGGTGCAATCAAATGCTTATGATGTAACTTAATAGGTAGATGCATTGGAAAAGGAAAGCTGTTCCGTAGCTGATAAAGACATAAGGGTTGGGTCTGGTACAAAACCATCTATTATTGGATGGGGTATGAACCCTAAATGCCCTCATTCGTAGGTAAGCAGTCCGAAAAATTCCAAATTCATGATAGTCATCACTTACGAACTTCCCGCACAGTCTGCATTATTTATTTACTTACTGCACACGTGCTCAACATTTACATGCACCTCTTGTTCTCTCTCTTTCTCGATTAAATAATTTCTCTGTGTTGAGTAACAGCCTATGTTGTGGATATATTCACCACAGTCTCTCGCAACAACGAAAAATCTTCTGTGAAAAGAATTCAACAAAGCTGAAAAAGAAATGGATAGAAGAGAAATGGGAAAAAGAAAAACTGAGAAAAAAAAGTAGCAGAAATGTTTATAAAATAACCTTCACCCATTCAGTTGCTCTTCAGTTGCTGCGCGATTGTTTCATGGTCAAGTTTGAGTTCTGATCGAAATAAAGCTAAAGTGGAAGTGAATTAAAATAAAGTTTTTACGGAGTAGAGAAGTAAAGTTAGTTGCATGTGCCGTTCTATATTAGAAAATGCAACTATTTCCATAAGAAGTTAATCAATTGTGAATTGTGAAGGAAAGGAATAAAAGTAAACGAAAGAAAAGTTGCTAAATAGAAAATAATCGAAGATCGAATCAAAATAGAGAAAAGAAGGTGAAGAATATAAGCATTAAACCATATAATAAGCTTCACGTTGCATTTGATTGTTTTACAACTAGAATCAAAAGTCATGCGGGTCCATTACTTTAATTCTCTTAGCCTACACAAAAATACTTTTATTTGGGCGCTTTTTGACTTTAAAAATATTTTAAAGGTTTACGTGCTGTTGAATGAGTGACTCAGGCGTATTTTTTGTGGCTGCAATCAAATGTCAATTATTAAATTGTTGCTTATAAAATTTGTCATAAAAGTGATTTTTTAATTTAACGTTATTTTAAAACTTGAACATTTAACGTCTTTTTAAAAATTTGAATTTTTAATGACTTTTATGAAATTTTTAAAAGAAATAGCTCTTGACTCTAGCTATTTCGTATTCTGCAAGATAAATCGACATGGCAAGAACTTGATAGCCACAAAAAATTAATAAAATCTACCAAACCAGACTTCTCAGCTCATTCCCAAACATGCGCTAAAACGATTTAAAAGAGTTTCTAATTTTCTCCTCAATAAAAAATTTATTAGACATGCGTCAGCGATTGATTCTTTCCATTATTAATGCTCGCTGTGATCTCAGAATAATTTTTTGTGATGAGTAGTTCTTCTTTCTTATGGATCACTGTTGCTGCTGCTGCTGCGTAAATAGGTCAAATAAATTTCATTTTCTTTTTTGCCATATTTACACGCTTATGAATATATCGACGAGGTAGTAAATAAGTATATATATATATGCATACTTGATGACCACATTTAGCACACTTTTCAATTCTGAATCGAAAATGAGCTTAAGAAAATTGTGTATTGGGTAAATTAATATTCACATTCTGTTGTGCGACCGATTTTAAAAATTTAAACTGAGAAATTTCACCGAAATTATTTTATTAATTTGCATGCCAAAAATGGATAATTCTCGTTCCGCATAAAACAGGAAAATAAGTGTTCCAGTAGTGATAGTTAGGACGTTCATTACATCTAAATCTGGGGCATACATTTTAAAGATGATTGGTATCGCAGTCACATATCTCGTTAAACGTGTAAAAATTCACAGTTATGGATATTTTATAGCTTTTTGATTGGAATAATATTTATACATTGTGCATCTTGACACTCAACCTTTGTGGGTGGTTCGTCATTCATTAATGCAAGATTTTTTTTAAGGTTTGGTACCTTCTCAAAATTCTTTATCATTATATGATCTCATAATGATGTCATCAATTCTCTTTCATGTCATTTTCATCATGTTTTTTTTTTCAACATGCTGCACGTACTTATTCACATATCGCGAATGTGGATCAGAGAAAATAAGGTAAAATTGAGATGAAGCTTGTCCGATAAGAAAGGATTGCTTTTTTTTATTTCACTTCTTTTTATTGATCGTGCGGCATTGTGCTGTGTGGATTTCAAAATATTCGATTATCTCTTTAACAATACATAATTGCTACAAATTTCAAGTTCGTACTCTCTTGGCATTCATACAACTTCTGGGATGTACATATTTATTATTTGGGTATCAAGAAAAATCTGAGGTTAAAGTGGCATTGTTATTTATAATTTGGGATTTATTTCTTTATTTGCTGGATTTCCTGCTTCTGATTAATATTTCATGGTCAATGGATGTTGTATTCATATATGAATAGAGCCTAAGACAATCCACAAATAGATTAATTTAAATTTGGATCATTTTGTTACAAAACAAAGGATTAAGAATCAAGTTTCAAATTTTCTCATACAATAATATTCTAATGTGCTGTATAGATGAAGAAGCAAAGCATTTTTAGTCACTGAAATGATCAATTAGACCGCATTCCTATAAATTCATTGAAATTTGCTGGATTGTCAGAACTTTTAATTGATCACTTCCGAATCGAGTGCTGAACTTCTTGTTTCCTCGATTCTCATGCCATTCCTATCTATTCATGATCTCATGCCTTATTTGATAAGACACTGCTCATTAATTCATCAATCCATCAATTTCTATAGCTTCTAGAAATCACACATTCGATAAAGCCATTAAAGTATAAACTTTAATGCCACAAAGATGAATCTCATCAGAATACCATATACTTAAATAAATCTAACTCCATACTTAGTTTCCACTGACTTGTTAAGCATTAATTCTATTCATCTTCACATCCATAAAAGAAAGTTCTTTTTTTCCAACAGATTTGTCGAGAGTGCATTTTTTGTCGTTCATCTACAGTGACTTATTAAATTGTCGAGTAGTAATACCCTGAAATTTCATAGAATTTTCTATAGGCAATTATCTAAAGTAACCAGCATGACACGGCATTGAAGTTGATGAAAGTAAACTCTTTTTATGGAGACAGAGGTTCATTCTAGCAAAAAAAAAGAACTAGAGTTCTAAAAGAGCTGAAAAGCATTTCGGCAGAGATAATTAGAAGATATTTGAAGCAATACATGACTACTTAACTTTACTTTCTTTTAACATTACCTTGTTAACTCATTCCTCTTAAATCTCTTTTGTTGTTATGAAATTCTTGATTAGGCTGCTGGTTAGACTTGAGTGAATAGCAACCAAAAATTAACCGTTTTAGAATAATTTCATTATTTAATTATCATGATCAAATGCCTTCATAATTACTTTATTATTACAATTTTTTTTTTTGCATTAAAAAGAAACCCGAGTAGTGGTGAATTAGTTCTCATGAATACATATTACGAACAATATAACTGAAATTTATTTCTCTTCATTCACTTTGCTCATCATTCTTTTGTGTACGGCTCTTTAAAATAATTCCTCATCGTTTTTCTACACTTTTCAGCGATGAATATCATTCGTTTTGGCTGACTAAGTTGATAGCTGAATTCTTAAAAATCACTGTTAAATGGAATTCTTAATCTGATATCTACTTGAGACTTATTCTTTGCCATTCTTTATGTGAATTCTATGAGCTTAGTTTGCAATTTAGATCCTTCTAAGTGTTTTTATAGATTAAAAGATTTTCGAAGTGAGAAAATTTTGTCAGTCGCCATTTTGCTAATTTTTGATGAAATTTCAAGTTGTCAAATCTTCTAAGGTCATTGAACTTGATCTTAAAAAGAAAAAAATGTTGAAAAATGCGTCCAAACCTCAAAACTGTCAACCTAACCTTCAACTTTTGCACTCGCAATTTTTTTATGTTCTGACAATTTTCTGAAATAAATATAAATTATATCATAAATCTTTGGTTAATGACCTCACCAGATCTCATGTGGTTAAAATTATAATGTCGTTTGAAAAGACATGCGACCCATCACCGCTCAAAGTCATCTAAAATGGCATATTCTATGGTTTACTTCTTCTACATATTTAAAATAGATGAAAAAAAGGTATTTTTGCACGCGTAAGTCCAATAATCTAATACCGTTATAATAACTCGACAAAAAAAAAATAAGTATGGAATGCCTCAAACTCCCTCATCTAAATGGAGTCTATTGATTATGTCAACATTTCTCCTCATAATGTGTCATGCCTTATTGTAATATATATTTATCAATATTTCTCACACAATGCGCTAACGGTGAACATACACCCAAATGACAAATGTGATTTCTTTTCGCATTTACATTTCCACTTTTACTTCAAATAGACATGGTTTTGATTTTTTTGCCTGAATCGAGTTGTTAAAAATAGACAGATGATGCTATCTACAGAATACATTATCTGGTGATCTTTTGGTGTGGACAATCTAATGTGGAACATCCTAAACAACTTTAAAAACTTTTTTTTTTGAAGTTCGAAGAATGAGGTTTGAATTTTATTGAGCATGTCGACTAGTCACTTAATGGGCTGGATTGTGCTAAATTCACTGAATTCATTGAACTGCGATGAACTCTTTTTTATTTGGGGTTCGATTGATAGTTACGTCTGAGAAGAATTGGAGTGGGTTTTGAGCTGGATGATACTTTTAATAATGTTATATACAAGATGTTCATTTCAAGATTGATTTTTGTTTGGAATAAAGTTCAAATCCTCTTGCATGCCTTTTTAAGCATTCTTGAGAGATGTGAGGTAATCTATGAGTTCCATTACATTTGTAACATCATTTATAGACTCCTCAATATATTCAAATTAAATCTTAATTCCTTTTACAAACAAAGAATCTGTTGACTACGAGAATTATGCAGATATCGACCCAATATAGATTCCCATATCGTTAATATTCAGCAACCTCTCATAAATATCGAATAGAAAATCGATTTTGAAAGACTATAAATGAAAAATTTAGATATATCCATAAATCACTTTATAAAGGATCAGATTTCATAATGAGGAATGGATTTTTAATTGCCGTTCCGTTGTGAATTGACCCGAAGATATTTAAGTAACCCATCAAAAAAAGACTTTTTGTATTGTTAATGTTTCTTCATTAGAACTGGCTATAAAAATTTTAAAGAAGATATAAATCATGATAAACTCAAGAGTCATAATAATTTTATGCAAATTTCTCTCTGCCATTGTAAAGAAATTAATAAAAAGTTACCGTTAATTTCCTCATTGTCTCTCTCATTGCTGGATCTCTTTTCTTTAAATTTTTGTTAATTAAATGAAGTCAAAGTAACACAGCAGCAGTTGAGGATTCATTAAAGCTAATTTGATCGATAATTAAGCAAGATGATTGAAATATGCTTAAACTATGTCATATCTTCAATTTTCTCTTGTAATTGAATATCTCTTAAGCAGTTAATTAACTTTGTTTCCAATAACAAGAAGAAATTGGTCCATAGCTGCTCTGAATATTTAATTCTGTTATGTGCTCACGATTTTTCATGGCATCATGTCCAATACTGGGTATAAAATTTCTTAAACTGACTGGTTATCAAGCATAAAAAATGCATTCCGCGTCAAGCAGTTCTGTTTAGTTTATTATTAATGGATCATTGCTGTAGAACGGTTTATTTATCTCATTTCTATTTTTTTGCGGAATATGTGAACATTATGACATCACTGCTAGCTATCGTATGAACAAGATTCTTGTATGTTGCACAAAATCCAGGCATTTATATCATTAACAACAGCTTATAACATTTATTGCTGCACAGTCTCTTCTTCAATTTTATTTTTATGGCAAGCAGAAAATGCAGTTGTGCAGAATTAATTTCATCAAATTCATGAGACTGACTGGAATGGATGTTGATGATGATTGTGGTTTGGGGAATGTAAGTCAGTAGTGAAAAGAAAACACAAAATTATAATGATGATGTCACAAATTAGCGTTGCAATTTACAGATATTTATTTGAAGGCTGCTGCATTAACCCAGTTCTGGATTTACTTTCATTCATCAAGCGTCATCAACAGCATCAACATCATTAGAAAAATGCTGTCTTTCCTCTTCTGCTTACAATGTTGTCGATTTTTTCAATTACTCAAATTTGAATTTATAAATTAGCTGCTGATAATTTTCTGAGAGGAAGTAGAAATTTTCAGTCCATAAGAACTTCCACTTTCATCATCAAGTTCACTTTCACACGTTGTCAAGTACAGAGTTTAATAAGAGGTAGTCAGACAAAAACAAATGTTAGAAGCAAGTAAGTGATCTCGACGGAAATGCTCATATATTGTGTCTATGGACACTCAACGGTGATGCTCAGTTTTATTAAATGGAAGAAAACATCAAATTTGTGTCAAAAATGTTCACATGATTTTGGATAATTCCTCAAATCTTAAATCCATCCGAGGCTTTCTTTAATGCCATAAGTAGAAAGAAATTTGACATAAATTCTTCGGCACTTTGGATAGACATCCATTTCTGCTGAGAATAATAGAAAAGCTCTAATCATTCAATAAACAAAACAAAACAAAAATTTGATTTAATGATAGGGTGACCATCTGCGTAGTTTTACAACGGACAGTCCTGTATTTCAAAACCCTGTCCTGTATAAATTTGAAAACTTTGTTCCAGGTCCTGTATTTTTTTCACGAAAATTTCCGTTAATTTTCGAATTTTACTCTATGTCCTGTATTTTTCGAAAAAATTTACCAAAAGTCCTGTATTTTCATGAAAATTAGATGGTAACCCTATTTAATGATCGAGTATCAAGAGATAAAGCAATTAAAGGCATTCAACAATAACCAACAATAATCAGCTATTATTCTCTCGTCTTGACTAGACTGAAAAGCATATCATAGCTCATAATTGGCCAATTGATCTTCAATTCATGATTATTAGAAATTTATCAATTTTAGCGCATCTGAATTTGTGTTTCAAAGGCACCAGACTCATGTATTAATTACTTTGTTAATCCCCTCATGTCAGCCTGTAAATCTCATAAAAGAAATGTGGAATTTATTTGTGGCACATAATCTGAGGAAATTCTTGTTGTTTGTGTTACTGTTATGTTTTAGAGCCATAGATTCAATGGCAGTGCAAAATGTTCACAGACTTCCAAGCTTGGCATATAAAATAATGAAATTAAATGAAAATGCGCCTTACAATAAGCATTTTATCTTCTGTTAAACTGTTATGTTGTTTGCCAATGGGTGCCTACAACAATGTAGACCGTTATTTTTTCTAAAATTCAAACCTGTTTCGAAAAAATTCGAAAAATAATTTTTTATAAAAAATTTTGAAATTTTAAAGACCGTTAAATTTATTTATGAACAAAAATCAATTCTTCGACGCAAATTTGTTTTTTGAATGTAACAATCGACAATGAAGCTCAAGTTTTGATGGAAAAGTTACAAAAAATAATATTAAATTTTCAATAGTCTTTGAACAATGCTCAAATGGAATTTCAACCTGACTAAGAACAATATCTGAAAATTTTGTCTTGAATGTGTTACTATCACTTACAGCAGAAATCTCACTTCCGTCGACACTTATGTTGTTTGATTTTAAAAATAACAAGCATTTATCTTTGTTTAATGAGTGCTTAGGTACTTTAAAAAGATTTGTAATTGTTTTATTTTTGTTGCAGCTTGCAATTTTGCAGGTTTTACCCATAATTAATGAAAATTAATCAAAATTTTACTGATGTAAACAAATATAATTTTTTGATGAAATATTTTTAACGGAATTTCATTTTTTTGAAAAAAATTCAAATTCGAATTTTCGATTTCGAAGAATAAGGACCATTTTCGAAGAATAAGAACCATCGGCACCCATTGGGTTGTTTGCTTATATTCACAACATTTTCGTTCTTGAATTGAATCTTAAATCCATTCATTGAAGTTGGATATAAGTGAAAATAGAAGAAGAAGAGAGGAAAGGAATGAAAAGAAATGTGTCAGATTTAATACTGCGATATTTCTCAATTCCTATTCGCAATTACTTATATTAATAGAAACACTCAAAATTTATTTGGCTTTCTTCTTGCCTCCTTTTAATGTTGATGGACCAAAGTATCAATTACTTAATATGATACTATTATGACTTTTTGCCTATTCATTAGTGAAAACATTTTAACACACGCTGGTAAATTAAAAAGAATTTTTTTTAAACATTTTTTTTTCTTCTTTCTTCTCATTCTACATAAAAACATTTAGCCCGAAGAGAAACATACAGCACAGTGTAGATTTGGATCTAACAAAACTTAAAACAAATTAAGCATCATAAAAAATGTGTCCAAAAATAAGGCTGATTACAATTTTAGGAATAATTTTGCTTATTAATTCGTTAACTACCTCAGTACACGCAAGACGAAAATCACGACAAGAGGCAATCGACAGTCCGATTGAAAATGCTGCAGATGCGCCATTGGAAGATAATCTTGCAACAGCTTCTGGTTCTGATTTAACTCAGAGCGAGGAAATTGTGGAAGTACCGAACGAAGCACGCAAAACGGAAGCCTCAGTTGTTGATGAGTCAACGAGCTCATCAAACATTGAATGCAGTCCAGATAACATCAGTTTTGAACTTGTGACTGGGTAATGCTAATGAGAATATAATGAAACAATTTAATTACAGAAAAAATTATATGATTCTAATGAATTATTACTTCCATTAACAGTTATATGTTCTCAGCATCAAATGAATTGCTTGATTCCGTACCCGGTACTTTAATGCTCAACGACTGCTTAGAACAATGTCAAGCAAATGATTCGTGTAGTGCGGTTAATTATGAAACTGGATTATGTGTGCTATTCTCATCAAATGCCGATAAATTACCTGGTAAATACAATCCCATTTCTTTTCATTATTCGCACAATAATGACTTGTTGATTCTGTTGAGAATCTCACAATTTACTCTTTCAATTCTGCAATACGAGTGAAATTGATACATCAGAAATGGTTAACCGAAAAAGAACTGTGCTACTTTTGTTGATGAGTCTTCTTTGTAAGAATTCTTGTGTGCTTGAAAGGAAGCCTTACTAAAGTGTAAATGACTGAGGTAAATACAGTTCCTTGAGAGTAGATGCAAAGGTTGAAAACTGCAAAACAGTCACTTGAAGTATTCTTAGAGTTAAAAGTTAATTTTTATATTCACACCGTTTTCACGTGTGAATCTATTTGTTTTGTTCAGATCGAAAAATCAGATTTTTGAATTTTGTGAGGATATGGAGCAAGATAGCTTAAAATGTTCAGAGATGAAAAGTTTGTGCCTGGAATTTCACATCTTTTGCAAAAAAACAGATTTCAAATTGGTTGCGGCATTGTTGAGAAAATCGCAAAATACGCTTTCTGTAAGCAAACAAGCAAGCAATCGAGTTAATCAGCAAGAAATCTCAATAACGAGACATCGTAGAGACTTCTAGTTTTTTACATGTGATCCGTGCTGCTCTATAGAAGAGCTGTATTGTTTTTGAGCAAGGTAGGAACAGCCGTTGCTTCAGAAAAAGCAAAAAACTTTCCTTTCTCACGAATTTTCAAATTAAAAGTTTACTGTGATTTTTTTTAAATTAAACTTTGAATGAAAAAAAAAAATTTTAATAATCTTTCAAAGAATGTTCGTTAAGCTTTAAACCTTCAAACATATGCTGAGCGAAGCCCAGCTGACGCGCTAGCTTCATACCTTCAAATTTATGCTAAGCAAATCTTGGTCTATTCATAAGACTTTTGATGGTACGGTGTGAATATATCCGCATTGGGTTTCTACCCGATACACTAGTTATATATTGATTCTGTACAATTTTGAGTTTACTCCATATTGTAACTATAATACAAGCTTTAATGAATAGTTTGTCCTGTTTTGATTCTGGTTCTTAAGTCAAAAATCCCCATTTTTAACAATAAATTGATAATTCCACAAAGAGAACAAACATAAAGTCAAAAACCCTACACAAGTTCTTTAAAATGTTAAGAATTTGTTCGGTTCTCAAGAGTTCAGATCAACTTAATTTCTCACAAAATATTGTGGCATAATTAACTTTTTAATCACTCATATTAATGACTTTTTAAGATAATTCCGTATCGATTAGAAAGCAGTATATAAAAATATACGTAAGTGATCATAAAAGCATTATCTTAAAAAACGATGCGTTCGGTAGAAATTAAAGAAGAATAAGAGTCTTAAATTCACTTCTTATTTCACCTCCCTTCCGCTTACTAGATGATTCTACAAAAAAATTAAATCTATAATAATCATTAAAGAAATGTCCATAAGACGTTTAAAAAAGAATTAAAAGAAATTTTTGTTACGATTTTCGAGCAATCAAATGCGAAGAACAAGAAGAAGGCACGGAAAGAAAAAACAATTAAAATAGATTTTTGTCGAAGATCTAACTGTTTTATTTGTAGTAATCTTTCAACAGCGTATAAAGCTATACTTATCTAAAAGAATAGATACTGCCAACAGTCAATGAAGATTGATGAGTTTTCAAAATAAAGAATTGAAATTAAGCTGAAAAAGTCTTAAGAGAATGAATGAATTAACGTTATTGTGCTAATAGTATTCTCTATTCCATCTATTTACTCAATTCATAATTCTTTTCTTTCCTTTCTCGTTCTCAGGTGCATTAACAAAGTCACAGTTTCCGGTATTTACAATTTATGCTCAAAAGACGAAATGCTTAAAGCAGAAGCCATGTGATCGTCCATGGTGCATTGATAGGGTTCAAGGTTATGCATTAAGAAATCACGTCAAACGATCATCTACAGCATTGTCACGTCAAGATTGCTACGAAATGTGCTTCAGAGAGACTGAATTTTACTGTCGGTAAGTTTTATTCGCAATTATTTTGTTTGTCTTTTCAATCTATGCGTGAAAAAAAGGCTTTTACCTCCTAACATGTCGTCTCGTTATTTCTCTTTTTTATTTTCTATTAAGAAAAAAAAAGTGAACGTGTGAGGATGACTAAAGAGCATTTTACGATTTAAATCAAGTAAAATTGCTTCAAGCTTCGAGGCACTTCTAACTGTTGTTTGAAAATTGAAATTAAAAAGTTTTGCAAAATTTTTAAAAAGAAGGTAAACAGTGAAACGAGGTGTCGTCTTGCGTGACCTCAAGTTCTTTGTTTGTTCTTCCTTAATTTATTAAATTTCCTGTTTTGATGGTGACTCGTCAGAATGTTAATGAGGTGGGATTAAGGGGATTATGCATTAAACATCGGAATAATGAGTTAAAAACTTAAAATGAGATATGAATTAAACTTTGGGTTCCTGAACGAGTATTAAATAAATCTAACGGCTTCTTCCATTCAAAATGTTTGAGTTCAGATTTTGAACTTCTACTGAACTGAATTGAACTTTGGGTTACTGAACGATTTTTAAATAAATCTAACGGCTTCTTCCATTAAAAATGTTTGAGTTCAAATTTTGAACTTCTACTGAACTGAATTGAACTTTGGGTTACTGAACGATTTTTAAATAAATCTAACGGCTTCTTCCATTCAAAATGTTTGAGTTCAAATTTTGAACTTCTACTGAACTGAATTGAACTTTGGGTTACTGAACGATTTTTAAATAAATCTAACTGCTTCTTCCATTAAAAATATTTGAGTTCAAATTTTGAACTTCTACTGAACTGAATTGAACTTTGAGTTACTGAACGATTTTTAAATAAATCTAACGGCTTCTTCCATTCAAAATGTTTGAGTTCAAATTTTGAACTTCAACTGAACTGAATTAAACTTTGAGTTAATGAACAACTTAATTAGAATTTTTCAAAATTTCTCTAATCGTTAAATCCAAACTGACTCTTATAATGCAAAAGACATGTGCAAAAAAAAAAGGAATTCAAGTAGCCAGAAGCCTGTTCATCCATCCAATAACATACAATCAATTGAAAACTCCGCAATAATTAATAAAATTAACATTTCAAAGTCAGTAGCACATGTAAAAGTGGTCGCGACAGCTCATTTGTCTTACAGAAAGTGTGCAAAAGAGAATCGCAAGGCTTAAAATAGCTAAAGGAAGATGAAGAAGGCATAAAAAGAGATCGATTGAGAAATTTGTGTGTGGCGATTGATTGGAAAGAATAAGATAAATGAAATTAATTCGTGTAGAAAAGAGTGGTAATTAATTAATCGCACTCGTCGACAAACAAGTAAGTAAGGAGGGATAGAGAAGAGAAGGTACCGATGATCGATTTGTTTAACACGCCATTTACCAATTTATTAGAATATTGAAATGAACGAAAATTACATAGCTGAACGTAATGCTTTGATGAAATTTAGACGGAACAAATCCTTTCAATCGTCTTAAATCCACACATTCAGTTCCATGCAAAAGAAGCTTTTCTTGCTTTATTATTCAATTTTATGAAACTATGCCGTGGTAATTTACCTATATAGCTTTAATTTTTAATTTCTTACCTGAAATAAATAACTGCTTGATAGATATCGCAATGCATGCGTTACAATTTCGATGATGATGATAAAAGCTTAAACTTAAGGTGTAATCGTGATTATTCAACTGCGGTGATGTAAGATTAAGCGAAATAAATAACTGGGAAAAGAAGCAGCATAGAAATTACATGATTTGATGAATTGAAACGCTTCTGTTTGCTAATAAGAATTAAACACAATGAAATAAAATAAGGCAAGTACATGCCTACTTATCTTTCTATCTCGTATCATTATTCTGCAAACAATCATTAGAAGAAGAAAATTCCACTCACATATGAAGTAAGTTGCATGGGAGTTCATCGAACCTTTTTTCTTTCTTTTTTTTTTATTTTAAAGAAATTGTTGATTTTTTATTTTATTTTATGCGAGAGATGTTATGCGAACATTGTTGATGATGCTGAGATTCCATCCTTAGGGGTTCGTTTGCTAGTGATGACTATAAAGTTCTTAAGTTCTTATTCTATCATTCCTTTAAGGAATAGTGGCTAATTAAGGTGGTGTTACGCTGAAACAATGACTTAGTGAGTCTAGAGTTCAACACTAGACTCCATCTAGTCAAATACGAGCTCTACTGAAGTCTGGTAAACTTAAACTAACAGAACCATGTATTCAAGAGCATCAAACACAGCATTAGATCCTCTTTTCAATAAATCTTAGTCGTAACTCACAAACGGTTCCCATTAATGCAATTAAGTATGTGAAAATTGAGTATTCTTTGCTAATACTTAATGTTGCGTGAAGTGATTTATGATTTTCATTAAAAAATAAACAGTTTTCGTTGTTGCTTTTTTCTCATCATTTACACAAAAATAAAAGAGTTTCACCTGCAAAAGTGCACTTGAAAAAAGAAAGATTCTTAATGTCCATCTTTGGTGCTGTAAAAATTGTCAGACTTGAAAGTTCTCGTGTCTCACAATTACCATACATAATGATTTACAGATGACTATCAAATATGCAAGAAAAGAACTTCCACTTCACTGTTACTCGTTTTAAGCAGCAACAGCAGCAACATTCTATAATTACATTCCATCTTCAGCACAAACCATCGATGGATGTTCTTTTCTTCCATTTTCCATCAATCATTGGATAATTAATTGAATTTCAATATAAATATATGTAAAATTATTCACCTTGCAGCATGTTAACTTTCTTCACACACATTATTCATGCGATATTATTATGGTGTACATTAACTGCTACTAAAAGCTTTAATAAAAGTGTCGAATATGCGCGTGAAGAATTTAATAAAAAAAATTATTATTAATGGGAAATTAGCTGGAGTATGAATTATGATTGAATGTTGTACGCAAATTGAAAATGAAATTGAATTGTTCATTGAACGCAGGGCATTGAGTTGAAAAGAGTTTAAAAAGAGACGATAATTGATTTTTACGATGGCTTGAAATGGTTTTTACGGTATTTTTTGAAATTGAGGATTTCAAACTCAATTTTGAACCTTACAAATATTTTAAAATTGAAACCTTTCAACAGCTTTTAAAGCAAAACCTTACAGCAGCAAAAATTATTTAAAAACCTTATAAATGATTGGAAAACCATCTAATTGATTTAATTTGAAATATTCGTACAAAGCACTACAACAGCATTGTCTTGTCATTTCAAAACCTTACAACAACAATAAATTTACATGACATAAATCAGTAATACAATAATATTATCATAGCGGTTTTTGCCTCTCAATTGCTCAATTTAAAGTGGTCAGTAATTGCCATGAAATTCCCATATATGCAAAAAGATACAGAACATACATAATCAAATTTAGAAAGTTGTTCCTTAAAACAAAAAAAAAAGTCGTGACATAAAGAATTTCTCTTTCGACATAAAATCGAAGAAATAAGAAGATTTCAATGCAATAATAAGCAACGAAACGCTAATATAATTAGTATTAATTATGAAAGCGCCAGAGGATCAACATTTATAATTCTAGTTCTTCTTAAGTCTTTTTTCACTCGAAATAATCAGAAATGACAGCAATCGCTCACAGATGGAAGAATAAATTATAATTTTAAGACTTTTTTTGTCCCCTCGGGTGTCATATAAATGCATACGCATGAGAGGAAACATAAAATGCAATCGGTAAAATTAAATTAGAACCACAGATTCTTTTATTGATAGTAAATTTAAAGCTAATTAAGAAGAAAAAGTATTAAATTGATATAAAATATTCTTGGCGATTTGCACCATCTTGATGTTGATGAAGTGCCATTAAGGCAGTAAAGAAAATTGATGTATAATTAACACGATCGATCGATGTATAGATAGGAACATGAACTTTATCGACGGGTTTCTTCTCATGCATTTTTATGTGTACCTGAGGTGTATTTCTGATGAGATGATGGGGGGGGGGGGTCACCTTTTGAAGCCATCTTTATAAGAAAATAAGGTCAAGGCTTAGCAGAACCCATCCCCTTTTTTATTTGAGGTCCACAGGAGGTCCACCACTAAGACTTACATAACCTCAAAAAATCTTAACTCCACCCCTGCCTACCCATCATCAACCAATTAGATGAAGGAAGAAGAAGAAAAGCTGAGATATAATTCAAAGCACCATCAATTATGTAAATCAGAATTAAGTAATATAAAGCTAATAAGAAACTTGATTTATCTCAAAATGCATCTCATTGATGCTATGTGCACGGTAATCAGTAGCAAAGTGAAATAACCGAAATGAGGGGTCCAATTAAGAAGAAAATTTTCTCACATTTTTATAATGTTGATTTTTTTTTCTCTGCTTTCTTCTTTTCATTTCATTGCGCTACGGGTCTTTTACCTTAATCTTAACCTTACGCCTTAAGCGTCGCTCGGAATGTCTATTAGATAAGATATGTTGAGGCCTTTTTTAGAACACGCGCGTTTGCCTGCAAGTGGTTATTTTATTACCTTTTTGTATTTATAAAATAATAAAATAAAGAATCATCTATTATAGAGTTTATTTGAGATTGGGATTGGATGTTTGGCTTTTGAGTGCATGTAATTGAGTGTTTTTGACTGTTTGTTTTTGTATATTAAAGAATTTTTGGTGCTGTTAAGTTCTTAAAATTATAATTTATGCTTAGATGCATGCGTGATGCACAATAATATGGATCTGTTATTTTTATGAGATGAAGTCAAGCTTGAATCTGTTAAATTGATTTATGACAGGAAATTAAATTATTGCTTAACGGTTATAAAAAAATCAAATTTTACTCAAAGCGGGTTTCAAAAATTTGAATAAAAATCGTAACGGCTTTCAAAAATTCAAATTTTACTTAAAATAAGTTCAAAAATCAGAGTAAATTATTTAAAATTAAAACTCTCTCAAAAATGATAAATAGTCAAATAATCAGACATTCATGCCTAAATATGATTAGCCACATAATAACCGCAATTTCATGGATTTTGGTCAATTATTGACCCATTGTTTCAAAAACAATTTAAATTTCTAAAGTCCGTTATATTCAGCACTCCTTTATTCTCGTCCAATGCATCAATAGGTCTATTTATAATACAAACTTTAAAATGATGGAAAATGGGATGAGTAGCACCAATTCCTAATTTACTTTATATAAATTAATGTTACTCATTAAACGATACTCACAAAGTGTCAGTAATAGCTTTTTCATTTAATATAGGATAAAATTTATGTCTATAAGACATTAGAATCACAGCAGCACGCAAGCTATTGAATAAAAAAAATTTCTTTAAACTCATTTCATTTCTTAAATAATCAAATAATAAAATTTATGTCTCAATTGAGCATAATTTATTAGTTTTCTCTTCTATTGAATCACATGAAATATAATGAAAATTATGTTAAAAATATTTGAAATGAAGCTTTTAATCCCATCCATTATGATTGTAATATAATGATCATCAAAATCATCATAACTTACAGTAACATTAATTGTGTATATAAACTAACTCGCATAGATAGTTTCTGTATCACGTTCTACTTAGGTCTTATTTTACCACTTCTTTCATAAATATATTCATAATATAGTTTATACTCAGAAAATACTTAAAGTAGAATGAGATCAAAAAGCAGCAGAATCGTGTGTACATATATGTGTTTAATAATTGATTTCGCTTCTTTTCATGCCATTTTCGATACTTTATAAAAATGTCTAATTCGTATTATTTGTACGCGTACCTGCACCGAGATCAAGATTTGTGCCGCGTATTTTTATGCTGACATGATATGCTCTTGTATGGAATCTGCTTGACTGGCTGAGTTTGAGTTGCATTTAAACTGAATTGGGTTTTATAAAGTTCGTTGAATTTTTGACTTACTGAAATTTTGAAACCCGTTAAATATTCAAAATTATGAAAGGCGTTTAAAAATTCAAATTTTTGAAAGCTGTTAAAAATTCAAATTTTTGAAAACCGTTAAGAGTCAAATTTTAAAAATCCGTTAAAATTGAGTGACTTTCCGAGCCATTAAACTTTTCACTTTTCATGCGTCTAAGCCTCATGTACTTCCATAAAAATAATTCCATACAAGTTGCAGTGCAGCAACCGACCAGACCAACCCGACTTTACCTATTTCGATCCATGATAATATGTAATGACGATGATGATATGTTGCTTGGAATTCATTTCATGATCCTTTCATTGCTATGCATATTCTCTATGCATACATAGATAAGAATTTCAATTTTATAGTGCATGCGAAATTATCATAAAATTATTGTGTAAAATAAAATAAGACAGCATAGATAGCAAGAAAGAAAAAGAGGGAATTGCTGAGTAGTCAAAGAAAATATGCAGCATTACTGCATTAATAGAATTGTATGGATTTGTACTCGTAAAAGATGTGAAATGTGAGATGCAAGTATAGAATGACATTGTATGTGAGGCAATTGTATGTACTATTGTGCGTAGTCTCATGAATCATTCAGCATAAATTCCACGAACAATACAGAAAGTTGTCTGGCTGCAATGTTCTGTGGTCAGATGGTGATAGTGACTGTAATTAAAAACCTTTTCATACGTGTGAATTGCCTACGTAGATTCTCAAGTTACTGTCCTATTAATTCTCAGTATGCAGGCTATAGACTTTAGTGCCTTCGAACTCACTTCATGGAATTTACAGCATTCTTGTAGTTCCGATAATTAGATTGCTAAAATATGTGCTTAAGTACTTAACATTCGGAAGTTCACTTAAGCATCGAAAATTTCTCTTAAAAAATTCATGAATCAGCAAAAAAAAAAGTGGAAAACATTTTCGTAAGAAAGCATCGGCTAATTGTGCATAGACCTATTTACAGACATTTCGTGAGTAAAATCTTAGTTGCTTGCCAGCATCAATGTCTTGTATAGTTCTCAATATTTGTATGACTGTCAATTCTTTTGATTGAAGCTTGTCACGTGGACGTGCATTCAGAGATGTTTAGACTCTTTAAATTGGGAATTAACTTGAACATGAAGCTTCAATCTCTTATAAGGTCATTAAAATCAAGACTATGGATGATAAGCCTATCAATTGTAATGGGAATCATTTCTTACTGAATCTTTAATCTAAAAATCATAAAAATCTGCAAAAACAACGTTAAACTTGACGTTCCAACCTAATTTCACTCAAAGAAAGAAGATTCATCAAAAACTGACTGTCTGTGGCATCCTAAAGAGCTATTCATAAAAATTAGTGTAGAATAATCAGAAAAAATAAATTTGTTGGGGCAATTTTCCACTCGATTAGACGAAAATTGATCAAAATAAAGCGATTGAACATTAATTTTGACAGTTCCGTTTGTTATTAAAAGAAATGAGCGGTGCGAAAATGATTCCATTAATCAAGACTTGATTATGCAATAGACAAACTGTATAGTCAGGTCAAGAAATATTTGTCCAAAGAAGTGCACACAAATAAGAACAATTCGACAAGCAAGCAGCTATGCCACAGAGTAATTGAATGTAACAAATCCATACAAGATTCATAAATTACCATTATGAAGGAACAAGAAGAACATGTTCACATCAAGAAAAAGAACTCAGCATTCGCACGGGATCATAAAAGAGACTTTCTTCTTACTTCCACCTCTTTCCTCATTTGAATTCAGTGCTACTTTCTATCTCTTCTCGTTAATTCAAAGCCCCGAAAGTTATTTGGCATAATCGATGAAATAATGGAGTAGCTTAAGTCCAATGGGAAGTCGAAAGAACCGCAATACTTGTTTAATTCCTTTTATATTAATTAACTGCACATTTTATCATGCACTTTTATGTGCCTTCTCACATTACTCAGTGTCTTTTAATATCTTAATTTTTATTACCTTCTTTTACAATTCACAGATCGGCAAATTGGTACCCAAAAACGAATGTTTGTGAGCTTTCGGAAATGGATCGTATAACATTAAGTGGATTGTCATCTGCATTTAAGGCACAAGAAGATGCAGAATATCTTGAAAGTAACTGTATTGAAGAGCCGACAAAATTATGCGAATTTAAGCATTTGAGTGGAAAGATCTTGAAGACTGTTGATGCTGTGTACCAAGATGTCAATACAATTGAAGAATGCCGCGAACTGTGTCTCAATTCGCCATTCAAATGTCGATCATATGATTTTAATGACACTGGTGAAATGGTTTGTCGATTAAGTCATCACAATCGCGTGACACTTGCTGATATTCAAGATCCATATTTGGAGGTGCCTGAAGCAACAACACATGAGCTAGCTGGATGTTATAATGTATCAATTGAATGTCATGCTTCCGATATGGTAGCCAAAATTCGTACATCAAAATTATTCGATGGCAAGGTATACGCTAAAGGCTCACCAAATTCATGTTCTGTCGACGTCAAAAACTCATTGGAATTTGAATTGAGAATGGGCTATCAAGATCTTGAATGTAATGTTCGTCAGAATGGAAATGGACGGTACTTGAATGATGTCGTTATTCAGCATCATGATATGATTGTTACTTCATCGGATTTGGGCTTAGCATTAACATGTCAGTACGATTTAACCAATAAGACTGTATCGAATCAAGCTGATTTGGACATTAATGGTGAAATTGAGCCTGCCTTATCTGAAGAAGTCATTGTTGAATCACCAAATGTCATAATGAAAATTACAACACGTGATGGAAGTGATTTGAGAGCTATTGCTGAAGTTGGAGATCCGTTGGCACTTAAATTTGAAATTATGGATAAGGATAGTCCATTTGAGATATTCGTGAGAGAATTAGTTGCTATGGATGGTGTAGATAGTGGAGAAATTGTCTTGATTGACTCACGCGGATGTCCAACTGATCAATTCATTTTAGGGCCAGTCTTGAAGATGCCACAAAGTCAAAAGATTCTCATCTCACATTTCGATGCATTCAAATTCCCCTCATCACCAACTGTACAATTTAGAGCACTCGTGACGCCGTGTATGCCAAGTTGCGAACCCATTCAATGTGATGATGAAATGAATGGTGGCGGTGAATTGAGATCAATCCTATCATATGGCAGAAAACGAAGATCTGTTAACAGTACAAACGAATTAAACTTAAGACGAAATAGACGTAAAGTCGATGAAAAGACAAATATGCATGAAGACTTGCTTTTGGTACAAACAATTCAGATTAATGATAAATTTGGATTTGCCAACAAGCAAACACAAACGAAGCCAACATTGGCAACGACTGATAGTAATAATAGCGAAACTGTATTCTATGTACCATCATCTGAGCAGGCATTCTGTGTCAACGGCATAGGTAAGAGATTATAAGAAAGGTTTAGTATATGACGTCTGGCACTAATGGCTGCATCCAGATTTACCGAAAAAAATTTAAATTTCTTTAACGCTTTTGTAGAATTTGAATTTTTGACGGCTTTGCAGAATTTGAAATTTAACAGTTTTGTAGAATTTGAATATCATCAGCTTTGTAAAACTTTATTTTTTGGAAAATTCAAAATTGTTTCTAACGGTTTTCTGAGTCACAATTTTGTAAGACGTCATCTACAAACAATCCCCAATTCCGCATATTTTTTTATCGTGCTGTATATGAAATGAATTGAAATTAACGCTATTGTCATTATTATCATTTTTCATGAATATAGGTCTTATTGTAACTGGAACAGTCTTCTTATTAGCACAGCTTGTAGTTATTGCTCTATGGATGCATCAAAGAGATACATCCAAATTAAGGCCATCGATGTCAAGCACTACTAGCTCAATATATGATAGAAATTATGCAGCTTTCCGATAAATCGAATATGATTGATACGTAGACGATCATCATCAATATCTATATAGTTTTATAAGGAACGCTGATCATCAATCTCGTGCAAGTTGATTAGATTAATTATTTATTAATTTATGCTGCCTATTTTGTTTAACTCTCAACAATTCTTTTCGCCATTGAAAATTATTGGACTTCTCAGCGCGCATTTTTTTATAGTTATATTAATAGCCATAAAACTTTATATTGTATACTTTACTTAATCCCCAAATTTAGTTGCATGTCATCGCACTTTGCTGATTGTGAGGTGATGTCATCATAAAAATAAATAAATGAGAATAGCTTTATTTGGGGATTGAGCGTTTAAGTCTTTAATAAAATAATTTAAGAAAATAAAAATCTTTCGATATAAAAAAAATTGAAATAAATGAGAAACTTTTCTTTAACAAAAAAAAATCTAGTAAATTTTTCATTGTGATTGAAATTTCCTGTCGTTTCAGCACATACATTTGATGGTTATCTAGAGTTTAATTGCATATTATATGTACATCTTGACAATGAAAAATTTGATTGAAGACTTTAGAGCGATGGATATCTCAAGGCGCTTTTTGATGACTTCATCTGAGAAAAGTATTTTAATTGTTTAATAATTACGACGATCGTTAAAATGCCATTTAAAATAATAATTGGAAGCATAATTTATATTGCACTCCCTTTATTAGCTTATTAAGGTTTAGTAATGCAAAGCTATGATTTAACGGTTTTGAATAATTCAAAACTTTAACGGTTTTGTAAAATTCAAATTTTTAACGTTTTTGTAGAGTTCAAATTTTATAAGTTTTGTAGAGTTCAAAATTTTTAACGGTTTTGTAAAATTCAAATTTTGAAACGGTTTTGTAGAATTCAAATTTTGAAACGGTTTTGTAATATTCAAATTTTGAACCGGTTATGTAGAATTCTAATTTTGTAACGGCTTTGTAGAATTCAAATTTCTAAAGGTTCAAAAATGAGCTGAGCTGAAACGAAGTTGATCTTTCTGAACGAAAATTTGAAATTAACGGATTTTCATAGAATTACCAAAACATTCCGGTTCCATTTCAACAATAATTCAGCAAAAGAACATCGATCAAGCCATCAGCTTAAACTGAAAAAGATCAATTGAGCATAAGAAATGCAGAGCAAAAGTAAAAGATGAAGATTTAATTCTTAAATATTAAATCACTAATTTCTGTTTTTATTTCATTCTCATCTGTCTCATTGTATGTATAGTAATCATTATTTTTCATCATCTCGCACAACATAAAAAGTTCAAACTTGTATAATTGTTTTTCTTTTTCTGCCTTTCATATTCTCTTAACCGAGAATCTTTCATTTTTTTTTTTCTTTATTTATTAGTTAATCATGACGTAAGAAGTTCTAGAGTAAAGATGAAAAAAAGAAGCATTTATTATGGTTTTTTTTTTTCGTTTAATTATCATTATGCATCTTTCGGACTATCGGAGGCGCTTCCTTTACATTCCATTAGATGAAGAAAAAAGTGATGATGCTGCCGATGACTTTTCATCTGTTAAATTATGATGAGTTGCATAATAAGAACACGGAGCTTTCTCATACAATTCGTCCATAGACGATGATGCTAATGAAGATGGACTATTGGAATTTGTAGAGCTTGTATGCTTTCGATCAAAATCTTCGCCCATAACATGTGCTACAGTTGATTTCTTCGGATTTACATGAATCTCATTCATGTTGATGTTGCATTTCATTTTCTGCTTTGGTGCTACATAATTCATATCAAACTGCTTAAACATCTCAATATCTCGCTCATCATTCTCAATCTCAACCGAATTTCTGCCTTGACTCACATACTTTGCGCTTTCTATTTTTTTATATTATTATATTTATTTATAATTCTATTACTTTTTTTGTTTTTGAATCTTATAAAAATAAATATTGTAAGAAAAGGCATTAAAAATTACCATTTTCGGCTGGCGGAGCGTGTGGACGACTTATAAGAGTCGGTTGAATTAATAAGTCACCGAAAAGTTTTGGCGTTGTTATGTCTGAAATTAGATTTCTTGGAGTTCCAATTGGTGCTTGAGCTTTCGTTTGGTTTTGAAAGAACTTTGATTCCGTCACATTGTGGATTGTTACCTGAATTTACATTAATAGAGAATATTTTATTTTTAACGGTTTCCAGGATTCAAATTTTAACGATTTTTCAGTATTTAAAATTTAATACTCTTTTTGTCGGGAGTTTTTCAAACTTAAAAATAACGGAAAACGAAATTTTTATCGCGAAATACATACGCACAATTTTACAAGCAGGCATAATGTTCAAAAACATAAAATGTACAGGAAGATGTAATAAATTATCACTTAATAAACCTTACCTCAGAGTTCAACATTTTTCCTGGTTGTAGCCGTAAATCATCGTAATTTATCGATTGAGATGGATACGATTGATAATTATTGGGTCGATGCATGTAGTTTTCATCACAACCGGCGGCGTTATTTTGATTAAAATTAACCCCACTTCCGCCAAAATGCGAGTATTGAGATGATGAAGACCTCATACTATATTGATATGGATCTAAGTGTGCATATTCTTGCTCTTTACGACGCTGTAAAGCATTCTTCATTTCACTCCCTATAACGGAGCTACATTTTGGCTGTGATTGTTCGCCATCGAATGGCATGAATGACGATCGATTTGATGAAGTGCTGTTGTTGTCAACTGTAGAATGAGTTACGTATGAAGAATTATTATTATTATTCATATAATTACTCGCATTTCCGGCCGTACTTGGACCACTATTATTGCTGCTGCTACTTCCAGCAGCTCCAAATGCATTCTGAAATGCTGGATTACGTATTGTATACATTCCATTCTCATTCTTAATTATTGACGCTTGTTGAGGATCATTCATGGGTGATATGAATGGAGGTGTCTGTAAGTTCCTCATCATCGACATCATTGTTTCTGAATTGCCATTATTGGTGCTACTAATATTATTATTATTATTATTATTATTACTATTACTAGCAGTGCTGTTGTTATTATTAAAGAACATGGGATTCTTCAATGTGACCATGCGCTCTCCTCCGTTAGATTGTTGCTGTTTTAATTTATTAGACGATCCATCATTTCCATCACCTTTTGACTTCTTTTTCTTGTTCTTTTTCTTTGGATTTGAATTCATCTCGTTCGGCTGTTGCTGATGATGTTGCATTTGTTGCTGTTGCTTTTGTGCCGCCGCATGTGGATTACTCTCAACCATTATTATGCCATTAGGATCACGACCTTGCGAGTATACCATATTATGATCATCCAATCCTGTACGTGATGATTGTTGACCATAATCTTGCATAGGTTGTGTAATCTGTTTAGGAAATTTAATGAATTATTAATAACAACCTCTTATTGGATATTGATTAGGTAATGTACAAGTAGAAAAATCTATAAATCACAATATTTTTAACGGATTTTTGAAATTCAAAATTTAGCGGTTTTCAAAAATTCAAAAAGTTGTTCCAAAAAAATTCAAATTCTTGAAACCCGTTATTTTTCAAATTTATAAAAGCCGTTAAAATCAACAGCAGTCAGTGAAAAAAAATGGTTTGAAATTACTTACACGATTGATTGAATCTCGTTTGGTGCTTATTGCCTCATTAGTCGGTGCTACTTTTGTCAAAGTAATTCCTGGAGGCAAGCGCAGACCTTCAACTCGAATGCCACGATTCAATTGATCCATAATTGAGTTTGAATTTTGATGACTAGGCTGCGCAGAGATTGTCGGTTTTTTAACATAATCCGTAGGCTTATAGACAGTCGGTTGATATTGTGGATGTAACGGAAATGATTGGACGTAAGATTTTGGTGGTTCATTAACATTCTTTAGCTTCTTATTATTCTTATTCAGTTGCTTGGAATCTTTAGAATTATTACTCGAAGTAGCACTTGTGACACTATCTTGTCTCTCAATTATCTTTCCTTTCTGGTTAACAACATGCTGAACTTGTTGCTTCTTTTGTAAATTTTTATCATTCTTAACATTTTGCTGCGACAACGACAATTGTTGTTGATTTTGAGCTTGTTTCTTGACATTCTTAGGCTCGTGATTCGACTTTTTATTATTCTTAGAAGCTATTTCCATGTTTGACATCTTTTCTATTATACTATTCGTTTCCTCATTGTCATGATTACTATTTTCTTCGTCAGTCTCGGTCGTAAACTCTTCCTCGTCATCGTCATCGTCCAAAAGCAATTTAAAAGGATTTGCTGCAAATTCTGGATCAATATAAACTTTCCTAGTCTTTTTTTTCACCTGCTGTTCATCGACATGCTTTTCGTCTTCCTTTTTTACAGGGTCCGACTTTTTCTTAGCATTTTTATTATCTTTTGATGACTTTTTAATGCTCGTTTGACTATTGCTCATTGTTAAAGCTGTCTGCGGTGGCTGTACTGGTTGTTCCTTCTTCTTTTCGATCTTTTCATTTTTCTTATTTTCTCTAGACTTTTCAATCACTTTCTCTATCGCCTGCTGTTGTTGTTTCTTAGTCAATTGTGGCTCCTTTTTATTATTGTTGTTATTCTTGCCATTATGCTTATTATTCTCGAGCACTTGTTCACTTGCTGCTTTATTATGTTCCTCAACATCACTACTTGACATGTAAATTTGAAGTGATCCGTTTTGATTCTGAAAAGCTGTCGGATGTAAACTAGAAGCAGGAACAAGTTGACCATTTACAAATGTGTACAATAATTGGTCTTTGTCAGGCGTTGTCCCTTTCGCCGTAACAGTCACTTGTGGTTCAGCATGTGGTAAATTAACACGCCTAATTGTGACCATTCTTTTTGCTGGATCTTCTTCATTGCCTTTTGGTGAAATTACTAATTGTGGAATATTTTGTTGTTGCTGAACATTAGCTGATGTTTGTTGTGCTTGTTGTGATGGAGGAGGAGGCACATTAGCAGTATTTTGAAGCGTTGCTCGTACCGGAACTGGTTTTGGAATATTTTGTTGTTGCTGTTGTGCATATTGGACATGATTACTAGATGATGATGATGATGCTTGTTGGTGATTATTATTGGAAGTCTGTGGAGGTTGCTTGGGCAGTGGAAGATCTGGTGCAATTAAATTCATCACAGCTTTCATCTCCAAACATTCATCAATAACATTAATTTCTGGATTTAACACCTTTACGCCGTCAATAATATTCTTAACATTAGTTTCGACCTTCTTACGTTTTGTGATTAAGTCATTTAATTTCTCTTCGGCAGCTTTAACCCTTTTAGATTCCTTATTTTCCTTTGACTTTCCTCTCGATGACTTCAATTGACTTATTTGATTCTGTACCTGAAATGATAAAATAACGGTTTTTAAAAATTTAAATGTTAACGGGTTTTTTTGAGATTTGAAATTTTTTTCTTCATTGATAGTATAATTTTTGCGGGAAAATTCAAAATTCAGAAGTTGGTTAAAAGTAAGTACAGAACAAATTTAATGTGAATCTACAGCTGTCAATAATACTCACAGCTAGTACAGAATCGGAAAATTTTGAAAAAATGCTCGATATTGCGAATTTCATGATTCAAATAATATTATATAAAAAAAATATTTTTTACCTGTTTAATATCAATGTTTACTTCGAGCAAATCATTATTAACGTTTTTAAGAACTTCTAGTTGCTGATCAATTTGCCTTCTTACTTTGAGCTGCTGCTGTTTTGCCTTTTTAAGTAGTTTTTTAGCAGCTGCTTCTTCAGCCTTTTTCTGTTCAGCGACTGCCTTACTACTAGGACCTTCAATATATTCAATTAGATTCTCTAGTGATTTAATATTAATTTCTGTAGCATCTTGAATCTTTATGTCCTCTGGCTTATTATTATAATTCGGCTTTATTAACGTCGTTTTCTTTTTTCGATGCTGCAATTCTAATTCAACTTTCATTTTCATAGAACCACCACCAATAGATGCACTAGCTGTGGACGATTTTGGTTGTGGCGAGTTTTCCGTATGTTTAGTCGAAGAATGTTGTGCTTGAGATGATGGACTTGATCTTGGAGACGATGGAGTTCCATTTTTTAGCAGTAAGCTAATATTTTTTAAATTCTTTGATTTACTCGTGAAATCCTTTTGATTTTGTAAATGATGTAGTTTCTTACGTAATCGATCACGCGCTTCCGTTGACCTTGGATTAGTTACGAGGTCCTGATTCTTCCCAAATAGCGTACAATAATAACAAACGCAATCATCCTTGCCATGCTCCTCAACTGGAGACGATGAACCAGAATGATTATGACTATGTCCATGACTGTGTCCGTGATTACATTTTGTCGGTGGCTGAGAGGAATCGGGAGGAGGTTTAGTTGCAGTCACAGTTACTTGAACTTCCTTCTTTTCACCATGAATTTGCTCTAAACCTTTAACCATATCTTTAAGCATATTATGCTCTTTCTGTAATGACTTTAATTCCGCTTCCAATTTTTTATTGCTTGCTGCTAATTTGAGCGCTTCCACAAGTGGCTTCTTAATCTCATTCTCAATGACTGCTTTCGCATTTTCCGTATCGTCACTAAGAGATATCGAACTAAGCTTATCAGCGACTTCTTTCATTGAGAATTGAACTAAATCTAAAGCATTACTTCCAGCTGAGACTTCAGCAGTTATTTTCAATTCATTCAACTGCATTTCTATTGGTTCAATAGAACTTGTTGAATTTAACGAGTGCGTCTCATGACTAAAACTTTTAAATAAATTTGCCAGATTAATTTGTTCAAGCCATTCAAGATCTAATACTATATCTCCGCCATCACTCGGATCCATACGAAATAGTGCATGAAAATAGGAGAAAATTATATGTTTTTGTGGAAATTTGACGTCAATTTTGAAATTTTCAGCTAATGCTGCCGCTAAACCAGCTCGTAGAGTTGGATCTGCAATTTCATCGTCATCCCAAAACATATTAAGTAGTAAAAATGTATGATTTATTTCATCTGCTTCATGCATAATCTCCTTTGCTGCTGCACCGCCTTTTTTACGACAAAATTTACGAATTAAACTCTGACTTGGAACTTTGAGGAATTTCTCGCGATCACTTGGTGACAACGGTTGATAGATTCGTAGTAGAAATTTCGTAAAACTTAGTGGATATGATCCAATAATAAGATTAGTTGCAACTTGACATTCCATTCGTTCACATGGCGGATCATTAAAGACACAAAAGATTTCAGGATGGAAACATGTTTTCGTGTATGCCTTACGATCCTTTAAATGCTTAAAGACACACCACGCCAAATGATAACATTCATCATTCGTTTTCTTCTTTAAATCCATCTTTGAATCGTCAGGAATTGCACAAATATCTGGGACATGATTACCGTCCGATATTAAGCATGCCCAACATTTACAGTTTTTGTTTTTTCTCATGAACGGTTCACTTCTAATACTATTTATCACACTCAACCAAACTTCATCGTTTTCGGACGAAACTATCCAATCTAATGCCAGTACTTGATCACTCAATGGTTTACCAATATCCGCATCAATATCATTAAGATTTCTCATTGACTGATAGATTTGATGAATCATAGCGATTCTCTCAACACGACCAATTTGATCAGGCGTTGATTTTCGATATAATTCTAGTGCAACGAGTGCAACTTCCCAAACTTGTCCAATTGCCGTCATTTCCTCATCAAACTTAATGAATCGATAGACAAAGCTTTTATATGTCTCTGCATCAACTTGCTCCTTTAATCTCAATATACAGTCGGCCATTCGACTCTCAATATCGACATAAAGGAAGCGATAATACATACATTGATTCATTAATTGCCACGTTAAAGAAAACGTCTGTAAGTGCTCTCTCATTTCAATGACTAATGGTGTTTGAGTTTCTGAAATTTCCGTGATTCGATCGTATCCATCAAGAATGTCTGCAAAGCAAGAAATTAGAATAATTTTTAATACGATCGAGTTTAGGTATGCATGACTTACAATTGAGAAATTCCTCTGGTTTATAGTACTCTTCGTCGCCTTCAACACACTTTGTGATTTCTTTGATGCCTTCTCGATATGCAAGAATTATTAATGAAAGTTGAAGGCACAATAATTCAAAAAGCTGATGTTTATCGCGCGCATAAAGCATATTGAACACTATCATAAAAGTCATTTCATTTGATATTGAGAAATAACTTCCCATTGATACATGAATATTCTTTTTGACATCAATGCTACCGTCGCTAAACCAATGAATTCCGCATGATTCAGTCAATAGTTCCTGGTATTTCCTCTTAATAATTGAATCCTGTTCACTGGAAGTTCAATTTATGACATTATTTGGTATTGGTGACTTTATGAATATGCTACTTACTCCGGCAGAAATTTGTAGTAAGACCTAATAATCTCTTGCAACTTCGACCATAATTGATTATAAGCACAATTTTCTACGTAAGTTCCTATAATTGTCTGACGAAATATTATGCATCTATCGCATTTGCAATGAATGTTAAATGATCTCTCCGTATGCTTCACGACTGCCTTATTGTCCTAATGATGATATTAATTAGATAATTTAAGCCAAGCACATGTTGTTTATTTACTTACATTTTCAGCATTTTTTAATTCTTGAATTTCATTTCTTGCTAAGATTTTAACTGCACGCTGCCAGAACTGCTCATCTTTCCTAAGAATATCCAAGTCTGCACTCTGTTTATCCTTCTTCTTGTCCTTATCATTTGACTTTATATCCATTTGCTATTTAAATAATGAAAAATTTGTTTTTTTATAGAAATTTATTGAAATTGTTTATGTGTATGATATTTCGTCATGTCTTTAATTAATGACTCTTATCTGTCCGTACATTAGATATATTATCCATGACTAAAATCCTTTATAAACACCGTTTAATGCCGTTTTTTAATAAAAAAATTAAATTTCAATTTTTTTTTTAATTTTTCGTATAAACTTAGCTATTGCCCCTTTTTGGGATCGTTCGCCAGTTATGTCTTCATTTTATGTACAAGGAGCGGATTTTTAAGCTGTGGAATACATTGTGTAGCTGATTGAAGGAGTGGTGGGTTGCGAATATATTAATTTTAAGATGACGCAATTTATGAATGACCCCAAAAAAGGCTCGAATGTCAACAAAAAATTCAAATTTAAAAAAACTGTTGATGAAGTTAAACCGATTGTCTTAATTCATAATTTTACGTGAGTGACCAGCCTAGTTTTTGGGAATTTCGCCATTTATAAAAGGTTTATAAAAAATTCAAAATTGCTGCGTAAACAAACAAATGTACAAAATGTAGTTTATATTTTTAACGCCTTTCAAATTTTTGATTTTTTTTGCTTGTAATTTGTTTGTTTACAAAAAAAATCGAAAAGTGAAATTTGAAAATGTCATGAAAATATCACTCAATAATAATGTTAAAGCTCTTAAAATAGCTAGAACAGCTTATGTATCTTCTCCTTTTCGTAATCAAAACATAATATTTGGGATTATTGATTGAATAATTGAGAATTTTGAGAATTTAATTTTGATGCTTTTTTTAAAGATAGTATTAGTGAAAAATTCAAATTATATTTGTCCGGTAAGCAAAAATCCTTTAAACGTCGGGGTTCATCAATTATTGGGTTAAAAATTGATTATGAATAGGAACATGGACGGAATGAGTAAAAAGATGAAAAAGAGATATAATAAATTCATAAAAAGTCAAAAGAAGCAGAAAAAAAAGAATAAAAAGGTGAGGAATGTGGATGAAAAAAGATTTGGTGATTATTAATGTGCACTTGAATCCAAGGGGGTCACACATTGATGAAGATTGTGTAATTGGTGGGAAAACAGATATGTTTGTGCAAAATGCACTGTAATTAAGTCATGGATCTCAAAAAGTTTCTAAAATATAACAAGTTTCATTGCAAAGTTTATCATAAACAAAGAGTTTACGGTTTTAGGAATTCACCACATTTGAGTTTTAATATTCGTGTGATGCACCCCCCTTGTTTTAATAGAAAAAGAGAGAAAAATAGTGAAAATATAAAAAATAATAACGAAAGTTTAATTATCTTCGTGATGCATTAAGATGAGTTTTAACCAGCGTAACTTGAACCCAAACATTTGGGAAGGGCCACGACAAAATAATCCACAACAGTTCATTAATAATCAACAAAATTTTTATGGAAATAACAGCAATTTTCCTCCTAGACCAAATTTTCATTCACAGCAAAATCAATTAAGGCCACTTTTAAACTTGCCACAACAGCCTGGTTCACATGAGCATCATCCAAATTTTCGGAACTTTAATAATAACAATCAGGATTTCGGACGAAACAACAATAATCGAGGACGACCGAATTTTCAGTAAGATCCATAACTATACCAAACTATACATCTGTCATCCATGATAGATATAACTCAACTAACTTATTTCCGATTCTTATCACTTCCAGTAACCACAATAATCACCCAAAGTGGCAAAATAGAGGAAATGATCCAGCAAAAGATAATAATGGAGATCGGTAATAAGTCATAGAATCCATTTTAGGACACATCATTAATTAAAAAACTTTTATTTTAGCTTTTCAAGAGGGACATCGGCTGAAAATTCTCAACAAAATGATGATCCCAAGCCAAAAAGTCTTGTGGAACATTTAAAGTCGACCATGAAAAAGAATCCAAGAAGCAAATCACAAGAAAGTCCAGCAAATGAAAGTATTGATGCTTGTGCTAAAAATGCATCAAAAAAGCTCCTTAGTCAGCTTAAAACGATGGATAAGGATAATGTGAAAGAGTTGATTAATAATCCTAAACAGCCACATAGAAAAGCTGTCCTTAATATTCAGGCACGAGAAAAATTGCGTGAAGGAATGAGGAAACAGCTCAAGACACTTGGTGCTGAAGATGATCAAGAAGTGTCATTTGATGCAGTCGAAAGTGTTAATTATGAGAATATTCCTGAAACTTTAATTGCACAAATTGGACGTACTGTTGATATGGATTTAAGTGTTGAAGATATGGACTTACAGCCCGACATGGATGATGAAATTGTCGAGGATAAGGACATTGAAGTGGTAACAAAGAATTTAGGAAATGATTTCCTTTATGGATCAGAAATGCTGTTAATGAATGGCTTCAATTTGCTTGGTGAAAGTGAAAATGAGGCTGATTTAAAAATTCCAGAAGAACGATTCTTTCCTCCTCCACTACCTGCAGATCCTGTTATTAGACCACCTGAACCAGTTCCACCGCCTGAAAAGCCACCAAGTCAAAGATCATTTGATGAATGGGAAATTGATACAGCTAGAAATCCTGATCCACCATGTCTTAATAAAATTAATAATGTGAAAATTCAAACAATACCCGTCATTGTAAGTCATCCCACGCCACCATCACAAATTTTACCTCCTCAACAACAACAACAATCTACAAATATCATTAATACTGTAAATAATGTATCCAAAAAACAACATGAAAATCCTCTCCTTATTGCACTTGGTGAAACAAAAGAACAAATTCCAACGAGTACTAACATTAAAATTAGTACAAACAATATAATTGGAACTAGTTCTTTAGCGGAGAATAAACTCGTCAAAATACATTCATCATCTTCTCAAGATTCCTTTAAAACGCCATCAATTCCTGATCTTGTTACATCTACACCGTTCTTGAATGATGGAAATAAAACGCCATTTAATGACAGTGGCAAGACTCCATTTAATGATGGTGGTAAAACTCCATTTATTGGATCAGAAACGCCTTATATCGGCTCAGAAACGCCTTTCATTGGAAGTGAAACACCTTTTATTGGTTCAGAAACTCCCTTTAATGGCTCAGAAACACCATTTATTGGATCTAATGATGAACAAAATATTTTCGAGACACCAATACGTCAGAAAATATCAGAGGATAAAAAGCCAGTACTAGAAAACACTCCTGGAAGTGACGCACCAAAAACTGACGAGAGTAAGCATCCAATATGATTAATTAACGGTTTTTTAAAATTTAAATGTTTGTAACGTTTACATTTCAAATATTTTTTGACTGTTATTTTTCAAATATTTTTAACCCGTTATTTTTTAATTGCAGACACTGAGAAACCAAAACAAAGAGCTGACGAAACATATGGCGAATATCGCAGGCGAATAGCAAATATTGGTGAGGATGAAAATATTTTTCCAAAGGATGATTTCAGTAAACCAATAAAACGCCCACCACCAGCACCCAAAAGGAAACAACCAAACAACGAGTGGGATGATGATAATCGAAGTCCAGTACATCCTGGTAAAAGCAGCTGGATGGCGAATAACATCAGAAATAGTAATGAGAGAAAGTCTCGTTTCGAAATGAACCGATCGAGAGACAAGAACAATAGAAATAATGATAGGAATAACTTTAATAATAAGAATAAAAACAATTCACCAAGGACTCCAATCAGTCCGTGGGAAACTTCGCGTGACAGAGATAATGAGGATATGCGAGATGCTTTTAATTATCGATTTGATAAAACCAATAAAAGTTCAAATAATATTACAGAAAGTGGCGAAGATCGATTGTCATGTCTCCTCAATCCAAAACCCGTTCAGTTCAAAGGCTCATTTAATAAGCGCTCAGGTTTTAATAATAATAATAATAATAATAATAAAAGCAGTCGAGAATCCGTGGACGAAAAGAGGGATTTTCTGCCTGATCAAAGTCGCGAAAGAACTCCAGTCAATAATTCTGTAGAACTATTTGAAATAAGCTCGCCGAATGATGTACGACCTTGTTATCAAACATTAAAGAAAATCATTGAAATTGAAACGGAAATCAATAGAATTCATGACAAAATTCACGGAATCGACAAAGTCATTTCAAATCTACAATCTGAACGTATTGGACATCAAAAATCATTCACAAAATTACAGCATGATAAAAAGGTATTACTTGATAATTTAGCTAAGCGTGCAATGGCTAATGACAGGGAACCAATTGAGAGAACAGCATCAAGAGAAAGTGAAAGGAACGTAGAGTCATCATTTGAGATAAGACCACATAAAGAAATTAAGAAAGAAAAGGATACAAGTAATAAAACCAAGAATATTGAAGTTGTTGAGGAAAAAAAGAAACGTAAAGTTGATGATTCGCCACAAATCTCAATAGTAGCTGCTGATGATGAAAATAAGAAAAAGAAAAAGTACACAATTGAAGAGGAACCAAAATCAGCAGCTCAAAAAGCTAAAGAAAGAGAAGAAGAAGAAAGAAGGAAGCGAATTGAAGAAATCAGACGTAATAAGCAGCTTAGACGTGAAAAAGAAGAAATAGAACGAAGAAAATTGGAAGAAGAAGCTAAAAAGGAATCAAATGATAAGATTCTGATCATTAATCGAGATAAAGTTCATGCAAAACTTAAGGAACGCGAGAAAGAAAAGAGAAAAGAACAAAATATCCAGTCACCGTCATCTCTAAAGCCATCGCCTAAAAGATCAAAGGAAACGATTCACTTGTTCTCATTAGATGAAGTCATAGATCCAGCAGATCTTAAAATGAAAATGTTTAAGCTTGAGTTCACGAAATTATCATTAAAACAGAATATTTTGGATCAGTTTCAAGCTGGAAAATGTCCAGAAATTGATATTAATGAGCTGATTAGTCCATCATCCAGTAATGCGCCTCTTCAAAGTGATATGTCAATTGATGATGTAATTCAAATTATTAAAAAGGAAGCAGAGCAATCAATTAAGCAATCTAAGTCAGAAGTTCCAAATTTGCCTGGTAAAACATCAACAACATCCATAACATCAAAAGTTTCAGTGACAAGCACTGATAAAGATCCGTTAGCAATTGACGATAATGAAGAAATTGTTAATCCACCGACACCAGGAAGTAATTTGACATTAAATGATGATAACGATACAAATGCGTCAGATCATGTTAATAATGAGCAAGACTATTCAGAATGGACGGGAAATTTTGAATCTCACAATCAGCCAATCGTTCACATACAAAATATTAATGGAAAGCATATGGTGTGTGCAGCAGAAGACGGAAAATTATACAAATATCGTCTATCCAATGGAAAATGTGATGCCGTTTTTAGCAAGCACACAGAAATTTGCAACTCATTTTTATATGAAGATATTGACAAAACTATTTACACAGCCTCGTCTGATGGCTTTGTTTATAGAATTAAGCTTAAGGTAATTAATTGCTGATTGTTCAATTGTACAACTTTTTTCACCCCCCCCCCCCCTTGTTAAAATATTTTACAACTCACAACCCCCCCCCCCCCCCCCCCTGAACGTTCATAATTTATTTTATCATTAGAAAGGTGGAAAAATCTCGTGAACTTTTTTTTAAAAGACAGACGACCGTTAGAACGTTACATATTTCTTGACACCCCCCCCCCCCCTATGTTACATTTTTTCAAACCCCTCCTCCCCCCTAAAATGCGAACGTAATAAGTGAACGGCCCCTTAAATAAATTCTTTCTTTTTCTTCGCAGTTATTTGATTCTATCGCATCAAAACATTTTAATGAACCTTTACAAGTAATTGAAAAATCAAAATATGCTTTATACGTGGGAGCCAAAAGTGGAAATATTTATAAACTTAAACTTGACGTAAGTATTTTTTTTTGTCAAAAATCTATTTTAGACTATTCAGGAAGAAATCTAACTTAGGAATGTCTTTGAAATTTTAGTTAAGTGATGAAGAAATTGAGCCTTTATGCTGCGTCGATGCATTGATTCTTTGTATGAGATCAGCAAAGGAAGGATCAAGGCATATTCTTTTGATATCGTCTCGAATGAATGCTATTCAGGTGCGTGATGCAAGCGAAGGCCTTTTACTGAGAACACTGTCGAATGACTTGAGCGGTGTTAGCATTTATGATATGCTTCTTGAGGGTAGTACAATTTATTGCGGTAGCAATTTACATGAAATATTCGCTATTGATTTTACGGTAAGATAATATTAATGCCTTAAATAGACGTCAATTATTAATTGTGGCTGTTTAAAAATTGATAGACTGGTGCCTTGAAAAAGAAGCGCAGCATGAGCGGTGCAGGAGCAATTTGCGTACGAATATATAAAGAAAATCTTATTGTAGCGTGCTACGATGGAAATATTTATATCTTTGATTTAAATGCTGATGATGACGCTTGTAATATTACTGGACCATCAAATATGCTTTTAGCTATGGATCTCTGGGATGACAAGGTGAGTCAAACATTCAATTGCTTAAATGTGTATTAAACTAATGGCTGATTTTTTTCCAGATAATTGCATCTACAAAAGATAAGACACTGAAAATCATGAATATTCCAACATGAATATTTGCTTAGTTTATTTAAGCATTGTGTGTGTCTTTATGTCTTAAACTCATGAGATGAGCATTGTGTTTGAAATATTAAGTTGTTTAATTTAAATCATTTTAATGAAAGGAAAATAAATCACAACAAAAAAATGTAAATTAAAATATCATGTAGAAATAATAAAACGACACAAGAATTACATATATTTAATTTCTTCGTGATTTAACTTTCAATATCCCTGGCTTGATTTCAGCACTTAGATTTAATGGCTCTAAAAATTCAAAAATTTGAATGCATTTTCAATTGAAAAATTTAAAATTTTGAAAACTGTTCAAATTTAAAATACAGGAATTCAAAGATGATCAATGGCAAAAAAAGTATCAGTTTATTTATAAGGAAACTTTTAAAAATTGGTTGCAGCTTTAATAATTAACGAATTTTTAAGGATTATTGGCAACCAATTGTATCAAATCTGACTTCTTTAACTTCGACAAACCCGTAACATTTTTACTTTTTAAATATTCCTTAAGCGTGTCATTAGTCAGGTTCTTTGTGTCATTCTTCTTGCATAATTCATGAACTAAATCAAAATTTATGTCTGCAGGAGCATTTTTCTTTGCTGGCGGTCCATCACTACTCTTTGCAGCTTTCCTTTTTGTTGTTGGAGCATCATCAAATCCATCATATAATTCTTCCAATATTTTTACGTACGAGGCGATTCTCCGTTCCTGTAAATCAGTATCAGGCATGGTTGGATCGTCAAATACTTGTGGTTCTTCATCAAACTCCATTTCCTCTAAAAAGTTGTAGATTTTAGCAATTATTGGATTTCTAAAGTACATTGGATCATAATTGACAGTTAATTTTGACATTACAGATGCCATTGCCTTATCAATTTGTTCTTCGTCATCTGTTTCCTTAACAATATATTTTGAGACATCTCGAATGTCTTCAGTGTAAGGTAAAAACTCTAATAGAAAGCCATCATTTGTATATAGGTCCTCATTCTCTTGAACGGGTATCATGACAGCTAATTCTGGGTAACTTTTGTATCGCATTGAAAAGGCACAATATGCAATTTTATTAAATTTAAGACAAGTTTCCCATAAAGTACGAAACATTTTTGTGGAATTTTTAATGTGCTTATCAGTTGGATAGATGAAATAGCATCTGCGTTTATGTGTTATTGGATTGAATGATTCCGTTGGCTTAAAGCCTAAAATTTTGATCTTTGGCAGCATGACTTGCTTCATTTCGTAAACTTCAAGTGGTGTAAATTTGACTTTCTTGCCACCAATTTCTAGGTACTTTACAGACTTATCTGCTGTTAATTTCTGATCAAAATTGATTTCTGCTTCAATATCATTCTCAGTTTCTTCAATTTTACCAAATTTAAAGTTACGATGTGATCGAATAATTTCCTTAGACTTTCGATCAACAAACACTGGCTTTGGTTCCTTAGTAACACTTAATTGAGAATATATACCGACACCGAACTGAGCTTTATCGGATATTTCAACATTTAGGTACGACAATGCTCGACAGCGAGGATCATGAAGCATAAATTTAGTCTTTAATGTCTGCACGTCAAATGTAAATGTTGGATCAAGCGCATCAATTTCTGTATTCATAACTTTAGACATAAGTTCTGTATAGAACTCTTCAATGTCAAGATCACGAAGCATTGGACATAACTCAAAATGCATTTCTAAATACTGTAAATCTTTTGCCTTTTCCATTGCTTCGTTATAATGAACTGTGTTAATTTCATGTGGAGTTGGATTGTCTGTTATCCAGAAAACAGTGAGAGAATGAACTTTTGATCCACAATGAGACACGACTGAGTTGCAGAGCCATAAAACATCACTGATTTTTGCCTTATTTGAATGACCATATCTGTTATCAAAGTCATTAAAGTCATCAGATTCTCTAGTATTTTTGATATAACGAATTGAATCTGCTTCCACTTTGTGTAAAGGCAAAAATACAGCACAGTTGCTTGGTGCAATAATTGATGAATCCATGGCATCTTTCGGATCTGGTGATTTCTCCGTATTAAAGAATATTATGCCATTCTAAAAGACGATATTACTTATACTGTAGATATTTAAAATTAAAAACAATGACTTACCAGATCCTTGACTGATCGCCGAACTTTTTCACGAAATGCAAGATCCAGTGCACTCAAAGTAACATCAAATGGTGATGTTTTCTCTTCGGTATCTGTATCTACAACCTTCTCAAACATAGATTTAGACACATCAATGACGAACAGCACTAGAAAACATAGTAAAATTTACTAAAAGTCTGAGAAGAATTAAGGAAAAACTTTACCAATATCTTTTCCATCATACACGAATTTCTGGTCATTGTCTTCATCGTCACTATCATAATTCTGGTCAAATGAATAGTTTAGAGACATACTATTCACAAATTATCCCGTACTTTCTTAAATAATTAATTTTTTTACGAGCACTAGCTTTTTGCGCGGTATTGTGAAATTAGTTGTTGTTATTATATTCACACCGTTTTCACGTGTGAATCTATTGGTTTTGTTCAGATTGAAAAATCAGTTTTTAGAATTTTGCTAGGATATGGAGCAAGATAGCTTAAAATGTTCAGAGATGAAAAGTTTGTGCCTTGAATTTCACATCTTTTGCAAAAAACAGATTTCAAATTGGTTGCGGCATTGCTGAGAAAATCGCAAAATATGCTTTCTGTAAGCGTGCAATGGCTAATGACAGGGAACCAATTGAGAGAACAGTATCAAGAGAAAGTGAAAGGAACGTAGAGTCATCATTTGAGATAAGACCACATAAAGAACATTGACCGTACTTAACTTCCTTTGACTTGTAACGGTTTTTTTTGAATTATCGAAAACGATAAATGAAAAGTGCGGCAAACTCGTGAAAAATATTTTTTCTAATACATTTCGTACTTTTTTTGTAAAAAATAATTAAACATATAGTAAGCCATCGCAGGCTTTAGGATCATCGTTAATTTTGATAATTAACACCACTTACACAGACGACACATCATCGATTCATATTTTGGGCTACCAAAACAGCAAAATTTTCAACTCAATCTTTCTTGGAAAAAATACGCGGTAGAAGACTGGATTTTTTGGCACTGGAAGTAAAATAGTAAGTTCTAATCCCTTATTTTTCCCTTTTGATTAATTTCTTTTGTTTTAGATTAAGGATCTCACGAAGCAGGAAAATATCAAACTAGTAAAAAGATCGCCAGTACTTTGGATCTGGGCGACTTCAGCGTATTTTCCTCTTACTGATCAGTAAACTTAGTTGTAACTCAAAATCGTTTGAGGGCCTTAATTTTTCGTACCAGATCTTTAATAGTTCGTTCCAGATTTTTATTTTAAAGATCTGGTAGCATTTAAAACATGTCCCGTATCAAAAACATAAATTCAGTAGCTCTACAGTCATAGTCAACCCCTAAAACAAAGATCCAGTAGCTTTACATTCACATCCATCATTAAAAATAAAGAACTAGTAACTCTAATGTCATATCCAACACCAAAAACTAGGATCCAGTAACTCAAAACTCATATCCAACACCATCAACAAAGATCCCATAACTTCAATGTCATGTCTAACACCAAAAACAAAGATCCAGTAACTCTAATGTCATATCCAACACCAATAACAAAGATACAGTAACTCTAGAGTCATATCCAATCCCAAAAACTAAGATCCAGTAACTCAAAACTCATTTCCAATCCCAAAAACTAAGATCCAGTAACTCTAAACTCATATTCAACACCATCAACAAAGATCCAGTAACTCTAATGTCATATCCAACACCTATAACTAAGATCCAGTAACTCAAAACTCATATCCAACACCATCAACAAAGATCCCGTAACTTCAATGTCATGTCTAACACCAAAAACAAAGATCCAGTAACTCTAATGTCATATCCAACACCAATAACAAAGATACAGTAACTCTAATGTCATATCCAATCCCAAAAACTAAGATCCAGTAACTCAAAACTCATTTCCAATCCCAAAAACTAAGATCCAGTAACTTAAAACTCATATCCAACACCATTAACAAAGATCCAGTTACTCTAATGTCATATCCAACACCAAAAACAAAGATCCAGTAGCTCTTTAGTCATATCCAACACCAAAAACAAAGATCCAGTAACTCTAATGTCATATCCAACACCAATAACAAAGATACAGTAACTCTAAAGTCATATCCAATCCCAAAAACGAAGATCCAGAAACTCAAAAACTAAAATCCAGTTACGTTACATGAAGCAACGTTCAAAATTTTAACGGCTATTTTGAAATTTGAAATTGTTTTATCAAACTCGTATGTTATGCAAAAGTCGGCTAAGTCGTTGCAAAAAACATATAAAAGTTAATTTAATTAAGTTTTGGTAAGAAGTTATGAAACATAAAGCGGATTCGGTTTGCCTACAATATGGCAAGGATTGAATGCAAAAAATCCGAAGGCTCTATATGCTTTCATTGCTGAGATCTCACGGTACCAGCCAGCCAGCCAGCCAGCCAGCCAAAGTGAAGATAAAAGCGTATTGTTCCTTAGGAAAATACGCTAAAAACCGGCTCCTCTGCGATACTTACCCGAAAATACATGCTTTTTTATATTGAAAGTTTTGCTAAAAGGAGGGATTAAGGAAGTAGAGGATGCCAACAGATAGCTTTGAATCAAAGCAATGGAAACAATAGCTTGCTTAAGCTTGGGCTTTCTCAATACGCAAGTAACTAGCTATCTGGTTGTTAATAAACCAAAAAAAAAGATGAATGAATTCTTTTTAAAAATTAATTTTAATATCCTTTACTTTTTCACTTTATATCACATTTTTTTCTTAACTTACTTTTTTTTCTGAAAGATAAAATGCCGTCGTTTAACATATACATCAATAGTAAAATATACAATACTGGATCGAAAGATAAAGGACGGAAGGGTGCAGACAGTGAGTCTGATGATTCGTCAGCAAGTGATTCTGATTTGCTAAATGTAAGTAAATATATACCTAAGTGTCAAAAAATTAATAGTCAACTTCAAAATTTCCTGAAAGTGTTGATAAATTTGCGATAACAAGTGAATCGTTTCCTTTGATCTTTTAGGCGATGGCTTTAGAGATGACGGTGACTGGATATTTTGTTCTCTTCTCTTTTCTTTCTCGTTTATTGCAGTTTCTTCATCAGAATTGCCCTTGTCACGTTTATTTTTAAAACATTCACGAAAACAAGTATGCTTTTGTGAATTCTTTGTGATGGCGGTTCTGTGCTTAAGGTCATTGTACGAGTATAGCATCACCGGATCGCTTGATTCAGTGTCTCGTAAAAAAGAATCATCTTTTATAGCATAGAATGATTTTGTGACGTTGAATTTTATGACGTTCCTTGAAACACGGAACATTGACTTGTAGTCCTTTGCAAGACGATTGATTGTGGGGGAAATACTGTTTTTAAATTCGCTCAAGGACATTCCCAGCTTCGTCAACACTTCATTCACCTTACTTACTACTGGTTCCGGCCATTTCTCGAAATCGTTAAGTCGCAATTTCTTCAACGTTTTGTGATTCAAGCTACAATTATTGGTGGTTTCTGTGCCAATCACTACAGAATCGCAGCGCGGACATATATAGGACGAAATACCAGCAAATTCCAATAGATAATGCGCGACTATTAAATCAGTGACATTGCTCGTATAGTCGTTGTTTGTCGTCTCGATAAATGGCGGCGAGTTTGGATCGGCTTTATTGATAACTCTTGTTGCATAAAGAATTCGTACACCAGGATCTAAATCAACATATCCCGGGTCAGGGCTGTAGTTCGATGACCCATTTAATGACTTCTGGGCGAAAATGGGGACACGTTCATATTTACAACTTGTCTTGTCGCGGTAATAATAAATTGCGAGGATGTTACTGAAGGTTATATGCTGATAGTTATCAGGTAAATTTATATTCATTCCGCGTGTGCTCTCATCATATATCAAGGTGCCGAATACAGAACCGACTAGAAATAAATAAAGAAAGATTAATATATATATTCTTCACATTAACATGCTTTACAATTATGAAAACAATTCGTATCTAAAAAATTACAAATGTCCTCGTATTATTCAATCAATAGATTAATAGATCAAGGGACTTCAGCACATTTTTGTTATAGCGGTCAGTATTAGATTATCATATTATTTTACGTACACTTGAAATTTCTTGCAATGAATTTTCATATGAAAGCTTTTGTCATTTAACGGTTATTTGAAATTTGTTTGCAAAAAGTTCACGCGATTTTCATATAATAAAAAAGAAAAATCATTAATTATAGTATAAGTAAATTGTAATAAGCTCTTGAAGAAAAACAAGTTTTCAAAAATGCGCTAAAAACTCCAATGCACTATCTAGCTACGCATCATTTATAAAATGGAAGATGTTCCAAGTATAAATAAATAAGTTTAAAAAATGTATTCTCACTTTTCACAGGCTCTTTCACGTCACGTGCTACTTCCTCTGCAGCCAGTAGCATTTCTTTAATATCAAGTAATCCGTCTGGTTCAATCAATTGTAAATTTTTTAGTAGACGAGTCAAACTGATTGCGCTATAAGCAGTTCTTGTCTTATTGTTGATTGCGCTTATTTCCACAATAGGAGAATACTTTATTAATTTAAATATCTGCTTTCTTGTATCTGATTCAATGTCTTGCATGACATCTGCCAGCTTAACTTTATCTTTTGATGGGATAGTTTTTGGAGCTGCCTTTAATAAATTTTTTTGTTCCTGTTTCCTCTTTAGCTCAGCCATTGGAATTTTGCGGTCTTTGTTCTTTTTTGTTGTATGCTGCTGACTGTGTGCTCGAGAAAAGAAGCTATCACTGGAATCACTGTTATCACTTTGGCCATTGATCGGCTCGAATTCGGTCCCTATGCTGCCGCTTGAGAAATCCAGTTTACTGTCATTATTTTTAGTACTGTCAGCTTTCTATAAAAGGGAAAGAAAGAGATTGTATAAATTATTATAAGTTTAAAAATTTGAATTAGAACTGATTATATTTAAGTTGCAAACTTGTGTATTGTTTGTTCGCAAATTCAAATGAAAATGATATTTTAAAAGGTATGAAATTCATGCTTAAGCTTCTTAAATATACAAATAGCTTTAACATCAAATGATAAACATTTTAAAATCATAATTTTTTTGTTAATGAATTTAATGGTTAAATTAATGAGTAAAACAAAAATACGCTTTACTTTCTACACTAAAATATAATTTATTCTTACGCTTAATTGTTCCAATTAAGTCTTGATAATGATAGAATTTGTAGAAAGTAAAGCGTATTTTTGTTTTACTCATTAATTTAGTGTTCTTTCTACAAATTTCCGACATAATTCTTCGATTAATGGTTAAAATTATTTTTTGTCTATCATTTAAAATTTAAATTCTATCATTTAACAACTGTTTGATAATTTTATAAAGTTTAATTAATGAAATATGGTAGTGGCTTATAACGTAAAACAGGATATTCAAAAAATGTACAAAAAGTAAATAAATTATCACTTACAGTTTGGTCCATAGATCTGCGTGTTGGAGTTGGAGGCTGCTTACGAGCCGGTGATTTCTTTGTTTCTATTACCGCACGTTTTTTATTCCTTTTCTTCTTGTTGCTTAATCCCTTTAATGTCTGGATTACCTAAAAAAGTAAAGAGAAATAATATATTTTAAAAATATTATGTTAATTAAACTACATCTTTTGAATGCTAGATTAAAAAATATAACTCTAAGCATGTCTTACAAAAATATCTCATTCCTACATGCTGTCTAACTCCAGAAACCGTTAATTAAATCTCACCCAAAATTTGTTTACAATTTGACTATGAATACATTTCCTAAAGAAAAGGTTAAAAGCATCAAATCAAAAGAAATTGACAAAAACTTCCATCTTATTAATGTGTCGGGAAAATATTGTGCACAAGAATTTCTTAAACACTTTTTCTATTATTCTATATTTTCTATTATATCCACGGAATTGCCCTCTTGCAAATTTATCAACACTTTCAGGAAATTTTGAAGTTGACTATTAATTTTTTGACATTTGGATATATATTTACTTACATTTAGCAAATCAGAATCACTTGCTGACGAATCATCAGACTCGCTGTCTGCACCCTTCCGTCCTTTATCTTTCGATCCAGTATTGTATATTTTACTATTGATGTATATGTTAAACGACGGCATTTTATCTTTCAGAAAAAAAAAGTAAGTTAAGAAAAAAATGTGATATAAAGTGAAAAAGTAAAGGATATTAAAATTAATTTTTAAAAAGAATTCATTCATCTTTTTTTTTGGTTTATTAACAACCAGATAGCTAGTTACTTGCGTATTGAGAAAGCCCAAGCTTAAGCAAGCTATTGTTTCCATTGCTTTGATTCAAAGCTATCTGTTGGCATCCTCTACTTCCTTAATCCCTCCTTTTAGCAAAACTTTCAATATAAAAAAGCATGTATTTTCGGGTAAGTATCGCAGAGGAGCCGGTTTTTTGATATTTTCCTGCTTCGTGAGATCCTTAATCTAAAACAAAAGAAATTAATCAAAAGGGAAAAATAAGGGATTAGAACTTACTATTTTACTTCCAGTGCCAAAAAATCCAGTCTTCTACCGCGTATTTTTTCCAAGAAAGATTGAGTTGAAAATTTTGCTGTTTTGGTAGCCCAAAATATGAATCGATGATGTGTCGTCTGTGTAAGTGGTGTTAATTATCAAAATTAACGATGATCCTAAAGCCTGCGATGGCTTACTATATGTTTAATTATTTTTTACAAAAAAAGTACGAAATGTATTAGAAAAAATATTTTTCACGAGTTTGCCGCACTTTTCATTTATCGTTTTCGATAATTCAAAAAAAACCGTTACAAGTCAAAGGAAGTTAAGTACGGTCAATGTTCTTTATGTGGTCTTATCTCAAATGATGACTCTACGTTCCTTTCACTTTCTCTTGATACTGTTCTCTCAATTGGTTCCCTGTCATTAGCCATTGCACGCTTACAGAAAGCATATTTTGCGATTTTCTCAGCAATGCCGCAACCAATTTGAAATCTGTTTTTTGCAAAAGATGTGAAATTCAAGGCACAAACTTTTCATCTCTGAACATTTTAAGCTATCTTGCTCCATATCCTAGCAAAATTCTAAAAACTGATTTTTCAATCTGAACAAAACCAATAGATTCACACGTGAAAACGGTGTGAATATAATAACAACAACTAATTTCACAATACCGCGCAAAAAGCTAGTGCTCGTAAAAAAATTAATTATTTAAGAAAGTACGGGATAATTTGTGAATAGTATGTCTCTAAACTATTCATTTGACCAGAATTATGATAGTGACGATGAAGACAATGACCAGAAATTCGTGTATGATGGAAAAGATATTGGTAAAGTTTTTCCTTAATTCTTCTCAGACTTTTAGTAAATTTTACTATGTTTTCTAGTGCTGTTCGTCATTGATGTGTCTAAATCTATGTTTGAGAAGGTTGTAGATACAGATACCGAAGAGAAAACATCACCATTTGATGTTACTTTGAGTGCACTGGATCTTGCATTTCGTGAAAAAGTTCGGCGATCAGTCAAGGATCTGGTAAGTCATTGTTTTTAATTTTAAATATCTACAGTATAAGTAATATCGTCTTTTAGAATGGCATAATATTCTTTAATACGGAGAAATCACCAGATCCGAAAGATGCCATGGATTCATCAATTATTGCACCAAGCAACTGTGCTGTATTTTTGCCTTTACACAAAGTGGAAGCAGATTCAATTCGTTATATCAAAAATACTAGAGAATCTGATGACTTTAATGACTTTGATAACAGATATGGTCATTCAAATAAGGCAAAAATCAGTGATGTTTTATGGCTCTGCAACTCAGTCGTGTCTCATTGTGGATCAAAAGTTCATTCTCTCACTGTTTTCTGGATAACAGACAATCCAACTCCACATGAAATTAACACAGTTCATTATAACGAAGCAATGGAAAAGGCAAAAGATTTACAGTATTTAGAAATGCATTTTGAGTTATGTCCAATGCTTCGTGATCTTGACATTGAAGAGTTCTATACAGAACTTATGTCTAAAGTTATGAATACAGAAATTGATGCGCTTGATCCAACATTTACATTTGACGTGCAGACATTAAAGACTAAATTTATGCTTCATGATCCTCGCTGTCGAGCATTGTCGTACCTAAATGTTGAAATATCCGATAAAGCTCAGTTCGGTGTCGGTATATATTCTCAATTAAGTGTTACTAAGGAACCAAAGCCAGTGTTTGTTGATCGAAAGTCTAAGGAAATTATTCGATCACATCGTAACTTTAAATTTGGTAAAATTGAAGAAACTGAGAATGATATTGAAGCAGAAATCAATTTTGATCAGAAATTAACAGCAGATAAGTCTGTAAAGTACCTAGAAATTGGTGGCAAGAAAGTCAAATTTACACCACTTGAAGTTTACGAAATGAAGCAAGTCATGCTGCCAAAGATCAAAATTTTAGGCTTTAAGCCAACGGAATCATTCAATCCAATAACACATAAACGCAGATGCTATTTCATCTATCCAACTGATAAGCACATTAAAAATTCCACAAAAATGTTTCGTACTTTATGGGAAACTTGTCTTAAATTTAATAAAATTGCATATTGTGCCTTTTCAATGCGATACAAAAGTTACCCAGAATTAGCTGTCATGATACCCGTTCAAGAGAATGAGGACCTATATACAAATGATGGCTTTCTATTAGAGTTTTTACCTTACACTGAAGACATTCGAGATGTCTCAAAATATATTGTTAAGGAAACAGATGACGAAGAACAAATTGATAAGGCAATGGCATCTGTAATGTCAAAATTAACTGTCAATTATGATCCAATGTACTTTAGAAATCCAATAATTGCTAAAATCTACAACTTTTTAGAGGAAATGGAGTTTGATGAAGAACCACAAGTATTTGACGATCCAACCATGCCTGATACTGATTTACAGGAACGGAGAATCGCCTCGTACGTAAAAATATTGGAAGAATTATATGATGGATTTGATGATGCTCCAACAACAAAAAGGAAAGCTGCAAAGAGTAGTGATGGACCGCCAGCAAAGAAAAATGCTCCTGCAGACATAAATTTTGATTTAGTTCATGAATTATGCAAGAAGAATGACACAAAGAACCTGACTAATGACACGCTTAAGGAATATTTAAAAAGTAAAAATGTTACGGGTTTGTCGAAGTTAAAGAAGTCAGATTTGATACAATTGGTTGCCAATAATCCTTAAAAATTCGTTAATTATTAAAGCTGCAACCAATTTTTAAAAGTTTCCTTATAAATAAACTGATACTTTTTTTGCCATTGATCATCTTTGAATTCCTGTATTTTAAATTTGAACAGTTTTCAAAATTTTAAATTTTTCAATTGAAAATGCATTCAAATTTTTGAATTTTTAGAGCCATTAAATCTAAGTGCTGAAATCAAGCCAGGGATATTGAAAGTTAAATCACGAAGAAATTAAATATATGTAATTCTTGTGTCGTTTTATTATTTCTACATGATATTTTAATTTACATTTTTTTGTTGTGATTTATTTTCCTTTCATTAAAATGATTTAAATTAAACAACTTAATATTTCAAACACAATGCTCATCTCATGAGTTTAAGACATAAAGACACACACAATGCTTAAATAAACTAAGCAAATATTCATGTTGGAATATTCATGATTTTCAGTGTCTTATCTTTTGTAGATGCAATTATCTGGAAAAAAATCAGCCATTAGTTTAATACACATTTAAGCAATTGAATGTTTGACTCACCTTGTCATCCCAGAGATCCATAGCTAAAAGCATATTTGATGGTCCAGTAATATTACAAGCGTCATCATCAGCATTTAAATCAAAGATATAAATATTTCCATCGTAGCACGCTACAATAAGATTTTCTTTATATATTCGTACGCAAATTGCTCCTGCACCGCTCATGCTGCGCTTCTTTTTCAAGGCACCAGTCTATCAATTTTTAAACAGCCACAATTAATAATTGACGTCTATTTAAGGCATTAATATTATCTTACCGTAAAATCAATAGCGAATATTTCATGTAAATTGCTACCGCAATAAATTGTACTACCCTCAAGAAGCATATCATAAATGCTAACACCGCTCAAGTCATTCGACAGTGTTCTCAGTAAAAGGCCTTCGCTTGCATCACGCACCTGAATAGCATTCATTCGAGACGATATCAAAAGAATATGCCTTGATCCTTCCTTTGCTGATCTCATACAAAGAATCAATGCATCGACGCAGCATAAAGGCTCAATTTCTTCATCACTTAACTAAAATTTCAAAGACATTCCTAAGTTAGATTTCTTCCTGAATAGTCTAAAATAGATTTTTGACAAAAAAAAATACTTACGTCAAGTTTAAGTTTATAAATATTTCCACTTTTGGCTCCCACGTATAAAGCATATTTTGATTTTTCAATTACTTGTAAAGGTTCATTAAAATGTTTTGATGCGATAGAATCAAATAACTGCGAAGAAAAAGAAAGAATTTATTTAAGGGGCCGTTCACTTATTACGTTCGCATTTTAGGGGGGAGGAGGGGTTTGAAAAAATGTAACATAGGGGGGGGGGGGGTGTCAAGAAATATGTAACGTTCTAACGGTCGTCTGTCTTTTAAAAAAAAGTTCACGAGATTTTTCCACCTTTCTAATGATAAAATAAATTATGAACGTTCAGGGGGGGGGGGGGGGGGGGGTTGTGAGTTGTAAAATATTTTAACAAGGGGGGGGGGGATGAAAAAAGTTGTACAATTGAACAATCAGCAATTAATTACCTTAAGCTTAATTCTATAAACAAAGCCATCAGACGAGGCTGTGTAAATAGTTTTGTCAATATCTTCATATAAAAATGAGTTGCAAATTTCTGTGTGCTTGCTAAAAACGGCATCACATTTTCCATTGGATAGACGATATTTGTATAATTTTCCGTCTTCTGCTGCACACACCATATGCTTTCCATTAATATTTTGTATGTGAACGATTGGCTGATTGTGAGATTCAAAATTTCCCGTCCATTCTGAATAGTCTTGCTCATTATTAACATGATCTGACGCATTTGTATCGTTATCATCATTTAATGTCAAATTACTTCCTGGTGTCGGTGGATTAACAATTTCTTCATTATCGTCAATTGCTAACGGATCTTTATCAGTGCTTGTCACTGAAACTTTTGATGTTATGGATGTTGTTGATGTTTTACCAGGCAAATTTGGAACTTCTGACTTAGATTGCTTAATTGATTGCTCTGCTTCCTTTTTAATAATTTGAATTACATCATCAATTGACATATCACTTTGAAGAGGCGCATTACTGGATGATGGACTAATCAGCTCATTAATATCAATTTCTGGACATTTTCCAGCTTGAAACTGATCCAAAATATTCTGTTTTAATGATAATTTCGTGAACTCAAGCTTAAACATTTTCATTTTAAGATCTGCTGGATCTATGACTTCATCTAATGAGAACAAGTGAATCGTTTCCTTTGATCTTTTAGGCGATGGCTTTAGAGATGACGGTGACTGGATATTTTGTTCTTTTCTCTTTTCTTTCTCGCGTTCCTTAAGTTTTGCATGAACTTTATCTCGATTAATGATCAGAATCTTATCATTTGATTCCTTTTTAGCTTCTTCTTCCAATTTTCTTCGTTCTATTTCTTCTTTTTCACGTCTAAGCTGCTTATTACGTCTGATTTCTTCAATTCGCTTCCTTCTTTCTTCTTCTTCTCTTTCTTTAGCTTTTTGAGCTGCTGATTTTGGTTCCTCTTCAATTGTGTACTTTTTCTTTTTCTTATTTTCATCATCAGCAGCTACTATTGAGATTTGTGGCGAATCATCAACTTTACGTTTCTTTTTTTCCTCAACAACTTCAATATTCTTGGTTTTATTACTTGTATCCTTTTCTTTCTTAATTTCTTTATGTGGTCTTATCTCAAATGATGACTCTACGTTCCTTTCACTTTCTCTTGATGCTGTTCTCTCAATTGGTTCCCTGTCATTAGCCATTGCACGCTTAGCTAAATTATCAAGTAATACCTTTTTATCATGCTGTAATTTTGTGAATGATTTTTGATGTCCAATACGTTCAGATTGTAGATTTGAAATGACTTTGTCGATTCCGTGAATTTTGTCATGAATTCTATTGATTTCCGTTTCAATTTCAATGATTTTCTTTAATGTTTGATAACAAGGTCGTACATCATTCGGCGAGCTTATTTCAAATAGTTCTACAGAATTATTGACTGGAGTTCTTTCGCGACTTTGATCAGGCAGAAAATCCCTCTTTTCGTCCACGGATTCTCGACTGCTTTTATTATTATTATTATTATTATTATTAAAACCTGAGCGCTTATTAAATGAGCCTTTGAACTGAACGGGTTTTGGATTGAGGAGACATGACAATCGATCTTCGCCACTTTCTGTAATATTATTTGAACTATTATTGGTTTTTTCAAATCGATGTTGAAAATATTAAAATTTATGCGTCATACATTAAGGAGTTTTCATTACTTTTACTTCTTTTCCGAGAATTTTCACGCATATCCATTTATTGATATATCTTCGATTTTTCTCAATAGGTTGATCACTTTCCTGAAATAGATCAACAGTTTGGAATGTTTTATGAATGAAATATTTATGTGATGAGTTCCAACTGTAGTAAACAAAATTCTCTAAACATGAAAAATGGGAAAATTCGGAAGAAAAGCATACGGGGAAAATTCTTGATTATTTTAATGTGGTCAGTACTATAGTTATGATTTCATCGAATTCTTTTAATAGAACGACAGTTTCTATTGTTGGTCACAAGAATTCTATTTTTAAATTTTTACAATGACACCCCCTACTTCCTGTCGTACCCCTAAAAATAGCATTCAGACAAATAAGACACATGTGTGTTTTATGAATGAACAACGAAAATAGATTGAAGGCTGATCAAAAGAAACATGTCACCAATAATCAAACTGTCTTCAGTCTATTCCTTCAGTCGATAAGATAAATGATCCAGATTAGACATCCAGCAATTGAAGTTATAAGAACAATAAAGACTTTTTATCGATGATTCTCTTAATATTACATCTTCAAGTACTACGAATCATAACATAATCATCAACTCTGCGTTAGTTCCACTTTCCAAGCAATCATTATTGAAAATGGAACAAAACTAGTGTATCGGGTAGAAACCCAATGCGGATATATTCACACCGTACCATCAAAAGTCTTATGGATAGACCAAGATTTGCTCAGCATAAGTTTGAAGGGTGGGAGTGAAGTACGGTCGAGACCCATATCGACACAGTTTAAAAGTTATACCTAATTTATGTCATAATTATGTCAGCTACAAAAACACTTAGTTTGAATTTTGTCACCCTCGGGAACACTATGAACCAGTATAGCTAATTTTGGTCCAAATCTCGGCAATACTTCACACTTTTTTGAACCACATTTTCTCGTAAATGTTAAAATATTATTAAAAAGTAATTAATACTGAATTATGTCGCTATTTTGTCAAGTGTTTTAAGATAAAGAATTTGTTTTTTGGTTTCCACAGTGAAGAGTATGAACAAAATTCAGATGGGGTAGTCGAAATTTTAGATTTCGATTTTTTTTTAACCTATGCATTACAAAAAGTAATATTGGTATGTGATTTATGTCAGAATTATGTCAATTCAAATAAAACATCCAAAAAATTTTTTTGAGCAAAGAACCAAGTAGGAAATACATTTTCAATTTTGGACTAGGGGCGACCCTAGTCAAAATCAATTTTGTCACTTTTTTCTTGGAGGGTTTTTCCAAATGGATTGAAACTTTGCATAAATATTCTAGTGCTTAAAACAAATACAAATAAAACATCCAAAAAATTTTTTGGGGCAAAGAACCAAGTAGGAAATACATTTTCAATTTTGGACTAGGGGCGACCCTAGTCAAAATCAATTTTGTCACTTTTTTCTTCGAGGGTTTATCCAAATCGATTGAAACTTTGCATAAATATTCAAGTGCTTAAAACAAATACAAATAAAACATCCTAAAATTTTTTTGAGCAAAGAACCAAGTAGGAAATACATTTTCAATTTTGGACTAGGGGCGACCCTAGTCAAAATCAATTTTGTCACTTTTTTCTTCGAGGGTTTTTCCAAATGGATTGAAAATTTGCATAAATATTCTGGTGCTTAAAACAAATACAAATAACAAATCCAAAAAAATTTTTGAGCAAAGAACCAAGTAGGAAATACATTTTCAATTTTGGACTAGGGGCGACCCTAGTCAAAATCAATTTTGTCACTTTTTTCTTCGAGGGTTTTTCCAAATGGATTAAAACTTTGCATAAATATTCTGGTGCTTAAAACAAATACAAATAAAACATCCTAAATTTTTTTTGAGCAAAGAACCAAGTAGGAAATACATTTTCAATTTTGGACTAGGGGCGACCCTAGTCAAAATCAATTTTGTCACTTTTTTCTTCGAGGGTTTTTCCAAATGGATTGAAACTTTGCATAAATATTCTAGTGCTTAAAACAAATACAAATAAAACATCCAAAATTTTTTTGAGCAAAGAACCAAGGAGGAAATACATTTTTAATCATGAACTTGGGACAGGTCTAGTCAAAATATCGTTTTTCACTTTTTTCCCTTCGAGGATAAATCCAAATACAGTAAAACTTTGTATGAGCATTCTAATCCTCAAGTCACACATTTCTGAATTAATAAAAATAATTTTTTTGGAAAAATTTTAAGTCACGTTGTTTTATAATTATATAATTTGGGTCTGACGACATATAGAATTCATTTCTTGCTTTAGATATTTAAAACTGTTTTGTGTAAATATTAGTATACTCACACAAAGTTTCACTGTAATTGAATAAACCTTCGAAGAAAAAAGAGAAAAACTAGATTTTGACTAGGGTCGCCGCTAGTCCAAAATTAAAAATGTATTTCCTACTTGGTTCTTTGCTCAAAAAATTTTTTGGATGTTTAATTTGTATTTGTTTTAAGCACTAGAATATTTATGCAAAGTTTCAATTCATTTGGAAAAACCCTCGAAGAAAAAAGTGACAAAATTGATTTTGACTAGGGTCGCCCCTAGTCCAAAATTGAAAATGTATTTCCTACTTGGTTCTTTGCTCAAAAAATTTTAGGATGTTTTATTTGTATTTTTTTTAAGCACTAGAATATTTATGCAAAGTTTCAATCCATTTGGAAAAACCCTCGAAGAAAAAAGTGACAAAATTGATTTTGACTAGGGTCGCCCCTAGTCCAAAATTGAAAATGTATTTCCTACTTGGTTCTTTGCTCAAAAAAATTTTTTGGATGTTTTATTTGAATTGACATAATTCTGACATAAATCACATACCAATATTACTTTTTGTAATGCATAGGTTAAAAAAAAATCGAAATCTAAAATTTCGACTACCCCATCTGAATTTTGTTCATACTCTTCACTGTGGAAACCAAAAAACAAATTCTTTATCTTAAAACACTTGACAAAATAGCGACATAATTCAGTATTAATTACTTTTTAATAATATTTTAACATTTACGAGAAAATGTGGTTCAAAAAAGTGTGAAGTATGGCCGAGATTTGGACCAAAATCAGCTATACTGGTTCATAGTGTTCCCGAGGGTGACAAAATTCAAACTAAGTGTTTTTGTAGCTGACATAATTATGACATAAATTAGGTATAACTTTTAAACTGTGTCGATATGGGTCTCGACCGTACTTCACTCCCACCCTTCAAACTTATGCTGAGCAAATCTTGGTCTATCCATAAGATTTTTGATGGTACGGTGTGAATATATCCGCATTGGGTTTCTACCCGATACACTAGTTTTGTTCCATTTTCAATAATGATTGCTTGGAAAGTGGAACTAACGCAGAGTTGATGATTATGTTATGATTCGTAGTACTTGAAGATGTAATATTAAGAGAATCATCGATAAAAAGTCTTTATTGTTCTTATAACTTCAATTGCTGGATGTCTAATCTGGATCATTTATCTTATCGACTGAAGGAATAGACTGAAGACAGTTTGATTATTGGTGACATGTTTCTTTTGATCAGCCTTCAATCTATTTTCGTTGTTCATTCATAAAACACACATGTGTCTTATTTGTCTGAATGCTATTTTTAGGGGTACGACAGGAAGTAGGGGGTGTCATTGTAAAAATTTAAAAATAGAATTCTTGTGACCAACAATAGAAACTGTCGTTCTATTAAAAGAATTCGATGAAATCATAACTATAGTACTGACCACATTAAAATAATCAAGAATTTTCCCCGTATGCTTTTCTTCCGAATTTTCCCATTTTTCATGTTTAGAGAATTTTGTTTACTACAGTTGGAACTCATCACATAAATATTTCATTCATAAAACATTCCAAACTGTTGATCTATTTCAGGAAAGTGATCAACCTATTGAGAAAAATCGAAGATATATCAATAAATGGATATGCGTGAAAATTTTCGGAAAAGAAGTAAAAGTAATGAAAATTCCTTAATGAATGACGCATAAATTTTAAGATTTTAAACAACATAGTCGAGGAAATGACGCCTTAGAAAAAAAATTTACACATCGTTTAATAAACATTGGGAACATGAAGAAAAATGAGAAAATGAAATGGAAAAGTCAGTCATAAATTTTTGGAAGTTAGTTTAAATGATCGGTGCGCAGTATAAACTTTTGAGTTTAAAAACAATAATTTAAAAATGATTGAATGTCTCAGATTTCATTCTACTTCAAAATATCGACTAAACTCGACTGAAAACTAATTTAAAATCAAACTCTAGAAAGGATCAATAAAATTCTTAATTATATTCAAATTTAATTACATTTGATCGCAATATGCTCAAACACATGCCAAATCCAATATATCTATCAACAAAGAAATGAAAACTTTCAAAGATCATTTTTAAACCCATAAAAGTAGAAAATTTATTCTTAACAAATATGCAGTAATTTGCGGATTAATGATCATTCACTTTTAAATGTGTAAGAAGCAAAGGAATGAGCAGACAAATTGCTCATCGTTCAAAATTACAAAATATCAGTAATTGTACTAAAAAAGTATTGAGTCAAGAAGAAGAACTAAAATATTTTACGCTAATAAAGTCAACAAAGAAAGAAGAGAAAAAAAAATTCACGAACGAAAATCGTGAAAAATTCAGAGAAAATGTGAGTGTAGCTTGAACACAAAATAAAATAAGCGAAAATGTTTTTTGAGTTTTCATTCATTAAAGTGAAACATAACTGATCAGACGTGTATATGCTATAATTGCACAAAAGTAAGTCGCGAAGAAAAGACTTGGTGAAATAGAAAAAAAAAATTTAATTGAAGTTTGAGTTTGCAAGTCTTAAGTGAGAATATTTGGAAGATCAAGAACTAATCAAAAACCTATAAAGAATTTTAAAAGTTTTAAAAAAGTGAAAAAGTAATAAAAAATAATCAAAATGACAGACGTTAGTCATGAATTATCAAGTTTACGATACGTAGTGGTAAGCATATATACTTGACCCTAAAGAAATATTCACGAGAATTTAGTTGCTTTATCATTTTCTTTGACATTCTTGTGCCAATCCGCTCGTACACATTTATTTTATTTTCCCTTCTGATGTGCCACGATAAAAAAAGAATCAGCCGAGAAACATTTCATAAATAAGACAACAAAAAATATTCATTTTCCTACAAATGACTGAAATATCTACGTCAAGAGGCGGTTCTTTTGATTTTTTTTGGATGAAAATGTGAAAACAGATTTTGTAGCAAGCATACAGACACATTTTTTGCCAGCTATCTGAGTGGGTTTCATTCTCAAAAAATTTCAAGCTAGAAGTTGACAAATATCCTGCGATGATCGACGAACATTTTTATCAAGATCAGCAAAAAAGCAGGCAAAAATGCGTTAATGCTAGTTATTTTCAAGATCTCTTTAGCATGTTTTCTTATAAATATTAATATTATACTAATGGGAACACATTTAAAAGATTAAAATTCAATTTACAGTCTGTGATTTTAATTGTAAAATTCCAACCTTATAAAAAGAATTTAAATGGAATATTTTGCTGAAATTCCATTCTTCTTCCCATTTCTTGAATTGTAAGATTTCATGCCAGTCGGGCAATTTGGAATTTATCAAGTGCTGTGGAATTTACTTAATCTCAAAAAAAAAATATAATCTTCAACAAAATAGATACAAATTAAGAGCAAAAGAAAGAAAAAAAGATTTAGAAGATGAGAAGAAAATGTGAGAAGAAAGTGTTTGACTTTTGATCAGCTGACTGTCTATCTGGGGTAATCAACCATTGTGATTGATTTGAAATTAATTGCAATTAAAATTTACAACTAGAAACTTAAAAACGGGAGTTTTTTTGCTACCTTGAATAGTTTTGAACCCAATTGACACTTACTCATCCTTCAAATTTAAAAGGAAAAGGTGCTTATATCACTTACTAAATGCTTCCGTAAACTTAAAAGAGGAAATCCTATAAAAATACAATCTTTTGTCTAGAGAAATGATCAATCTATATACTAATGATATTTTAAGTATATAGTCGGCAACAAGCTGTTCAGATTTATCAGATTAAGGTTGATATGATCTATGAGGCCAATAAGATAAAAATTTATTTATCCTCAGCATCTTTACTAGTAAATTAAAGCATTTAATTGATATGATCAAAGAAAATCTGTTCAATCTATAATTAATAGTCTGATCTTCTTAATTTCCCCATTGACTCAAATAAATCTGCTTTACTTTCTGGATCTCAAAGCATAAAATCCCAAAAATATTACAAATGAAGATCAATTGATTCCTGTATTTTAAAATTATTTTGCCTGGTTATTAAACGAAGCACTTTAGTTTATCCCAATATTTATGAGAAGACGCCACGATTGGCATGTGTATGCAATAATTTATATCCAGTTAAAAATCAATTTGCCCGAGACTCACCATAAAATGTTATGATCAGATGATGCTTCAATAAAAAGTATCGATGATTTTTTTCATTTGTGGAATTTTAAGTAGAATTTTACTATGTTTGCTTAAAATTCGGTTATTGATTGATGGATCCAAATACATTGATGGATCTTCGAACACTCCATGACTCAGTCTATTCTTCATTAGTCAAGAGAACTGATTGCAAGTTATTTTCAAAAAATACAGAAAACCATAAAGTTCACCACTAGATTGCATTTAAGGCTATATAAAGCGACAATGAGCTGCGAATGTAGTTCAGTGAATCTTAAAACTGAGGTAATTGACCTATCAAAACAACAATCAGCTCGATGAATCAACGTAATAGTCTTAATCACACTCAAAGCCCTGCGAAATTAAAACAGCAACAAAAAGTCTATTCTTGGTATCATTTTTGCAATCAGTTGATCATTAAAGTGTTGATGTCATAGGAGTCTAGTGGACGGAAATGTTTGTGGCATTTTTCACGTATCGACTATTTTTCACAAAATTTCTCAAAATCAGTATGAAGCACTAATGGCAAATAAATAAATGCTGAATTACGTATTTGACCATCATCACTGATTTTAGTAATATATTAGCTATAGTTGGCTAAAAAGTATCAAATAAAATAAATATATATCTTGATCTTCTTAATTAAACGGATTTCATTAGCATAATTAAGCTACAGTTAACGTAATGTCTGGGTGTTGAAAAGTAAATTTAATAATATTTTTACAAAATATTTTTCACAACTTTTTAATGCTTTATTAATTCAATCATCCAGTTTGTATTTTATTAGAAATTTTGCTTTTCATTATGTGATATTTAATAAACTACAATAATGTTAATTAAAATTGGATAATATTGGCATGATTCATTTCGTAACCAATATTTTGATTTGTGGATTATTGGCGGGTTTTTGAATCGAACAAATATTACGAAGACGAAGATTCTTTAATATTTGATTACTTAATCAATATGTGCCTTCTGAATTCCATCCAAATGTTACTGGTAATTCCATTCAGAAATTCCAGCTCACCACTATTTAATTAGCTAATTTAGAATGTCAATATTCAACAATTAAATGTGATAAAATCTCTTGCACGGTTCATTTTCTCGCCACAAAACTTCCGAAGATGATCTCTACATTCTTTTCCTCACAAAAATAATTTATTGCTCACTTTCGTTTCGCTGAAACAAAGTAGTTACAAAAGGTATTCATACAATTCTTTTTTTGAATTAAGACATTTCCCAAGCTAATTTGAATTTTTGTTGCATGACGCTTTCATGAAAGCAATAAAAAAAGAAAATGCAATTATGTTTGCTAATGGAATGGAAGTGCTAATAAATCAATATAAATCTTCAATTAGGGTTTTAACGGTTTTTAAGAATTTTCGCCATTTTATCTCACTTGAAAAAGTTTTTCTCAAAAAATTCTTTAATTAAACATTCTTTCATCAAATTAACCATTAAGTTGACACATAAAATTTGGCACAAATGATCTACAGTAGATTGAAATGTCAAAGCGAGTTTATTTATTAAAATTAAACAAAAACAAAGTATCATTCATTCATTAGCCGAAAATCACATCTGTTTTGAACTTAGTGCAGCCCAAAAATATGATAGAACTTCTTATGTAATGTCGTCAAGCTTAAAAGAATTGCAACAAAATAAAACAGAAGAGAAGAAAATCAGATGTGAAAAGTTTCTATTTTTAGGAAAGAATTTCGCAGAGAATGAAAAATCGGTGTCTCCATACATCTGTGACGCGTCACAAAAATCTAAAGAATTTGATTTTTTTTTATAAATACATACATGCGATGTAACTTTCAAGGATCGTTGTCCGACTATAAAATATTAATGGCTTTCTATATTAAACATAGTGTTAAGCATGGCGCTGAGTTTTGATGTTCTCAATTAATTTAAATTCTTTAGTTCTGTACAAATTCTATGACAGCTTTCCACTCGTCGTGTCATATACGAGAATTTTCCACTTGAGACTTGAAACATTTTCTCAGACTCTACATTTTCTCGCTGTTGTAGATGCGAGGGAAATATTTTAATAGAAATAATGATTTTGTTGCCAATAATAAGAATCTTAATGAAACAGATTTATGGTTCAAAGTGGCTATTAAAAATTCATATTTCTACTTAAGGGTTGGTTTTGAATGAAATGTCTAATCAATTGATCCAGTTTATCAGGACAAGAGCGAAGCTAGCTTTAGGAATTTTAAGTGTCGTGATGTTTAGAGCCTCAGACCTGATCAGATTCAGATTCCCATTTTTAATAAGTGGCGCATGCAGCCCACCATATCCCCACAAATGCAATGAATGATTCACCACTTAATAATTAAACTAGCTTTACTAAACGGAACGACTGACTGTCAAGAAAATTTAATCTGAGATTTTCAAAAACGATTTTCTGCTCAATAAATTGCCCCGTTGACAGAAGAAATTTCTGAATGCCTAATAACTTATTTTTTTTCTTTAATTTTGTTTGGCTCATACGACCCTGAAATTATTCCAATATTGTGTTTACGAATCTCATTCCTATCTTATTTTCCCTTATTTTCTTGTTCGAATCACTGCTTTGACGTCAATTAATGAAGAAAAGAAAATATTTTGCGCTATTTCAGAGAACAAAAAAAAAAAATAAGAAAGAAAAATAAAGATTGTCGCCACATCCTCTGCGATGATAGATTTAATCGTTATTTTCCATAAGATCTTTCCTAAAATGGTCATTTAATGAGCATCATTACTGCTTATTTGATTTATTAGCCAAAATATCTTGGCAGATCTGAAATGAAAATGTCATTCGATTGGAATTTTAATTTCAATTTTTCAAGCTTCTTATTGCTTCGTCCTCATCCATTCATTCACTCATTCATTCATGATTTCTTTTTGTCAAATTACGAGACGATGAAAAGATAGATGAACGAGAGGGACAAGCAGAAAAAAATATTTAATTCATTAAAATGCGGAAATAGAAAAGCCAACAATTTCCTTCGGTTTGGCTATCTATGCAAAAGAAGATAGAATCGCAAAATTTCATGATCGCCTTCAAAATTACTTTATTTTGATATTTTTTGATGTTTCACACCACATTATCTTTATAAAATTTGTTACGCAGGGAAACAAGCATTAAAATTTTATTTATTTTTAGCTCATTTTATTATAGGATGAAATTCTTGATGTTGGTTTTTTAAGGTTAAATAACAGCTGAATGATTCTTTTCAGTCATAACTGCAAAACTTCAAGTTCTGAAGGTTATGTAAATCTGGCAAATGACTATTGCTGTCTAGGAAAACAATTTTCAAGTTCTTGATCGTGAAAGTTCCTTGAATTAAGAGAAATAAATGAGAAAAACTTTTCGAAGTGAGAGCGCGTTCAGTAACCTCAAAATTAAAATTAATTCATATTTTTAAAAGTCCGGTAAAATTTTATAATTATCTGGTATTTATTAGTCACATCTCTTACATTACTTTAGACCTATTCACTCCAAAAAGCGCTTTAGTCACCGAAAGAATTTCAAATTAATATGGCACGCAAATAAAAGAAAATGAGTTGGAATTAAAAGAAAATAAATAAAGCATATTAATGAAGAGAAAAATTGCGAGAATTTTGTGATGATTTCAGTTGAATCGCTTGAAATTTTTCTCATAGTGGATGGATGCTTTGTACAAATAAACAGATGAAAAAAATTGTATGAATGAAATTGAAATTTCGACGAGTTTTTCGTCATCACATTCCGCACATACTACCGATATTGATTCATGGACGATTTTTTCATCGAAAAGTTTCAAGGATTCTAGCAACTAAATTGCTAAATTTTAAGGAGAAGCGCGTGACAAATTCTTGCTGAAGATTTATCGTTTCTGCTTTTTGGGGCAACAGATTCGCTCTGAATTTGTCAAGATTATAATTTTCAATGAAATACGCTTGTTACTTATTAATAGCTGTTTATGTTTACAACTTCTCTTTCGGCTTCAATGATATTAATTCGATGTTGACGCATCCGAATGAGGAATTTATTGCGTAAGGTTATAGTAAACTGTAAATAAGGCATGACGCTTATGAGGAAGCTGTTGGAATCATTAATGTCCGGTTCAAGGATAATGAAAGTTGAACTTTGGGTCTTCAAACTTAGTTTTAAAGCTAGAGGGATCTACAAAAGCAGACGGCATGCTTTGTTCGATGCACAAATGATTCCTAAAAGTGATAATTTGAGTAGCACTCTTGTAGTTTAATCAAATTAATCTTTAAATGTTTCAAACATTGTAAGCTGCGCAAAATTATAATAAAAATCATTCAGCACAAAGAAAACATTTGCGGAAACGACGTATTTTTAGACTAAATATCATAAATAATAAATGAACAACAAGTGCAAAATTCATATTTTGAACATTCTATATCTCATTCCTCAAATTCCTCAACTCTTTCTTTGTCTTCCATCAAAATAATTCAAGCTGAATCTTCAATATTTCATATTAAATGATTCATAATTTTATTTTGTATTTCCTTCCGTATATTTTTAGATCCAATTTTTCACACATTCCTTTCTTGTCACCCTTTACGGTTATTTAATTAGGGTTGGGAATGTATTTCCACTTCATTTTTGATATATTATTATGTGACATATACTTTTTTATGAGGAAAAACTTTTAATTTTTCAGTCAGCGACGCTCTTCCTATTGAAAAAAAAGATGTTTGGCAACGTCTCAATTACTCTCAAAAGCAAATTAAAAATCCCTGATCATGAAAATACTCAGCTGTTGTTCGGTAGGTCTTAGAAACATGCTCGAAATATGTAACAGGGTGAAGGTTCTTTTAATTTGGCACTGATGATTCATTTAGCATGTGAAATGTCGCAAATTGTTCACTTTTACTGTTTTTCGCGTGGGTACTTTACTTGTCTCATTAACATTCTCTGCCTCTTTGTGCTTATTTTTGGCGAATTTCTTCCTTTGACATAATTGGTGAAAGTCGTAAAACTTTAATTGTTAATGCTCACCTTCCTATAGTTGCAAGTAAATGCTCTGTATATATCTTTGGACGAAATGACACGAGATTAAAAGATGAAAATTAATGAGGCCGAGAAAATTTGTCAATGAGCCAAACTGAGAAGATACAATACAATACATTACATGCTTAGTGATGAGATTGTGTAAAAATTCGTTAGCGACGAGGATTTATAAGTGTATATAAAAGAATTAGCCGCTTTTAATTAGATGTGAGGTTATGTATTCAATTTGGGAAGATGATTTGTTCATCTGATGTTCAGTTATGCTGGCGTTTTTATGACATTTCCTGGTTGCTTTCTTGAGGTTGCAATTTCTTTGCAGCTACAAGAGTTGCTAATTTGAGTAGCTTGATATTTAAGTCTCTAAGAACTTATCAGGAGCCATTTACAACTTACATTCAGCACTAAAGTTTTATACTCCAAACATTTTTGATAATTTTTAGATAAACAAGCTAATCACTGTCTATAAAGCTTACCAATTGACAATAACTAGTAATTTTAAACCTTGATTCAATATATAATCAATAAAGAATCACAAAACAATTGCCAATATACCTGATGAAATAAAAAAGAACACACGACCTAGTATTTTATATTTATTTCAATTTTAATTAGTATTTGATCTGTAGAGCTCGAAGTGCATCCGATACTTTCTTTTCACAAAGAAGTCTTTATTTAAAGAAAAAAAATTTAATTTTGTGTGCTAAATCCAGTGTGAAATGGAAGTTAAAGTAGAAACTCCACAAGAAACTGAATCAGAGGTAAAGAGTTGAATATGATCTGATTAGCAGTTCATTAACACAGCATTTAAATGGATATAATAATAAGGCAACGCCAACAATTGTGATGATTTATGCAGCTATTTAATTACTTTGAACTTTCACTTTATAGTTCATTTTCATTGCTTTCGACGCTGCGAATTTCTTAAAGACTAAATATAAAAAGTTACATGCATATTTATATCTTGTGTACAATTTACGCAATCTGGCATGTGAATAGGAAATAATCTTCTATTATCATACACATGTACATGCTTTTGAACTTTAATTGTTATGAAAGTTATCTCATTAATTGTTTTTAACCTTCTTACGACGATCACATGATTATTTATTATTACCACGATTGCATAAATTAGTTATCGCAAGTCATGAATCGAGTTGTTTAGAGAAATTTCGCAAGACAATCCATTAAGTGCAGTAAAAATTGTAAAAGCGAAACACATTAAAATTCAAAATTCGGTTCATAAAACAATAGACACGAAGTCTTTTTGTGCTGTCATAATTTTGCGTCTTAAATAATCGATTTTATTTTCTTGGTAGCTTTATCGTTATTACTTCCGTTCGACAAAAAAAGACTTTTTTGAATGTCTGTCGAATAAAAGAAATTTAATTCTGTAGACAGTATGGATTATCAGCATTAAGTGTATAATTGGAAATTATCTCACGTTTTTGGCATAGTTTTGAATTATTATTGTTATTCGTTGAAATTTTCGGAATTCTCGGAGGTCATTCACTAATGATGTTGACTGAGTTTGATTCCGTCTTAGACAGTTCCAAATTCAGATTCAAATTATTTTACTTAAATAACTGCAGTTAAATGTATAACTTAATATTTATGTCAATTAAGTATCATTCCTGAAAGCTTTTAATGCCCTTGAATATTATTTAATTATCAAATTTTCTTTTTAATTTAGGATTCACCACTCTCATCAAAAGTAGCAAAATTCAACATGAAAGTCACTGAACATACAAGCAATCAACTTCAGAATCCATTCAGTGGACAACATAACTCACGATCAAGGAGTCCAAAACAATTCTTGTCACCAGATGAATATGGAAAGTAAGTATCATAATCAAGTTTGTTGGATATCAACTCTTTCTTTCAAATTGAACAATATATTAATTTATATCAAAAATTCAATTCATGTTTTCAGACCAAAACCAGGCTCACTGACAGAATACCGTGGAATGAAAGCCAACATCCAAGTATTTCAAGAAATGATTGAATTATGTTCAGTAATCCACGATTCAGGCAAACCAGTTGAGGGCGAACCAGAACTAAGACAAATAAATTTCGGCGAATTATTCCAAATTTACGTTCACATTAATGATAAAGTTGTTGGACTCTTATTGAGAGCTAGAAAGCATGAGCTGTTGACATTTGAGGTAAGTTTATACTTTTATGATCATATGGGATATAGACACTGATGAATTTTCTTCATATTTCTAGGGAGAATGCTTATTTCAAAAGTTCCACGACCACGTCCCAATCTATCTATTAAGACCAATCAAAAGAATCAGAGAGATCATGACGGAAAAACAGACCGTGATTCGTCGTTCGTTAAGTCCCAATCCAAGGTTAGTTAACCCATCCCTGTGAGCAAATAATAATAAATAAATAATTAAACATCCACAATTTCCTTATTGCAATGTTCTTGCATGTAATATAATATTTTAAGTCTTCCACAATATCCACATTCATTGTATTTTCTATTACAGTGAAAATCGTGAAAACTGATCATCATCAAGATCATTGTGACTAAAAAATATGAAAAAAGAAATAATAAGTTTTATGACTGTCAGATGTTTGTATTTATCTACTCTATTCAATTTCCAATGTTGTCCCTCACTCAAAACTTAACTGTCACTGCATGAGCATTTCTCTCTTCATCATATACAACACTATGTAAAAGCTGTATGTCAATCATCACACAAAGTGTAGAAAAAAAATCACTTTTTTTACGTGATTATTTGTTTGTTTGAGAAGAGAGGAGCATGTGATTCATCACTGAAATATTCCAATTTACAGGCCAACTAATGAATTACCATGAATCTGACGAATCAACCTTGATTTTTTTTTCTTCCCTAACGTTTACTTACAATTCTTAATTTTACCTATTTTTGGAACTAAATTTTAATTTTGTAAATTTTTGAGCTAAGATTTAAAAAAAAAATGTAAAGTTTTGACTATTTTTAATGTGGATAAAAGTTTGACATATTGTTTATGGGAGATTTGCACTTATTTGAAGGATATGAGGATACAAATGAAAGCAAATCAGACATTATTAGTTTACATAAATTTAATGAATAAGGAAATATTGCAGCTTTTGCCTCCTCAATTTGAGATTAGTCTCATGATTATTATAGAATAGAAAGTAGTCAGGCACAGCCTTTATGGAAGGACGAAACTTTATTAATTATGTAGAAAATAGTTTTAGATTTAAGTGATTTTTGTGGACGATGGAGCTTTCAATCTTTTATGGCATTTGGAGCAATCAGTATAAATAGGTTTGGATTTGCTAGGTCCTAGAAGATTAAAAGAACTTACTGTCTTAAGTATTTAACCATAAATACAGAAAATCAGTCTCATTATTCAGATTAAGCATTAATAAGCTTGAAGACTTGTAATGAGCTCCATCTTCAATTCAAAATACTAGGTTTACTAAAATCAAATTAAAATAAAGCAAATTCATCTCACAAACCTTCAAATAATCAGCAAATATTCCTTCACAAATGTTCAGCCTTACCAGAAATCATTATAACTCCTTAAATTAGGTGATATAATTGTAATTTGTAGAATATACTAAGTATAAAGACCAAGTGTGTTTGAGTAATAAATTAAGAGAGCTGTAATCCTCCTGTAATTTTATTAAACATGTAATAAAGAAATTTCCTATAAAAGAATTATACAAAATTGTCTGTCTTAATTTTCTTCACTGGATCTTTTTTTTTTATTTTTCAACTTCTCAAGGGTTATTTGCCTCAAATTCTTTTCTTATATATTTTTCAATGATTTTTTTTTCTTTATTTCAGGAATCATTTTACAATCAGTTTAAATCTTATTAACGTGAGGATTTACTAAACATTTAAAGCCATTTTCTTTTGGGATCTATTGAGAAAATATAGATATTTTCATTTACTGGGATTTATTTATGATTTAAATGATTTATGAGTCTGAGATTTTAAAGATCACATTTTAGGGACTTCCAACAATTCATAGTGGATTATCTCGTAAACTTTAAGAAATTGAAGATTTTTTTGTAAAATATTTGAATTTCCCATAAAAATTACACCTGTTGTACAAGATGGCAGCATGATCCTCAATTGAATCTTAAAATTTTAAGCATCAACATCACCCACATAGATTCGAAAATTACGTCCCCATCGCCTAAAACTTTATCTCTTAATAAACCATCATAACCACACAGCATAGCAAATATACACATCGTATAACATCAATAAATATGCGAAAAAAATGCGATCTTTAAACCTCGAATTTCTCATAAATTATTCTAAATTTCTCTCATTTTCTTTAAACTTTTTTCTTTTATATCATATATGATTCTATATATAATGTATTGTAGGTATTTATGTATTTTTAATATGATTTTTTTCTTCTCTTATTTCTTTGTATCTTTCAGGATTTGACTTTTCAGTTTATTTTTTTAAAAATTGCTGGTCTCTAGTTTATCATTTCAAAGTTAATTCTTATGGATTTTTTTTATGAGCGGGAAGGTTTCTTTTATTTTGTAGAGGGAAGGGAGGATAAAGTGCTTTGATAGATATCAGAATCTATTATTTGCTGTCCTAATCCCTAGCAGAAATTTACTAGTAATTTCCTAGTAATTTACTGGATAACTTTCCATTTGCTACTTGCTATTTACTAGTCAAAATCCAAGTTCAAATCATCGCCAAAGACCCGCATTTTCACTTGCTAATTGACTAGTCAATTCGCTTACAATTTAACTAGTAATTTACTAGCAAATTTGTAAAAAATTTAAATGAATATAACCGTTGATTTCCACGTGTTTTTTAATTTTTTTATTTGTGTAAATTATTGTAAAAGTATTAGTGTGTACTTAGTTTAATTAATTAAAGTACACTAATACTACGAAAAAAAATAAAAGACTTAATTTAATTAAGTCAAACACTGATGAACGCTTATGACTCGCACGCAAACCTGAGGAAGATAAATAATTAAATTGAATGTCTCATACAAATTTGGATCGACGTTATAAAGGTGATTTCTGCGCGCTCTTGTGAAGTATATGGCAAATGCCAAATTTAGAACAAAATTTTTTATGATGCAAAAATTTCTTTTTTTGATGATTTTTCGTAGGATTCGAACTTAAGAAGATTTGATCAAACATTTCTCATGGAAATTTGCTAGTAATTTGCTATTAAATAGTAAGTGTAATTTACTAATAGTAAGTTGTTTTAATAATAACTAGTAAATTGCAAGTAGTAAAATAGAAAGACTAGCAATTTGCTAGTTAGTCTCGCTAGGGAATCTGTTCTATTTTTAAATTTTAAGCTGTTCAGATCTAATAAGTTCCATAGCTGTTCATTTTATATGCACTCCAATTTTATTAGTAGTTCAAAAAGTGAGAGTTCGTCAGAACATAGATCTACAGTTTATAGTGGAATCGAAACCACGTATTCCATGAAATTACATCTTTTAGCCAAAACAGAAAGATTTTGAGCTATTAAAGCTAGCTTTATTAATTCAAAAAGCACATTAAGGAACTTAATAGACACCTCCTCCCTCCACAAATATAACAAATCCTTCTCCTCTCTTAGGATTGATTTTTTAAATTCTTTAAATTTTATCGAGGACAAGAAAGGGGAATTTTTATAAATTTTCAATTTATTAATTTCTTCTGTTGAGCTAGTGACGATTTTTTAAGGAAGTTCTTTTAAATGATGAGAAGCAATAAAGTAGCTGATTTTGCAATTGTTTTGAGAAACTCTTAGAAATTTTGATTAATTAGACAGTAAAGTAAGTTCATACATGAGAATTTTTGAGAAATTTGAAAGATCTGTCTAAATAGATTTGATAACATCAATGATCAATCCTTGAACTGATAATTTTTACAACTGTCTTATCAATCTTTTATGTAACAAACATTAAGCCACAATCTCTTCAAAATTACACCACTTTATTGCCTCTCATTAATAGTAAAATGTTGATTTTTTTTTTAATTTTGACTCTTTTAAACATTCACATTCAATTAAAATGCGATCGTGTTGTTTAGTTTTTAATAAATGAAATTTTTTTACGGTTTTTACAATTACTTGAGGCCCTTCTTCATCATCATTTTTTAATCGACTTACAAATTATTTTTCTTTTTTCTAATTACAATAATAAATTAACAAAAGTTTTTCTTTTCTTTTTAAAAAAAACTTAAATACAAAAAAAAATGTTTTTGACGAGGCTTTTTTCACTTTCATAGAAAACTTTTCATCACCTCTAAATTAATTAATTAATTAACAAAAAAAAAATATATGAACGAAATTCAAAATAATATTTTTCATATAATCACTTTAAAAGCTTTAATTTTAAAAATAGTCATCGAGTCTGGATGACTTTAGCCCACTTTTTGGGTTACTTTCGATTAGTAAATTGGGATTTTTGAATCTTAATGAAGATCTTTGGAGTTATGATTGAGGAGAATGGTGACATTTGACTTGAACTCTTTTGTTGACGCTAATGCTTCAGATTTCTGGAAACTTAATAATTTCTAGGATTTTAGATAAAACTTGAAATTTTTAATAACCTATTTCAATTTAGATCAGCTTCAAAACAATATAAAAGCATTGATTAGCTCCTCAAACTCCGTTTGACTTAGTAGCATCCCAATTTCTATGTCCATCCCTATCACAAGTGAACAAATCAAGAGTTTAATTTCTCCAAAAAGTGAGTACAATCTAAAAACTTATGTGCATTGAGTTGCAAAGAATTTCAAAATTTCTTTTTTTTTTCAAAAAGTGAAAAAGACGATAATAATAATAATAATATAAAATCATAAATTTTTAATCATAAATCACAAGTAAAAAGTTGTGGATAATGTGTTGAATGATAATGACTTACAAAAGTATTAAATGATGTAACATAAATCATGTACAAAAAATTTCGTTTGAGAGATTAATTCATTAAAGGCCTAAAAGGTTAAATTACATCATTACTAATCATAGTTTATCATCATCAATTTTCATAATTATTATTTTTTTTATATCTCATTACATTTTAGCACATCACTCATACAAAGGACAGAATGTAGAATTGTCATTAAAGAAATATTTTCTCAATTTCAAAAATGAGTTTTTTTTCAATTTTTTAAAAATTAAAACCACTTTTAGTGAACATTACAAATTTTTTAAAATATTCTTACAAACGATAAAAAAAGGTTTAGTAATTAATTAAAATATATAAAAAAATTTATTCTTTTTGGTTTCATTTTGGAGCGCGCGGGCGAGCCGTGTATGTGCAACTTAAAATCATCTTTGTGTTTCTTTCGCTTGTCAACTTCCAACTGTTTTTTATTTTTAATTTTTAATTCGCATATGAATAATTTTCTCTCGTTATGAATGAAAAATTGACACTTTAAACATTAACATGTCAAGATTTTCTGGGTGGTCTTGTTGGTATACCATCCAAATTCTCATAAGCTGAAATGACAATGTTTTGATTATTATTAAATTTTTTGAACATCAATTTGACACATGAGGTTCTAATTATGACAGTAAATAAAGAAAGATTCTTTTCTTGAGACACCTGCTAGGTTGAGGAGATTCATGATTAACATATGGACTTTACAGGATGAGAATTTTTAAAATTATCTTGGCGATTCATATAAGTTGCTTTCAGAAGTTTGGACTTCTTACAATACTTAGATTTCTGAATAATATTTAGAAATCATTGGAATTTAAAGGATTGGAAGCTATGCGTCACTTAATTCAAATAATTTACGTCCGAAGATATTATTAGGCACTAGTGAATAACTTTGAAAAAAGAAATGGAAATCCCAGCAAAAAGTCTGCTTATGAATCATGACTCCAAGGAGATGAATAATTATCAATAGCCTGAATTTATGTCGCATGTAGTTGCATTATAATATACATTAAGTTCAATATTAGTCATACTCCCTGATTATGAATCATTTAAATGCACAAAGCTATGATGTGAGATATCAATAGCGATACCTTTTTTTAAACATTACTAATTATAGGAGTCAGCAAGATCAAAATCGGGTAGTCAGAATGTTTTTGATCGCAAGAAGCTTCATAACGTCTGGAAAAACTGCTAATCTGTAACTTTTTCTATGCAATTAATTTTTTATTCGATTTTTTCATGCAATAGCTGTAGCTTGAAGTGAATTAATTGCAATTTATGGAAAATTCAAATTATGCAATTAACCTTAAGTTCTCACAGACTGAATGGCTTAATGGCTAATTAAGTTATCTTGATTGATATTTCTTCTGGAAACTAATAAATCACACGCAGTGGAAATTTCCCATAAGCAGTGCTTGTCCCTGCATATTAGATATCAGTATTGCGTCTCAGATTTTAAAGTCTGAATCAGCGAACAAGGAAACATTAGAACTCTCTTTTTGTCATGAATTAAGATGTTTCGGAAATGAATATTGAATAGAATGTAATTAAATACCTGATGAATTGAAGTCAGAGATGAGTTGTCGCGATGGAGGAATCGGAACTACTCGATGATGAAATGGTAATGGTTCAATTATACTCGATGATTGCTGGTATATGTTACTGCTAGTTGAGTTATTATTATTATTGTTGTATAAACTCATTTGGTTAAGTTGAGGCAATGGACTACGAACATCATCATACCTGATATGAAAATATAATAAAAGAATTATAGGAAATTATTGTAATAACTAATAAGTATGAATAGAATTGCCATTTAAATATATAAAAATTATTAAATGCAAAAATATCAACAACAGTAGCAGAGAAAGAAAGAAAAAATGGCATTAAAATTTCATTCACATTTCATCGATCATGACAACATTAAATGCTTCCGCGTGACGAGTCAGGCATTTAATGCATTTCAAGTCGAGGTCATTTCTCTATAATTTAGAATTTATCAAAAATCATGTATAATAATGCTGCAATTTAAGACACAAAATAAAAATTGGAAATTCTAAGCGTGACTATAAACTAATATATGCAGAAAGAGACAGCGAATGAGCAACAGGAAAGCTAAAATGTCACTTGCATGCTCAAGTTTGAGGTCGCAGTCGATAATAATAAAAAAAAATACAAGCGTGGTGTGACAGGGTGACAAAGAATATCATGTATGCAACTAATTACATTTTTTGCTTGCATATTTAATGCATATTTATTAGGAAGTGACTCTTTATTAATGAGCTAGAGATAGACCTTTAAAAATGCAGTCATCAAGTGACTTAATGATCATCAATATTTATTTTACGACTTTATTAAAGCTAAATTCTAGTTTTAATGACTTAAAAATTTATAATGTTAAGCTAAACATAAATTTCGTGATTAAATGCAACATACTTAATATTCGTATATTCTCGTCCGACTTGCATTGATGCTTGCTCCGCTCTCTTACGTTGTAGCTTTGTCTGAATATAATGCTGTACGGCATAATACACAAATTTATATTGAGCTTCAGTCTGCACCATACCGGATCGCTGTGATCGCACCATTAAGATTGTTCGATGAATATCAATTTCACAATCGAGTCCTTCGCGATCAATTTGGTCGAGAATCATGTCTATCACAATAAATGTTCCCGTTCGTCCAATACCGGCTGAACAGTGAACACATATACTGCCTGGATTGACGCCATCGCTTACTAATTGTTCTTGTCGTGCATTGACATCTTGAAGGAAGTTTAGGACACAGCCTGGTTCTGCAACTCCATGATCAGGCCATACGAGGAAGTGATATTGAAAAACTTTACGTTCTTCACGTCCACGCCATGAGAAGAGCATTTCACGAAGTGTATAGTCATTTGCTGATGTCTCATTCAGACATGTCACTTTCGCATAACCCCATTGCTGTGATTGACCTGGATCCGGCCAATACTTTTCGCACTTTTTCTTTGTTCTTTCAATTTCTTTTGTTGTCATAACAATTACACGTGTATTCTCTTGCCATATCATATTCCAAAAGTCTTCTATCGTATTTGGCAGACATCCTTGAGTCGCAATATATGTTTTACTCACAAACTCATCTGCACCTTTCTTTAAATTACTACCATTGCCGACATTCGATATGGAACTAAAGTTTGTTCGAATTGATGTTAATGATTCGGTACGTTTATGCTTATTATTTGCCATACTTCCATTATCAATGGCACATTGTACGCACATTTTATTCAATTGCTGACAATTGCCGCATTTAAAATTGCCGTGATTACTTAATGTTGCATAAGATGAATTTAAATTCTCTATAGATGCCATTGAGGTTATATCTGTATTTTGATCACCATCCAATAATCTAATATAATTTGCATTAATATAATCCGCTCCGGGTTGCGACAGATCTACGTCTCTCAATATTACTCGCGTATGATCGACTAAATTGTAAATAAAGTAATGAGATTATGGATTAGTAATTAGCAAAAGATTTATGGCTGTAAACAAGTAAGGTGGAATCGCGTGCACAAGTAATATTCTCAAGGATAAAGAAATATTTCTTCAATTTTGAAGGTAGGAAGCATGGATTTCTTGTATTCAATATTCAGTCATAACCTAAGACAACAAAGCCTGTTTCCAAAACTTGACTTCGCAGAGACAAGAGACACAAAAGTTGACAGAAATCTGATTGATTAAGATATAATTCATTAGAAATTGTAAGCAAAGTGGAAATCATTGACACGACTAAAGTCTACGGTGATTAGGAAGACGTTAACTAATCACTTAGCTTCTATAAATAAAGTAAGTTCCCTTATAATAAATAATTTCAATCAATTAATTAACACACTAAAGTACTACAAACTCATTTACTGTAAGTTCGCTTTAGAGAAAAAAAAGCAGCAACAAAACAGTTTTATGACTGACGAATAAGGAATTGAATAAAATGTGCAATAGCACAAAACTAAATCCAACAGCAACCTTGACATTGAAATGTATTTCATAAAATAAATGCAATTTGTTGCTTGTATACCTCAGCTCATATGCTTGTGTGTCTACACCTTTTCACAATAATCATAGATGCAATTGCAATAAAATAAGATAGTCTATTGAGAAAGCAAGTCAAATAGATACTCACAAGGTAGAATATTTTTGTATCGATTTTTGCTGCGATTCTCTGGCTTCTGTCCCTCATGACGCGAGAAAGAATGTCGACATTCTTGTTGTTGTAATGACTCAAACTCTTCCCAGAAGCCTCCTTTTCCAAAGCATGATCCAGGCCCGTGATCTCTCTGCAGAATTTCAACACGTGAATCAATACTAGCCGCAGTTATTCTTGTCGCATTGAATGGATGACGAAGTTTTACGACTGTTCCGGATGTCTCGACCATTGGATTCTTTTTATAATGTTCGATTAGTTCACTTAATGTCGAAAATTGTTCACCTCCACCAACGTCGTAATGTCGGTTGTCCTGATATGATAAATATAAATTTATTATTAATACTGGTCAAAAACAATAGGCATGAAATCGTGATTGGAATTAATATATTTTTTTGGATGTTGTTTATTTTTGGTCGACTGAAAACATCAACGGAATTGTAAGAAAGTTTGGTGATTTTTGTGAATTATTTGAACGCATTAAAATGAGGCTGACTGTGAATTTGGGAAGGGTATGTAAATGGGTTCTGGATATTGTCTGAAATCTCGAACTTTGGCAAGTATAAGCAACATTTAAGATTTAGATGATAATCTTGGAATGAAAACTTTTTGATTAGTAAACAAGATGAAGCCGGTTAGAACTTGATTAGAATTAATTAATACTTTAAAATCTATTTTTATGCGGAACTAATGTAGCAAAGAATCTATTTAGAATCATAATCAAATGTCTATGGATTACGTTTACTGGATTTTAATAAATCATATTGATAATTCAGCTTATATATATTCAAGGTTTTCAAAACAAAGTCTATTTTTGGAACTGCTAATTTGTAATTCATCAATTAATCAAATCAACAAATAAACAACGTGAAAAATTCGAGCCTCCAATTTTACAAAAAACAAGACCAATTTTCTTAATTGTATTAATGAAAACAATGTGACTTATTACTATGTTTACGTGGAATTTCCACCGTACTCACCTGCCATCGAATCATCACATGTGTTACTTTATCGTCGTTTCTAACAGACAGCACATAATCACCCGGCTTTGATTGAGATTCACGTACCAAAAATGATCCGTTACGTCCTCGTTCGAGAATTAATTTTTCAGCATCACGTCCTGATAAATTACCGTGAAACCACCTATGAATGATAATACCTTGTTAATAACTGGAATTTTGTTTACAACAATTTAGTTGATCAATAAAAATTGAATATTCAATGTTATGTCAGAGAGAGAAATATTTAATGGAACTGGAGTGAAACGAGAAAGTATCAAGGATTTCAATATCATTGGGATTTTTATTTTACTATTGGAATTTTATGTGTTTACTAGCAATGGGTTGACTGTTCTCAAGGAATGACAAAATCATAAGAAAATGGCCATTGTCCAGTCAAGTAAACATCATCATAACAAGAGTAGTTCACTTAAGGTCTAAAAAGTTGATGTACAATAATTTATCTGTCTCCCTTGATACAGTAGCTCTTATTTTCGCCCTTGTCGACGTCGTTTTCGCTGTTTATTTGTCGAATAATCGACAACGGAGATCCAAAATTCCCAAAAAAGATATATTTTTTATACACGACAACAACTCTATTTTAATTAAAATCCATTAGTATGTTTTCACTACGAGAACTGAATTGGAAATGAAAATAAGTTAAATAAATTCACTCTATGATGCATTTTAATGGCAATTGAGAGAAAAAAAATCCCCTCCGAGCGTCTCTTTCTACTACACATATTTCATTTGTACTCGTCATTTAAATTCAAGTTAAACGTGAGAATTGACTGTAAGGTGAAATAGAATCGGAATATGCAGTATTGTTAACTTAGTATTAACTTTTGGCAGTGTTTCTCAACCTTTATGAGGTTCGAGACATTTTGAAAAGTAGACAGTGGTCTATATCTTGACGATTTCGATGGTTCAACTTAACGTAGTTGGAAAAGTACTTAAGAAGTGTCAGTTATAACTCAAGGACTCGAGTAAGCTCTAAGAAAGTTGGATATCTTGAAATTGAAAATCATCAATACCAAATGAAAAAAATTTCTTTTTAAAGCTCTCATGTAACAAAGTTTGAGAACCACTGCATAATCTAGTCTAGATCACCAACTCTGACTATAGTCTTAATTATTAGATTTTTTTAATATGAAATCTTAGATCGAGTCGAGAGAAAATGAGAAAATAATTTATATCTACATTAAATTGCAATCTTTTTCATTTCAGGAATTAATATGTGAAAGAAAATAAAGATTTTCGATCTTGACAATAGATTGCAATGATTTATGCGAACATTACATTAGAAAAGAGTAATTCGATTTCTAGTTTGTTGAACTTTAGACTCTAGGTCTGATTCTATCTGTGATTGAAACTCAATAACATAAAGAATCAATTAGAACTTGAAGGAGTTTGCTTTGTGAGGTAGGTGGATGTTTGTTAATTGAAGATTGGAATCAAACTTAATTGCTTTTAATGATTTTTCAAGACAGAGACTTTTCTAATTGAATCTACAACCACATTAGTCATCATCTCCACAGACAGAATAGTTATATTCCTTATTCACAAATTTCCACGCAATTTTAAAGAATTCCCGCTAAATAATCTGTTGACTATACTCGCTACAATGTCAATTTTTATTTTAGGAAGTGCTAATATACAACGCATAGCTATCCGGCGAGTTCTCTTATCATACAAGCCGATAACAACAACAAAGGAAATTTACATGCGTATCAAAAGCTGTTTTTTGTGTGCAGAAAAAATAAAATAAAAACATTTCGAAACCAGTTGAGTGTCTTGCTACAAGCTAGATCATCTTATATACTCTTTATTGCCACACATAATTCGTTCACTTTTATTCCTCATTTTATGTTTATTTTCATGTAAATTTTTTTTTGAAGCTTTTAAAAACTAGCACATTACAGAAAGGCACGTATCTAAATAGCACAGAAAATACCTATGAAACTATCTCACAGCTTTGCACTTGACAGACGAAAATGGATAAAATTAAGAGTTGCTAATAAATAAAATTACCATAAAAAATGTGTACAGAAGAGAAAAAAACGTATCGCGCAATATTCCCATCTTAAGTGACTTTATGTATACTGTACATTCTTATATTGCTTTGTGAAAACACAAACAGCAGTGAGCCGCTAAATGCAAGCGCTTTGACTCAATAGACATACGGCTTATTGTGTCTCGTTACACGAGAATTAAATATTTAAATAAGAAATGATTAGAAACACTTTGTGGATTGTGAAAATCAGTCCTTCAAAGACACTTAACAATCAAGGTTGGGGCACTTCATGAATATTTTTGGTAAGCAGTTTGATTTGATTTTAAATTTTAGTATTTAAAAAATTTTAATTTATTGTCCAAACTTAGTAAAAGAGGAAGTTTGTTCGACAGTGAAAAAACCCAGGCGTGGACACTGGGATTAATCCTAAATAATCCTGAATAATCCCAGCATGTTTTTGAGTGTCCATGCCTTGGCAAAAACTTGGTCCCCATCAACATCCTATCTCAAATTTCCCAAAACCAATAATGCGTCTCCATCCATTCAACCTCATCGACTGTACATTCACTCAACTTCATCACTCTTTCTACATTTTTGGTGAAAAATATTTACATTACAACTTGCTAGGTAGCTTTAAATTGACTAATAAGCTGACTGCTCGTCGAGTGTCGTGCAAATTGCAATGGATGAACTCACAGTATTGGTAATAAATCACATGAAGCATGATTGCAAGGTATGAGAGTAAAAATGTACAAAAAGAGTTCAAGAGAGATGGAAGTAAATACACTTTGAGCCTCCCTTAAATGCACTCATGATCAACAGAAGCCTCGCGAATCGTTGTAAATTTATCAAGTAAATCATGTAGATAGTCCAATACTCAACTCGAAATCAGCAAACTCCCTTATACAATTATTTATTTTCCTTAACGTCGGTGCTGATGTCTCAATTATATCACAGCCGAGACTCTTTTCGTCGTGCAAATCATAAAAGTTATTGAAATATTCATCACCATGACGTTCGTAATTCGACATTTTATGTCTCAGAATGGCACGATCAGCTTTACTGTCACTTAATTTTTCATTATGAAAATAATTACGATTAATTTTCAGTCGTTCATCGCGCTTCTCGATGAGAGATTTTCTGCGATTATTTCGCTTCATTGGAACATCTTTCAAGACATCATCAGCAATTGACAGACTATTTGATCTGCCATGCGGTGTCGATCCACGTCCAATTAGATAATTTTCAATAAATAAATTTCGATTTAATTCATTTTGATCGTAATTACTATCGCATTCGATTGATGAGCATCTGCTACTATCACCACCATCATCACTTGTAGATGATCTGTTGCTTTTTGTCGGTCGAATGTAATTCATTGTATTGAATGTGTTGCTTACTTTCATTGCATACTTCTTCAACATTTTTGCAGTATTTTTTTTTTGTGTATTAATTTGCAGTTTACGACGTGAAATTACAGGAAAGGAAATAATTTCACCAACAACAAAGTCACTGTGACCACAGGATATTACGAATGAATGAGTTCAGTTGGTCCACCTGCTTACTTTTTATTATTCTTTCATACTTCTTTCTATAGAAATTTGTCAAGTCTTGTTTTTTATGTTTCCGCTGAATTTACACTTAATTCACTGTAAATATGTTTGATTCACTTAATGTCTTTGCCTTATTTTATTATTATTTTTGTTCAACTCCTACGACAATTAATAATTCTCATATAGGATTTCGATTTTCTACGTCTCAATCTACAGCAGTCGCGTTACAATTACTTAACGTCACACTCTCTCAATGCTGCAAAAACTTATAGTTTTAAAACTTTTTTTTTGCGTCTCTAGTTTACCGAAATTTTATCGTGTTGGCGTCAAAAATTCAAATTAATAATCGCCATCATCAACAATAAACCATGCGGAAAATTGAAAACACAAAGTTTTTTTATTTATTTTCACGACTTTTAATGAAAAAAGTTAATTTAATTTTTAAAATGACTCAGAAAAATTTTCACAGACAATTGCTAAAATAATTGATTCCTTTTTTGTCCCGAGAACTTTTTCCTTTTATTTAATTTTCTGTTTTTTCCGATCCTACTCACACTAATTTTGACGATCGACTGAGAGGTTCTGAAATATATTTCTTACTTTTTTTTTCCTTTCGCTCTTTGTCGTTGTCAGCAAGCGGCAATTTACTCAAGTTTTCGTGAGTTTTGTTTTATTTTTTTTTTCCATAATACACATGGAGACATGAATGATCGATAAAATTTAAAGTATTTTTTTTTCTTCTCCATTTGTGTGCGCACAAAAGATAATACAACTTCTTTATTTCCTCTCAGCACCTGCGTGTGTGTAGATGAGATTACTAGAAATCTCGCTCAGTTAAGCTTTGCAATGGAACGTGCATTAATGTCGAATAAATTAGTGATTCCCTACTGCTAGCTACGTAAGAAGGTTGTTTCAAATTATTGTTTATTTTGTGGATACTCTCGGACATTAGGGATTGTAGACACACCGGGACAGATTGACTGTTGGTTCGAGAATCCTACAAAATATTTTGAAAACCATGTCTCACTTCCTATACCTTCTTAATGTTCGATATTGAATTTGATCATAGTTCAGTAACCCCAATCAGTAAAGAGGCACAATAGTCCTAAATTCAAGGAGTTTTTGGTTCCAGACTAATCAAAAACATTCAGCTGGTTCAGCCAAATTAAGTATTAACACGTGACTTACTCCAAAAAAGATAAAAATGCGTCTAATCTAAAATATTTAGCTTTAAAAGTCATCTAAAGTTCTTGAATATCAGCACATGCTCAATACTAGTTTCTCTTCTTATTTAGCTTCAATCTGCCGAACAGATTATTTGAAAAATATAAGCACATGACGACAAAAATTCTAAATAAACTTTCCTCGATTTCCTCATCACTTTTGAACGATTTCATTACTGTTTTACTACGTGAGAAGTTGTTCATATGTCATGACTCATTTGTTAAATAATGCACAATACTAAAAGAAATATTTAAAACAATGCATTAATTCTGTAAGTTTTAAAAAAGTCGATTCAAAGAACTCATTGATGTTATTACGTAGTGTATCAAATCAGTTTGTGTAAAACAAGCAAGCCAGCTATGAAAATTATACATTAGCACATATTGTATAAGAGTTGTGCGTTATGCATATTGTAAGCTAGCTAACATTGATGATGATGACGGTTGATGATGATAGTAGGAGGGATATTATGAGTATAAAAGTATCAAGTCTCTCTGTTGACAGTGAGTAAAATAAAGTGTGAGAGAGAAACTAGCACTAATCAACAGGTTTCAATGTGACAGAAACGCACGTTCTGGATTGAATTATTTTTATTTTGTAATTTACATAATATAATGTATAATTTGAAGGCATGATAAGAATGTCATTAAGCATTTGCTACTGATTTATTTCCTATTTAACAAAGCTTTTTGTCAATTCTTTCCTTTATAGAATGCTTTGCAAGGAATTTCCTGTCAAAATAATATTATTATTCACAACTCTCTGCTCTATAGGCCAATAAAAGAAATACATAAAGAAGCAATCAATCACACTACTATTCTAGTGCACGCGAACATTTGTTTCGGAAAACTTTTTTTAGGCAACGCCGTAAAGTGGAAAAATATTCATGAATGAATAAGAAAAATAGAAAAAAAAAACTTGTTGCCTTATTTCCTCGACTTTGCGGTTAGAAGCTAGCTTGTTCATTCAAGTTATCACTTTAAATTATATTTATTTTTTGTTTTTAAATGCTACTTCCAATCAATTTTCCATTTTAATTGATGCCAATGCTGACAGGCTTATACTCAGGTATGTAAAAATATTTGAGATCATGTGAACTGCACTATCAATAGATAGCAGTTGAGTAAACAGTGTGAGGAATTATTATTTAAATTGGCAAAATGTTTTTAAAATTTATATGCCATATGAAAATGAGGTAATGCGAGAATAATGGAGATTCAATGAGCTGCAGTGTTATTTATTGATTGAATTCTGGATGGAATTCATTTAGATTCAATCACACTTTGATGCATCAAAAAGCTATAAATCGATTCGAAAAAAAAAGTTTCTAGAAGGCGTTTATGATTATTTTATTAAATCAGTTTTTGACAGGTTGGGGGTGTGCTTAAATTACGACCCTTTGGATTCCCAATAATTGAAAAAATTATCAAACTATTCAGAACGAAAAGTGATTTTGTATTTAAGGCGGAACCAAGTCATATATCTTCACTAGAGCTATTACTAGTGTCCATCCTACCCACAAAACTAGATGTGCCTCAAAAACCAGCATCAGAGTACAAGACCAGAGCAAATGAGATTCTAAACGACATCAAACGTTAATGAACCCCAGAAAAATCAATATTTTAACAATTCAGGATATTCTAGAAACTTTTTAGAATAAAAATTTAACTAGCATAGCTTTGTTTCGTTTCTGTGGAAACTTGAACGGCATCCAATTATCAAAAAAAATTCTAAATAACATCTGTTTCTTCCTCTGAATGCCGATTGTTATCCAATTCAAAACATGAATCGAACAAAAAATATTGAGTAATTACTTATTACCTTAAAAACAGTTATAAAAACATGGATGGAGTAGGAATGTACATTTGTTCTTATAGTTTCCATATAGAAGTCTATCTTATCTCAATTATAAGCTACCTTCTAAAGCTACGCGTTTGAAGTATGAATGAAAACTTAATTCTATCTGTTTTCAATACATACGGCCCACATCCATAATTACCTTACTATAAGTTTTTCCACTATATGGCCCCTTGTTATTGAGAAAAAAAGACATCTTCATTCATTTCTTCATATTCGGAACAGTCAACAATGTGTAGTATCATACAAGCGAAAGCACCACGACAATAAAAAAGTTCTGTTTTATTTCATCGTGACTTATTCTTATTTGATTTCTTTCTCCAAAAAAATATGAGAGAAGTTTTGTTTGTTCTTTCAAGTGTATCGCCTCCGTTCAATAATGAAATTGTATGTAAAATCTAAAATAAATTTTTACTTTTTCGCCGGTTAAGAATGCGATATATATCAACGTCAAAATGTTCATCAATACCACGAAAGATGATGATTTTTTTCTTCTTCATGAGAAATCAATGTGACTCTCTTGTCCACCCACATGCAATATTTTGTGTAAACAACGTAAGTCAATTGATATTTTTGTTTAAGAATTTTTGCTTTGTGTATGTTTTGTCGGAGTTATTGATTGATACTGTAAGTTTGACTGGATGACTACTTGATCTGTAGCCTTGTTTATTATTTAAATTAAATTTGTTTAAATAAAGTTTGTAAGGTTGGAAATTTTCCATTGCTAGCTAAACTCAAATCGAGGCATGGGATTCCTTCATCAAGTGTTTCAAATACTTTTAGCTGACAATCCTACTTCACACATCAAACAGATCCTATCTAATCCTTACATAATAAACTTTTTCCTCGGTAGTATAGCGGCGAGTATCTCAATATTGATCATAAACAAATCAAATGCGCTCTATTCGAACATCCTAAATACTCAATTCAAATTGTTTTATTCACAAAAAATATTTTAATGACGATGACGATGATGACGACAATACATAGACAGAAAGAAAGAATTCCATGTTAGGTCCATCGACTTTAAGAACCCATTAAACTTTTAAGAGATCTTAAAAATATTATTATTTTTTACTTCTTATGGTTTGAAGACCCAAGAAATGTTTCTGTATTTGCGACTTAGTCGTATTGATATCAAAAAATATGTATCATGGAAAGAAGGAACCCAAAAAACAAATTAACATAAAAACTTATTTTCAGGTTTCTTAAAATCTCATAATTTAATACATTTTATAATTTTTTAATTTTTGTAAAATCTTGCTTTCTTGTGATCTTCGTTGACAAATCCCTTAAAATTATTATTGAATTTGATTTATTGAATTTCTGAAAATATATTCAAAAGATAGAAAATTCCGTTCCAATCTACAATTCTACTTCAAACAAAGTTTTAGTCATGCTTAGATTCCCACATCCATTCTGATATCTTTTTAACATGTTTCCTTTTCATATTTTCACGACTTTAGGTGTGGATGAAAGATAGTAAATTAATAAGTCAAATTATTGACAAAAGTAATTGTCACTATCGTTGTTATTGAACTTGCGAATGGGTGGTGACATGATCCAAAGTCTTGTATTATTATGAAAAGTAAATAAAGCAATAGTGTTTTATTCATCAGAATATTGTTGGAGCAATAGGAAATGATGAATTGTTCATATTAAGTATGTGGATTAGGGGAGTTGGAATATCGGTTTAGTGAGAATCATTAAGCATTGATTGATTCGTTAAGGACATCTATATAAGAATTCTAATGAAATAGTAATACCCAGAAATTCACTGACTACCTGCTGTTACTAAAATGTAGTATTAGGTATTAATCATCATTCAAAATCAAACATAAATGTCTTGTTTGAATGAATTTCACAATTAATAAATAACATTGTAATCAATCTAATTTATAAAAGTTGACATCCAACTAGGATCACGAAACTCCCAGGGTAATCTATATCTAAGAACTAGTCCTAAACCATACGTCAAAAAAGAAAGTTAAAATCAAAAACCTTTAAACTCTTTTTGGCGCCGATCAAGCCAAAACTACCGACACAACATCATCAATAAAACACAGCTGTTGTCTTCATTGAAAACTTCAATACCTTACGTACTTGAATTTCTACGAATAAGTAAATTACATATTATTACAAAAACAGTAAGCTTCACGTGAATTCGCACCAAAATTTATAATACAATAGATTTTTTGAAAATTTATTGAATAATCGTATGCATCACACAATTCGATGAATGTCGAATAAAGCTAGTGTAGGCAGTTCTAACGGTGCAATAATCGTGTGCATTTTTAAAGAGAAATTTCGCCTACACTTTTGAATGCTTTTGTTTTCTGTGATCATATGTTTTAGGTCTACTAAGAAGCTTGAGACTTTCTTTAGGTCAAATTAAAGTTTTTCTTAAAAATAGAAAGTAAAGGAAGATCATTAAGGATGAGTAAGATCAATATCTTCGAGCAGAACAATCTCATTAATTGCTGACTATATTGCAAATCCAAAATGACATAAATTACAAGCTTAAAGAAAGTTGTCGTCTACATCCATCCATTTATACCTCCCACAACTTGCATAATAATATTTCATACAACTTGCCATTCTTGTACTCATGTCCATTTTTAATTCGGTAGTACATTTCTCTTTGGGATTGTTCATAAATGATGTACATTCAAAACTGTGTCTTTTAGGAAGGTAAAGTGATCTTGAAACGTCAATTAAACCTAATAATAAAATTCTCCCATCCCAGTCCACAAAGTTGCACCTTAACCTCATTTATCGATACCCCTCATTGTCAATAAATTAAGGACTTAATTAAAGGTATAATAATTACAGTCCAGACTCATTAAAAATAATGTTTTACCAATTTATTATTATTCAATCATTTGTGCTAATGGCTATTTCAGTTCCTCCTATAATTTTCTATCATTAATTCTACTTGACATTCAGCAAAAATACATCAAATTAAGCAGCAATGACGCGCGCTCAAATATAGAGAGATCACTTTCATCGCATCATTGTCATTGTAAATCTCTCTATCGTGTGCAACACACTCTCGTCAAGGAAGGCACGTACAAACGTGAACGTTTAATGTACATTATAATAAATGATAGTTGATGATTTGTGTAATTACAATGGCTCGAGCGTTAAAAATTGCTTCAAAAAAATCTACAATACATCTATTAACTAGCTACACTACAAATAAATTATTATTATGATGATAATTTGCATAAATCATTATAATTTTCATTAATGCTCATTATTATCATTGTTAACAAGAAAATGGATTCATCTTTGCGCATCAAGTTTTGTGACAAAATGGATGCTTATACGCCTTTTACACAGCTAATGAAATGTTAAGTAATTAAAAATAAGGGAAACACTTTCTATCACTAGGTATGAAAAAATTGTCGCATTGATTGAGAGCTTTTTGAATTTTAATTAGTGGAAGCGAATCTCTCGTCTTGTAATTATATTAAAAGTGGTGCCTCTGTTTCTGTCTCAAATACGTAGAACAAGTTTAAAGTTCGTCTAGTTTTAAATGCTGTTTCTAGTTTTAACAAGTTATAGGAATTGTTTATTATCTCGCTTGTCTACTGACAAGTTCCTAGTAATATTAATTTTGCTTCAAATGATACTTTTGGGATGCATTAAGTGCTGTACTTGATTTTGTGAGCATATGATGAAAAACATAGTCTTTAAAACTAATGATGCAATATTTTTATATCACCCCAAAAATATGAAAAATATTCTAAAGCTTCAGAAAATAATGATCAGCACAACGGAGTCATTTACTGCCGGTATATAAGGAAATATCCACTATAAATTGCCATCATTGCATTATAAATTAAGTAGAATATTTTAAAAATAACTTATTTGTCTTTAAACAATTTGATTAACTCTAGGAATTCCTTGGCTCTTTAAATAACCTGAATGTACGTGCTTTAGTTACATAAATGACAATATTATGGATAGAATCTGCTGCTAATAAATCTAATTTGTAGCAAAGCGGAATTTTTAATTTCACTTTTAGAATCGCACGTGAAAGTCAATGACTTTCAATAAATTCTCAAAGAATTGCTTATTGCTGAGAATGTCGGAAGAATCAGATTATTCTAAATTAATAGCTCTCTAATTGTTAAATTATTGACATAGAAATTGTTATTCAGGAGCTTTCTAATAACAGATTCAAATGACGTCAAATGTTATGCAACGGCTTATGTTTCTCATTTAGTAGACGATTGTTTTTGATTATTGAATTGCTATTGAATTATGCTTGACAATTGTCTGTTGTGTTATTGCTTTAGAAAGTTGTTTTAAGATCTGTCTGTGCTATTCGAAAAAATATTCAATTGTCAATAGAATTCTTACGTAACAAAATAAAAAAATCATCAGATAAAGCTTGAATTCTTTCATTTAGGGAATTCCATGAAGGATGAGCTGTAAATGAGTATTCATTGCCTTTTAAATTAATTTATAGCTCACAAACAACTGCACAATTTGCTACTAAATCCCCAACAATATTGCATTTTAATCCCTCTACCTCAACATCAAGACGATTATTTCATTAGCTTTACTACACAGCTAGTCCATTGTTTCGCACAGACACTTAAAAAGTTTGAATAGCTTCGTCAAGGTCGCAACACGGTGACAAAAAAGAAGACGCTTTTTACTATTTTTATTCATTATCGTTTGAAGCAGCAATAAATGAATAGAATAAACACACAAAAAAAAAAAATCCCATTGCGTGACAAGAATCCACAAAAAAATGCAATAGAGTTGAATATAGAAATAGTTTAATTGAAAGAAATTTAATGGACATAATCGCTTCATACACACGAATAATGTTCGCAACAAAGGAGACAGAATTAATATTTTATACACACAATCACGACAATCAGTAGCGATGTCCGTAATAATAATAATAAAACTTTATGTAAATGCACATCACGAAGTTAAGAATCATTGGGAAAATTCACAAATTACTCACCGTTCTGTCGTTGGCTCGATTGCACAGCTTAATGGTTGTTTGAGTTCGATTATAGCGCCGGTCTTCTTCTCACGCAACTGTCCCGGATTCTCCATGTAATATTGAACGAGCTCCGATAATGTTGCGAATTTCTCGCCTTAATGGACAATCAGCCGAGAAGTGACATCAAGATTTGAAGAAGTAAAATATAAATATCGCGGCATTTACGAAAATGAATATGAAGTAGATAAAGAGAATAACAAAAAGGCATACAATGTAGTTTTTTTACTCATTCTTTAAGAGCTGTGAATTTGATTAATTGTGAGTGTATGAATAAATTTAAGAGTCAGACTCACCTCCATAAAGATCGAAAAAATCTCCATTGTTTTGGATTTTAATATGTGTCACTTCTTGCCCTCTTCGTACGGATAATGTAAATGCACCGGGATTTGACGACGATAAACGAGCTAAAAATGAACCATCTATACCGCGTTCTAAGAGCAATTGTTCTGCTTCAACTCCCGAGATTCCTTGATGAAACCATCTGTGAATTAGAAAACAAAAGATTTATGGTGTTGTTTTCTGCTGTCTATGAGATTTATAGCCTATTTTAACCATTCCCATATAATCACTTTACATAAAAAATCGTGAGAAAATTTAGTGGGTCACTCCCATGCTGATACATATTTTTCATTTATTTATTTCATCTTCATTACAAGCTGTATTGATGACAATAATATTGCATGAAGGCTTATTAAGCTGTATTTTCGGTTGAACACTTTCTATGAATAATCATTTTGTATGGCTGAATTATTTTCGCAATTTATAGCTCGAAAAGTCAGTTTGTAGATTTCCCATGTTGTTTAAAGAAATCTTGCTTTTTAAAGGAACGATTTTGGCGAGAAATCATGTCAAAAATCTTAGAACTGATTGAATAATTCGGGAAAAACTTTTTGAGGTGGAGAAAATTTTCAAAATGGCAGAATAAAATTTTAAAGCTTACTTAAATGCGTTGAATGATCAATTAATCATTTAAACTGCAGCCTACTCAATTTCTCATTAATCCAGTTTCTAAATCATGAGTAGAGTTAATAACATAAAAAGTTTATTTTTTTAACGAGATGTAAAAAGCTGAGCATTCTTGTTCATGTACGATACAATAAAACATATTTAAGTTCCAATTATATCTCGAGTACAATAAAAATGAAACTAAAAACGCTTTTCATGTACAATTATTATTATTCTTATTTTTTTTGTAAGTTGCCTCATCTCCGAACAAATGTATATACCGAGCAGAAGCATCAACAACAACAAAAGCAGCGGGAAAAAAATAGAATAGAAATTGAATGGGAAATCTACAAAATGAAATAATAACTAGTGTATCGGGTAGAAACCCAATGCGGATATATTCACACCGTACCATCAAAAGTCTTATGGATAGACCATGATTTGCTCAGCATAAGTTTGAAGGGTGGGTTTGAAGTACGGCCGAGACCCATATCGACACAGTTCAAAAGATATACCTAATTTATGTCATAATTATGTCAGCTACAAAAACACTTAGTTTGAATTTTGTCACCCTCGGGAACACTATGAACCAGTATAGCTGATTTTGGTCCAAATCTCGGCCATAGTTCACACTTATTTGAACCACATTTTCTCGTAAATGTTAAAATATTATTAAAAAGTAATTAATCCTGAATTATGTCGCTATTTTGTCAAGTGTTTTAAGATAAAAAATTTGTTTTTTGGTTTCCACAGTGAAGAGTATGAACAAATTTCAGATGGGGTAGTCGAAATTTTAGATTTCGATTTTTTTTAAGCTATGCATTACAAAAAGTAATATTGGTATGTGATTTATGTCAGAATTATGTCAATTCAAATAAAACATTCAAAAAACTTTTTTGACCAAAGGACACTATAGAGAATCAATTTTCAATTTTGGACTAGGAGTGACCCTAGTCAAAATCAATTTTGTCACTTTTTTCTTCGAGGGTTTATACAAATGGATTGAAACTTTGCATAAATGTTCTAGTGCTTAAAACAAATACAAATAAAACATTTTAAAATTTTTTGAGCAAAGAACCAAGAAGGAAATACATTTTCAATTTTGGACTAGGGGCGACCCTAGTCAAAAACAATTTTGTCACTTTTTTCTTCGAGGGTTTATCCAAATGGATTGAAACTTTGCATAAATATTCTAGTGCTTAAAACAAATACAAATAAAACATCCTAAAATTTTTTTGAGCAAAGAACCAAGTAGGAAATACATTTTTAATTATGAACTTGGGACAGGTCCAGTCAAAATCTAGTTGTTCACTTTTTTCTTCGAGGATAAATCCAAATACAGTGAAACTTTGTATGAGCATTCTAATCTTCAGGTTACACATTTCTGAATTAATAAAAATCATTTTTTTGGACAAAATTTTAAGTCATGTTGTTTTTGAATGTACAACCAAATTTATAAAATTTGGGTCTGACGACACATAGAATACATTTCTTGCTTTAGATATTTAAAACTGTTTTGTATAAATATTAGTATACTCACACAAAGTTTCACTGTAATTGGATAAACCTTCGAAGAAAAAAAGTGAAAAACTAGATTTTGACTAGACCTGTCCCAAGTTCATAATTGAAAATGTATTTCCTACTTGGTTCTTTGCTCAAAAAAATTTTAGGATGTTTTATTTGTATTTGTTTTAAGCACTAGAATATTTATGCAAAGTTTCAATCCATTTGGAAAAACCCTCGAAGAAAAAAGTGATAAAATTGATTTTGACTAGGGTCGCCCCTAGTCCAAAATTGAAAATGTATTTCCTACTTGGTTCTTTGCTTAAAAAAATTTTTGGATGTTTTATTTGTATTTGTTTTAAGCACTAGAATATTTATGCAAAGTTTCAATCCATTTGGATAAACCCTCGAAGAAAAAAGTGACAAAATTGATTTTGACTAGGGTCGCCCCTAGTCCAAAATTGAAAATGTATTTCCTTCTTGGTTCTTTGCTCAAAAAAATTTTTTTCATCCAAAGTTTAATTTAAAATAAAAAAAAAAAACACAGTGAACTTTTAATTTGAAAAATTCGTAAGAAAGGAAAGTTTTTTGCTTTTTCTGAAGCAACGGCTGTTCCTACCTTGCCCAAAAACAATACAGCTCTTCTATAGAGCATCACGGATCAAATGTAAAAAACTAGAAGTCTCTACGATGTTTCGTTATTGAGATTTCTTGCTGATTAACTTGCTTGCTTGATTGCTTACAGAAAGCGTATTTTGCGATTTTCTCAGCAATGCCACAACCAATTTGAAATCTGTTTTTTGAAAATGATGTAAAATTTCAGGCACAAACTTTTCTTCTGTGACCTTTTATAACCAATTTTGCTTTGTTTTCTCACAAAATGCGAAAAACTGATTTTTCAATCTGAACAAAACCAATAGATTCACACGTGAAAACGGTGTGAATATAAAAAAACTACATTTGCATCACATAGCAAAAAAGAAAACGGCATCATTTGGTATCGTGCAGCAACAACAACAACGTAGAAAATGTAATTAGACGAGAGATGTGAGAACCAATGGATCTGTGTGACTCTTTAGAATTTAAAGAAAAGAAATCAAATAGTATGTATGCTTTTCATCCAGAAAATTGAGAATATAAAATTCTATATGCAAGCAGCTGTTAGCTGTTGCATCGATGGCCTTCAAATTTTCAAATTTACTCCTTACATTGATTTTATTACACAAAATGCTTTGCCTTGAAAAAGTGCACACATATACTAGGTTGTTATGCACGATAGAAAACATATATGTTGAGTAGTGAGTGAGAGAGAGTTCATATGTTCAAAATACAATTTACGTAAATAACGGCATCGCACAGCAACAGTATGGCTAATTAAAAAGAAATTTAAAGCTTTTGGACTTGCATTATCTTATCAAAATACTTATTAAGTAACTGATTATAGAGTAAACTTGCATTTATTCTTTCTTTCTTGCTATTTTATTTCGGATGTTTAATTGGGGTCATGGCATGAAGGACGATATGTATAGTAACAATATAGTGTAGATGGGATGCAAGGCAGATGAAAATGAAAATTGGGTCAAAGTGTCGTGCACAAATCCACAGATTAATAGTCGTAGAATTTATGGAAGTTTCTTTTAATGTTTTTAAGTTCATGACATATTCGTATTACTCTACAGCTTAATCTCTCATATTCTATTGTGATAAATCGTGCACAAAAAAGACGACGATGAGGAAAATTTGTTGTTGCCATTCACAAAATGCACATTTTTTTCAGTCACTAATTTTCCTCATTTTACACGTAAAGTACAGCATAACATTCGACTGTAATTTAATATATTCCCACTAGACATGATTTGAATTTACCTTCGAGTTGACATTTTTAAACTAATTTGCAGTGGTCTGCAGATTTTTATTACAAAAAATTGCAGTAAAATCTTAAAATTTACTTCACACTCAAGTTTTCACATTAAATTCATTAATTCATTATGTATCTAGAAGCACTTTAATATCTTTTTGTTACCGTAAATGATTAAATCACAAGGAAATTCTTTTTTTTAATTTTTTAAACACTAATTTTCTTACTTTACACAGAAAAAATAATATGCAGGACCGAAATGGAAGTAACTTTGAATAGCTTTGAATGATATGCAGCCGTTATGAACGGAATCAGCTATCGGAATTTTTTGTTTCGTGCTTTTATTTCGCAACGTGACATGCTCTAATCTCTTAAGATCTATTTTGCTCTATCGTTTTGCCTTAATTGGTGCCAGTTTATTTCACTGGATCTTATTGCTTAATATTTTAATAATTTTAAGTTGTCACCTGTTGACTGGAATTTCATTCAAATGTTCAATCAATTTCTGGAAAATCAGTTGGTCTTTGCATTGTTTTTATTTTTGTAGAACTTTATTCTTATAAGGGCAATTCTTTGGATGAGTGGAATTTGAAAAAAATGAGCTTTCATAATCCAATGTCAATGAGTTTTGTGTCAATAAAATGTTTTCTTTAATTTCATATTACTGTGAAGGAATAATAAGCCAGAACTTTCGTAGATCATTAAGCATAATTAATTCTTTACAAGTGATCTATTGAAATGTTACAACTCACTCAAATTAAGTGAAAAATTGAAAAAATATGTTTGAAAATTTTGTATTTTTTCACGGATTAAGACAAAAAAAAGCTTCTTTATAACTCGATGACACAAGGAAATTTTTCAAAGAATTGAAATATTTCATTAATTACTGACTTAAAGCACACAGAAAAGCAACCTAATTAAAGATTTTTGTCTGTTCTATAACTCAGTAAAAGTTATTCAATGTTAATGTCAATAGTTTTCTCTAATTTTCGATTCTTCGGATGATGAAAATTGAAAATTCCGATTTCTGTCATCGAGTTATTGACAAAAGAATCCAAATAACTTAATTAATACAGCGATTAGAAGTATATGATATCAAAAGGAGTGTACATTTTAGATTTTTACATCGATAAGAATCATAAAATCAGTGCCTCTGATGGAAAAAATCAATAAAATTTCGATTTTTCGCTGAAAATTTTCCGAAAGTCATCCAAAGAATTGCCCATAATTAAGTTGGTATTTTTGATAACATATTAGCGACTGGATCTCAAAGATCTAGAAGCGATAGAGGCACATGTGACAAAAATAATTTCAATTTTTAACGGATTTTGTTATTCAAAATTTTAGAATGTTTCGCAAAAATCAGTCAAGCATTCATTTAGGGGAAATCAACACAAAAAATTGTCAATAAAAGATCCAGTGATTTTGTAAAAAGTTTAATTTTAAGTATTTGTAGCTATAATTAAGACTTAGAATGCCGCTTTTCGAGACAGTATTTCAGGAAAAACCAGCCATTGTTATGGAAATTGGTTCAGCATACACAAAGTGAGTTAAAATGAAAGAAAAATGATTTTTTAAAAAATATATCATTAAATTTTACTCTCTGGATGTCTTAGAATTGGATTTTGTGGCGAAGCACATCCTAGATTTATTCTGCCGACAGAAATTGAGTCCATTCGTGATGTGTTGAAGAAAACTGAGAAGAATCTCTACGATCAAGCTGTTGATTTTTTCAACAAAATTTTCTTTGAGTGAGTCACCAATATTGTTCTTCTTGTGCTATTTACAGTTTTGCCTAATATTTATGGAACTAAGACCATAATCAAATTAGCGACTCAATTTTTAAAAATTGTTCATAGTCGTTATTTGTGTACGACTTTTGTGTTTTCATCTTAACACTTGATAGTCTTGTAACTTAAATCAATAGTCGTAGTTTACGCACGACTTTTGTAACATTGATCTAATGAATCCTTTTCTTCGACAGCTACCTTCTGGTTAGTCCAAAAGATCGAAAAGTATCATTTGTTGAATCAACCATTACAACACCAACTCTCATCCGTGAAAGTTTTGCGAAAGTGCTCTTCCATCACTTTGAAGTCGCATCAATTTTGTTCCTTCCTTTGCATTTAGTGTCACTTTCAACATTGGCAATTGATACTGCATTAGTTGTGGATATTGGATATAAAGAGGCAGTTATACTTCCTGTATTTAATGGCGTTCAGATCTTGAAAGCATGGCAGGCACAGCCATTAGGTGGAGAATCAATTCATGATGGAATTAAAGCTAGTTTGATTCTTAATGGAGTTAAAGATGAGATTTTATCAGAACGAGTAATTGAGGATATTAAGGTAAGAACATGTTTTGTTACCAAGCAAGCTAGAGCAGTAGCACATAGGAATAATGAGAGTATTCAGCCATGTCCAGATGTTGATTATCCAGTTGATGGATCTGATGTGATTAAAATTCCTGGTAATTTGAGAGAATTTGCATTGGAAGTTCTTTTTCCCGAAGATAATGACTATTTAGGATTACCGTACATAATTATTGATGCAATTATTAAATGTCCAGTGGATTCAAGGAAGGAACTTGCTGAAAATATTTTATTGATTGGTGGAACATCAAGCATGATGGGAATTAAGTCTCGATTAAGAGACGAACTGAGGACTTTAATAAAATCTGAGTTTTATATGGATAGACTTTATATTGATGATGTTAAGTTCCACAATGCACCGTCTAAGCCAAACTTCACTGGATGGCTTGGTGGATCGATTTATTCAGCTACAGATTTAATCTCGAACTCAATTACTCGTGAGAATTACTTAAAGCATCCAAAGATCCCAGATTGGATATTTTATGATGGATCGTCGACAAGGAATCAAGGTTGAAAATTGAATTATAATTAACATGCAATTATTATATTATTAATAAACACATTAAGCTTTTATTATTTAACAGTTATTGTGTTTAATTCTAATCAAATTGTCTTAAAATCATTTCCACTCTACTATATTTTCATATATTCATAGTTATTTGTTAAAGAGTTGCTGCTTTTGATCCTATACTTCTAGATTAGCTGAGAAATGTAATAAAATTAAAATCTAACGGATTTTTGGAACTCAAATTTCCAAGGCGATAAATAGTTTCACACCCCGGATTGTTTAAATTTAAAATTTAACGGATAGGAATCAGCAATTAAATACAGCACCAAATCAGCAACTTCTATAGACATAATTAGGCATTTCCTAGACCTTGCTGGAACTTTAGTTCTGCTTGTTGTTTCTTTAATGCTTCTTGCATTTCAAGTGCCTTTTTCTTAAATTGCTCAGCTTTCTTCTCGTTCCTCTCGATTCCATCGCCTTTCATGTACATTTGTGATAGATTCGCACATGCATAAATGTTGTCCAATTCACAGGCTTTAGTCGCAAAGTCAAATGCTTTCTTCATGTCTTTTTGTACAGCAAATTCACTTGGATCTGGTGTAGTGGTTTTCTTAGCATCGTCATTCTTATATACACCGGAAATGTACATTCCAGAAAGATAAAAACAAGCAGTTCCGTTATTAAGTTTACAACTTTTGGTAAGTGCTTCCATTCCTTTAGTTATGTCTCGTTCAATTATCGCTGGTTTTGTTTTACTAATCATAATTAATCCACTATGAAGACAACAGTCGGCATCATTTAGCTCACATCCTTTTGTATAGTATTGGAACGCTTGTTTGGCATCTCCTTTATCTACACTTGATGCTTTGCCTTTACCTAAGAAACTGTAATGTCCAAATTTAAGACAAGACTTTGCATATCCATAATCATCACAATTTGATCGAAAAACCTTTCCAGCCTTCTCAAAATCCTTCTTTATACTCTCTAGATAGTCGCCGAGTAAGTGACATACTGTAAATTGAATTTTCAATGTGAATTGTGTAAGATCCAGCAAGAAATAATTTACCATCAGGCTTTTTTTCGCTATAACATCCAAATCGGTATTCTATTCCTAGCTTCTCAACGTATTCCTTAACGTCTGACTCATTTTTCAGGTCGAATGCCATTTAAATAACTAGATTATTTCACAAATTTTGCTTCTATGTCGTTTTCACGATATTTTGAACGTGGTTTTCTCTTGTAGGAAAATTAAACATAAGAATTAATCATCTCGGTGATTTAAATTTGAATTTAAAATATAGATTAACGGATTGATTGTGCATGCTTTAGGCTCTAGAGAATATCAAGACACTTATGCTTTACTTATATATTTCATTTTAAGTCTTCTTTGTTAAAAACTATTGTAATACGATTTTTCATATCAAAAAGGAAAATTACTTCATACGAACCGCCTCCCACCCTATCTTCTGCAAAATTTTCTGAATCATGTTTCGCATAAAATTTTAATTTTTAAGATTTTAAAATCCTCAAAAGCCGAGTGAATTTCAGATTGAAAAGACTCAATTTTTAATCAAGTCGTTGTCAATACAGAAAGAGATTGACAAAAACGGAAAATGTTGATAGAAAATAACAATTATGCAATTTTAATCGGTTGTGTCGTTCTTTTTGGCTTAATACTTTTTGTTTTAAACTAGTAAGTTCAAACTTTCTTCTTTTTTGATTTGTTTAAAAAATTAATAATAATAATCTACCTGTTTCACTAAAGTATAATATCATTGATTTTGCATTATCCAATAGAGCGGATTAGTCATGATAATTCTTTATACTTCGATATCTTGTAATTCTCTATATTGACTTATGACGTCTAGGGGGGTGTGGAGGGATCAGCAAGAAAAGAAGAATAGAAATTTCTGGAAATCTATTGTTCTTTTTAGAAAAATGTCCGTTAATTAATTTCGGACGTCATAAATGAACGATCCCTATTAAGTATTGATTCTTCTTTTTTTGTCAAATCTCGTAGATTAACAAGATTTACACCTTTAATTCAAACATCTAGCGAGATCCTTTAAAAATCTTAAACGTCCTGAATCATTCTTTAAAAACTAAACTGGATAATTATAAATCGAGGACAGTAAACTTTTGGTGAAACATACCGAAATTTTTTTCAAAAGAATGATACATTTAATGTTTCATATTATGATATATCCTAAAACACATATAAAACCAATTTTGCATAGCTTATCTTTAGTTTCTTGTTTAATCGTTTTTAACAAAAATTTAATAATGAGCAATAATAAATGGAGTGACTGGATGTTTCGTCTTTTTTCTAGTTTAAATAATGTGAAGGCAGAAAACCAAAAACAATTGGATTTATCAGAAAGGAATCAAACCCGTATTGAATTGGCTGAAAATCAAATAAATAATTTGATTACATTAGCAAAGGTTATGATAGAGACACAAGAAAAAGGAATGAAAGATGCAATAGAACAAAAAGATATGGAAAATAAATGTATATTAGAAGCCACTATAACAGCAGTCAACAAAACTGTAGTAGAATTAAAAGATAACAATGAAACTTCATTAAAGTTTTTGGATAAAAGGCTTAAAGAGAGCAATCAGTTGATAGGAAAGTTGTGTGAAAAACTCCATACTCCCTTAAATATTTCATTGTTAACACTTAATTTTAACGACATTAATTTAAAATCAAAGTTGTTCTAATATTGATATCACCAACATCTGGTTTACTCCATCAAATGATCACCAAACGAATGCAAGATGTTTTCAATTTTTCTCTTTCCTTTGTATGCAATACTTAATTGTTTAAATAAAATCTCCACATATCCATCAATTTTTAAATGTCTTAAATTTATTTTTAACATTTTCCTTATTAAAATAACCGCGTTAATAGTTTTAAATTGCAATTCATGCGTTTAGTCATCTCGGAACATGCTCGTAGATTTGTAAACATTCAACTTAAAATAATTAAAATGCCGCTTTGCCTAATAGTAGGATGTCCAGCATCATTAAAATCAACAAGAGCGAGAGAGATTAAAGAGTATTTTGAAACAGAGAAGCAGAAAACAGTCCATATAATCAGTGAAAATGCTATAATTAAAAACTCAGGAATGAAAAAGAATCAAATTTACTTAGAATCAGGAAAGGAAAAGATGATCAGAGCTGAATTAAAGTCCGATAGCTTAAGACTGTTGAATAAGAATGACTTGATTATTATGGACGGACTTAATTACATTAAAGGATATCGATATGAGATTTATTGTGCCACAAAAGCTGGAAGGTAGTGTATTTAATGTTTTTGGTACTTTTTTGGACATCCAGTTATGCTGTATGTCTATATGTTTCCTTGTTTTGCGTGATCAGATGAAAAGTATTCATAAATTAAGCATATTAAGACTTTACTGGATCTCAAACTAATCATGTCCATTGCTTCCTTTAGAGCTACTCAATGTACAATCCACTGTTCAGTTACCAAGGAAAGAGGGTGGGAGATAAATGAAAATAGAGAAGATAAGGATGAGATATATTCAAAAGAAATGTATGAAGCACTTTGGCTGAGATTTGAGGAACCAATATCCACAAATCGATGGGATTCGCCCTTATTTGCTGTTACTGACTATGAGAAGCTTAATATGGAGGAACTGTATGAAGCACTTTATGAGAAGAAGGCACCAAAACCAAATCAATCAACACAAAATCCACCGACACAAGACACAAACTTTTTATTTGAATTAGACAAATTGACACAAGACATAGTCGCGGAAATAGTCTCAGCAAGGAAGCTTGGATCATTAGGGCCAGTTAAAGTAAAGAACTGCACAGAAACTGTAAATATTTCATCAGACATCAATGCAAGTCAACTGAATAGAATGAGAAGACAATATCTGAATTATAGTAAGCTACATTTGGACACAGCAGGTGACTTAGTAAAAGCTCCGTCATTATTTGTTCAATACCTTAATTCCGTTTTAAGTGAATAATAAATTTATTGAATATTTTATTCATTATTTAAAAAAATGTTTAAGGAAATACAATCCAGCTTATTTCTGTTGTTGTTGTTGCTGTTGAGCTAATTTCTCCTTTTTAGCTGCTTCCTCTTCAGCCTGAATTTTCTCATACTTTGCAATCAACTTGTCTACTTCAGCATTTGAGAGAATCTTAATAGTCGTTGCATCACCATCGCGCTGTAAAGTTGACATTTCAATCTTTTCTGATGACAATTTAGTCATGTCTAAGGTCTTTGCGAGAACCTTAATAGCTAGATCCTCGGCATCGCCCAACGGAATTGGAGTTTCATTCAATTCTTGCTTTAGTACAGACACTGCGGCCTAGAATAAACATATAATCATAAATAATGGACTTTAAGAACCAAGTTTGGCACAACTTACAGCAGCGTTGTTTCCAATGCAAGTTGCCTTCCATCCACTGTAATTTCCACTTGGATCAGACTGATATAATTGATATCCATAATGCTTATCCCATCCCATATATAAAATTGATACACCAAATGGACGTTTACCACCATACTGAGTATAGGCTTGCTTTACATCACATAAACTAGATACAAGCTGTTCAACTGGAATCGGCTCGTCATACTGAAGTTGATAACGTTGTGCAATGACTCGCAATTCATTTGTAAGAACATTTGCGTCAGATGTAATTCCAGCAACGGAACACACCATATCTTCATTTAATCTGTAGATCTTTTCAGCAAAGATGCTATTATCAAGCAGTTTATTGATGTTTCGACGTTCAGCAGCTAATAAGATTCCGTCTTTTGCTAAAATTCCCAAACAAGTTCCAGCATGTGAAATAGCTTCCATAGCATATTCTACTTGATATAAACGACCTTCTGGTGAGAAGATTGTTGTTCTTGAATCATATCGTCGGGCCTGGAAGTAGTTTAATTAATTTTTATTTACGATGATTTGCAAAATTTTTGTAACCTCAATCGGTTTTTGATGATTTCACTATGAAATTGAGGTATTTTCGTATGACACTCACCATTTTTGATACTAATGAGATGTTATAATCACTTGATATTTATTAAAATAGTATAATTAACTGGATATACGCGAGAATACAATAATTTAATATTTGATTGTGTTTTCTCATCGAAATCTCATCGACTTTTCATCGAAATGTTATCGACTGAATTTGATTTTTTTCTGAACGTTGAAGATTTTGAAATCTCAGTAGACGTTGACACTTGTCAAATGAATTAAGTGATTTTAAATGGTTCTGAAGTGAAATTAATGTTGTAAATAGTTTAAAATAGAAGCTGTTCATAGGATTATCAGGTGAGTGTCCAAAATGAGATCAATCTCCCATTAATTTTATGAAAAATTTGAAGATAAAGATTTTGAAATTTTTAAAAGTTTATTCCACACGTAATTTTCTTAAATTATCCATCAAACAATCCAACAACGTACATAAACACCATAAAAAGCTCATTTTAAAGCTTCGAAAATTTTCTAAAAACTCCTCAGTGTAATGAGATTATGAATTATTCATGAAAACTGTTGTTCATAATTTGCTGCTTTTTAGCAATCACATAAACAAAAAATTTTATATCGCAATGAATATTTAGTGCTCATTATGTCTACTTTGCATATCTTCTTGTATCATTTCTGTGAAAAAATAGAAACTTTCCTTCTTGAATTTGAAATTTTTGTTGAATTGTGGACTATGCGTTGAGTATGACTAGTCAGAAGAGATATTAAGGAAGTATATTCATTCTGAGAAAGGATGAATAATTAAAAACTATTGACTTCATAAATCATGACAAACTTCCCGTAAATAATAATCCATACTTAATCCTGTCAAGACCTCACCCTCGTTTCCAAGCATGCACGTCGGAGCTGTAAACAATAACACAAAACATCGACACGCACGAAATTGTAATGACAGGAATTAAGTACTTAATTTCTATGTAACTGCAATTTATACAATTAAGGATAGGCTCAGAACCAGTGTTGCATTCTATCCAGAGTTCATCGACGAAATACTCCAAGCAATCGGCTCAAGTGCCAAAAACACCGCATACAATAATGGATTGTAGACAACAAAGTATCAACGTCCTCTACTGGCAAAACGTCGATGTTGCTTGCATTTCAGAAACATTCCTAAAACCAAACTCAAAAATTGACTCGCATCCAGACTACGTAATTCATCGATTGGATCGCGTGGATAGACCAAAGGGTGGTGTTGCAATCATCGTCAAAAGAAATCTAAAACATCAGCTTCAACCAAGCTACAACACAAAACTAATGGAATGCATTGGAATCAAAGTCTTCATCAATGACACGGATAGTTGTCACATCCTCTCAGTCTATCTCCCAGGAGGAAGCAAAGGAGGGGAAATAGATCTACATCTGAGAGATGACATCAACAAAATAACAAATCTGAGAGGAAATTACTACATCTGTGGAGACTTCAATGCAAAACATCGAGAATGGAACTGCAACGTTGCAAATAAATCAGGAAATATTCTTCAGGAAATGTCAGGAGAGTTCATGATCTACTTTCCTGACTCGCCAACGTACTACCCAGAAGATCGAAACAAATCAGTGTCAACAATTGACCTGATGCTCTCGAATTCCAACCTCGAAACAACAGAACTTCAATGCACAGAGGCAATGAGTGATCACTGCGCTGTGTATTTCCAAATCAAAACATCAAAAATCGACAGAACTGAAAATACAGTCTACAGATATGACTACAAAAACGCAAACTGGAAAAAGTTCAAAGCACAAATTTCACGCCGCATTGAAGACAACATTGGAGAAAATTCTTGCAATACAACAGATGAGATCGAGAATCACATTAAGATTCTCTCTGAACTCATCATGGAAGCGAGGAACTCAAGTGTAAAAATGAAAAAGATCAAGTTCGAATCAACTAAACTCACACCGGAGATTAAAGATCTAATCAACACAAAAAGGAGTCTTCGTCGAAGATGGCAGAGAAGCAGAGATAATCAACTCAAATCTGAATTGAATTATCTGCAGAGAGTCATCAATGAGAAAATTAAAGAACTCAAAAACAAAAACTGGAATAAGCGTCTCTCAGAGATTCAACCGTCAAATCAAACAGTTTGGAGAATAGCAAAATTTTGCAAAAAAGGTTCAAAAACAATGCCTCCATTGACAAATCTGGGTAAAACGTTCATCACCAACAAAGAAAAAGCCAGCGCACTCAGCGAGTATTTTCGTGAAGCTCACGAAAATCCTCTGGAACAAAACGATCCACAACATACACAGGAAGTAAACAACACAGTCAAAGAAGCATTGGAACAAGACAATGATGAGAATCCAGAACTAACAGATGTAAACGAAATCGTGAGCATCATAAGAAATCTGAAAAATCCAAAAGCTCCGGGACTAGATGAAGTCAACAACATACTCATCAAAAATCTTCCTGAAAAAGGTTTCGAATACTTGAAATTCATCATCAATTCGTGTCTGAAACTCAACCACTTCCCCAAAGTTTGGAAACATGCAAAAGTGATTCCTATTCCAAAACCTGGAAAACCAGCAAATGAGCTAAGCAGCTACAGGCCAATAAGTCTACTCAGCTCAATAAGCAAAATACTGGAGAGAGTATTACTGAATAGAATCAACGATCATCTTGAGGATAACAACATCATCCCAAACCAGCAGTGCGGCTTCCGGACTGGAAGATCAACATCTCACCAGCTCATCAAAGTGATCAAATCAGCAAAAGAAAACTTAAACAACAAAAAGTCAACAGGCATGATCTTCCTGGATGTAGAAAAAGCATTTGACAGAGTCTGGCATAACGGACTCTTGTACAAAATGCTCAAACTGAGATTTCCACTGCCACTTATAAAAACTGTAAGATCTTTCCTCAGTGAAAGATCTTTCGCAGTTTTTATTAAAGGTCAGTTCTCAGAAATCAAGGTAATCAAATTCGGAGTGCCACAAGGAGCAGTGCTTTCACCAACTCTCTACAACATCTTCACGTATGATGTTGTAAGAGAGACAACCAACAACATCGGTCTTTTCGCAGATGATACAGCACTGTATCATTCTGCAGAGAACTCGGCCGATATTGTGACACATCTACAGCACACAGGAAGAAAAGTTCAACAATACATGAACAAATGGAAGATCAACCTCAACAAACAGAAGACTCAAGCCTTATTCATCACAAACAGGCACTCCAGGCAACTACCAGGAAATAACATCAAATTTCTCAACGAAAACATCAAATGGGAAACAGAAGCTAAATATCTGGGAATGGTGATCGACAAGAGAGTGACATTAAAGCCGCATGTGGAGTATGTGACCAATAGGGCTCACACCGCATTAAGACAGCTTTATCCGCTCATCAGCAGGAACTCACAACTCGACGTACGAAACAAACTTCTCATCTACAAGCTAGCCATCAGACCAATATTCACATATGGTTGTCCAGCGTTTGGAAGCATGGCAAAAACCCATCTTCAAAAACTTCAAGTACTGCAAAACAAATTCTTGAGAATTGTTCTCAATAAAACAAGATATGAAAGGATCACCGATCTTCATACAGAAGCGAAAATACCGTCCATCGAAGATTACGTCGGAAAGTTGCAAGCGAACTTCAACAGTCGTCTTGCATCTCAATACACCGAATAAATCAAATGAAATACAAAAGAAAGTAAAATCCGTAAATGAAATCAAAATTAAGAGACAAAAGGCAAATTGAATGCCTGAAACCTTAAAACAAAAAGCAACAAAATGTATAGAAACTTTGTACATACTTAAATTTAAATGTAAATAAATAAAAAGTTTAAAAAAAAAAAAAAAAAAAAAAAAAAAAAAAAAAAAAAAAAGTGTTGCATTCTGGCTATTTGTCTGGATCAGATAAATTCTGAGATAGAAATTTCTTCATAAAGATCGATTCTACATGAAGATAGAAAATCTAATCTACACAAAGATTATTTCTACATAAAGATTCTGTCTACATAAAGATTCGATGTAGATGTCTACAATTCTACATTCTTCTCTGATGTAGACCTGAAAAAAGATTCGATGTAGATGTCTACAATTCTACATTCTTCTCTGATTTAGACCTGAAAAAAATGTAGAATTGTAGACATCTACATCGAATCTTTATGTAGACAGAATCTTTATGTAGAAATAATCTTTGTGTAGATTAGATTTTCTATCTTCATATAGAATCGATCTTTATGAAGAAAGTTTCTTAGCTAGACAAAAACTATTGAAGAATCTACATTCTTCATCTAGTGTAGACATCTACATTTGCAACACTGCTCAGAACAGTAAAGTCTGTTGTCATCCGAATAAATGTCACTTTTATCTCCGTGATACTAAAGATCAAAATGTGTAATTATTTTGGTCGTTTAATGTGGTGTACACAAATAGTCTACATGACAAAGGATGAGCATTAAAAACAGGGATGGGGCCGAATATTTTTTAACAGAGACTTGAAAAAATTAAATAAATTGTTGCACGACATGAAAGTCTTTCGAATGATTAACAAAAAAGATGCTGTCTGGCGATAGCTGGATATTTTTTTGATCAAATTAATATTGTGTGTTGATATCAATGACGCCTTTGGATGAGAAGTTTTATTGCGATTAAATTGATTGATGAACAGAAGTAGGGGTTCTAAAATCGGGAATATTCCCGGGAATTCCCGTTTTCATACCAAAAAAAAAAAAACCGACAATTCAAATTAGTTTTTTTTTATTTTGTATTTTCCATGAAAAAAACTACAATTTAAAGAAAAAAATTATAATAATGAAAACATACGTTAAGGAATTTAAGAGTTGAAATATTAAACTCAAATTTGATGTTTTTTAAATCAAAAATATATATTTATGATAAACGAAGAGAAAAAGTATTTAAAAATATTTTTAAATATGATGTCCATAAAATAATGAACTTAATTGACATTGGATTACAGTAATTTTTCCAAAATAAAAAAACGTGCTTGAAATTAAAATTTCTGGAATTTACCAACATCTACAAGAGCTGAACGTAATTTTTCAATCTCCAATAATATTGTCTCAAAAATCGCAGTAGATTGCTAGACCAGTTAAAATCGTACTTTAAGAATTGTTCTAAAACCAAAAAGAATTGAATTTTAAACGGAAATT